TCAAGGAACATGGGGTATTAAGTTGACACAAGCATAACAGTGTACTTGATACTGTTGACATTGATATATCTACAGTGGTAAAGTTATTAATATTTCGTCATAATTAGCAATTCGCTGTGCAGAGTTGCGTCCCTTCGGCACGCCAGAAACCTATGATTGTGGGTTCGAATCCCGGTTAACCCTAATTATGTTTCTAGGTTTGTCAGCACCATACCCGTGCTCGTGGCTTTCACCGAAGTGGTAAACGTCTTAGACCTGCATCACTTTGGGCTTTCCTCCCACATTAAGCTGACACGCCGTGATATAACTGGAATAATGTTAAAAGCGGCGTTAAACACAACTCACTCACTCACTTTTCATAATTAAGGTTTTCAAAGTAATAGTTACAGTGTCATATTATTTTATAATGAAGTAGATATGCACATGGAGACCTGCAGATATTGTTAAAATTGAAACCCACAATATTGTGTGGACTACTTTATTTCCGTACTGAGGATGCCACAGGCCTATAGCACATTTATAATTTGTACACTCAGAGCAGTAGAGTCTATAACATAATGTCTTTCCTGTGTCTCAGTGCATGATAAATGTACATAGATCATTTTTTGTAAAAGTAAGTACTTTGAGTTGTTTAACAGTGATGTGAATATAAAAAAATTAGGATTGACATAGTAATATTCAGGTATATACTTAGCCCTTAATTATGCATAAAATGGGCATATAAGAAGGAAGTTATATTCATCTTCAATGTCATTCAGTGCGCACAATTGACAAATGCGTTCTTCTCTTTTAATACACATGTAACGCCCAGTTTCAATAAATAGATCATTGAACAACATCGAACTCTTGCTAAGGAAACCCGAAATTGTTTTACATTTAAACAAGATAAATACTGTTCGGGATATAAATCATTTTTCACAATTTTGTAATAAATATATTTGTTTGATTCAGATACAGATTGGACTAATTTTGTAAATATATATCTTTTAGTCTTTGTGTTAACGATCTAATGAAATAAGAATGACATTGTATATTTTGTTCATACCATGCATAGCCATAAACAACGGAAAAACAGCAAGTCTTTTACGTCTGTTACCCAGTTTCGTTTTCCATTTTTATCAAAGAGTACCATCATATTTTCGTGAACCTATAAGATATATTCAATAATCTTAACCAATATTTAATAACCTTTATATATGAATATATATACATTGGAAATCTGCCACAATCACCATACACCATAACACTTGGTGTATTAACCTTAACACCAAGGAATTTCTTGCAGGCATAAAATGTACTTTTTCTATTTTTTCAAGCTTACTGAGTTCCCATATCTCTGCTCCATATAGTAATAACGGACTTATCTTTAAAACAAATATCTCGAAGAACGACTTGTTATAATATTTCCAAGAGTAAAGATTTGTTTTAACACATTAATTAATATACCGAACAACAAAAGTTCCTGTTACATTGAATAAGAATTAATTCAAAGTTTTGTTTTTTACCAAATCTGAAACAATTTCGGTTTGCAACAGATAAAAGACTCCTGTAAGTGTTCAAATGGTTTAATTTGCCATACGGACTTCAGAAAATGCGTGATTTCATTAAACAAAACATGAACATGCCAAAATGTCAATTTACAAATCAATAACGTGTGTGTCCACCGCTGGTTGCGATTCAAGCAACACATCTTCGTCTCATGGAATGGACCAGGCGTCGCACAAAGTCCTGTGGGATATTTGTCCATATCTGCTGGAGCATATTTCAAAGATCCTGGAGTGTCTGTGGAACACGTGGTTGACGTCGAAGGCGCCGATCCATCTCATCCCACCTGTGCTCGATTGGTGAGAGATCAGGGGAGCGAGCCGGCCAGGGGATGACATTCACGTTGCTTTGTTGAAGAGAATCCTGAACAAGTCGAGCAATATGAGGCCGGGCGTTGTCATGTTGAAAGGTAATGCCTGGGCCACGACGACGCAAAAACGATAGAACAACAGGGCCGATGATCTCGTCGCGGTAGCGCTGTCCATTGAGATTTCTACTATCAAACGGGTCCTCTGTCTTGCTGTAATTCCACCCCATACCATAACAGACCGCCTCCGTGGTCTAGTGGTAGAGCGTCCGCCCGGACAGCGGAAGGTCCGGGGTTCGATCCCCGGCCGCGTCATACCAAAAGACGTTAATAGATGGTACTTGTTGTTACCCTGTCTGGCGCTCGACATTAAGGGGCTAAAACAAGGACTGGTCGGCTCGGAGTCAGTATACTGTGTCTGAGTGGGGTATTCATGTTAAACTGCGGCATGGTATCTCAGTGGGCTAGCACTATAAATCGGCATCAGTCCGGTCTAGTACAAGCAGCCACACACACACACACACGTGCATGCACGTCGCTATATAAGTGCAATAATCTTGGACGCGACGTTAAACCCAATTTCACCTCACCTCACCATACCATAACGCTGCCGCCCCCGAACCGATCTTCTTCCATGACACAATGATTGACGTAACGTTCATCTCGACGTCGGTACACTCGAATCCGTCCATGGCTGTGGCTGAGGTGAAAACGAGACTCGTCAGTGAATAGAACGTGTCCCCACTGCATGGCCGTCCAGCGCAGACGCTTTCTTTACCACTGTAGACGTGCTTGACGGTGGTTTCCTGCCAAAATGGGACGTCTTCTGGCGACAATCATCGCACATCTGAGGCGACGACGTACGGGTTGTGAAGATATTCGTCCAAGGCCAGTGATGCTTCTTGCAGTCACTGTTGCTGGCTGGAATCGAGTTCGTAGGTGTGTTGTTCGAATCCAGTTGTCTTATCGATTATTGGTTACGCGGGGCCTTGCCACTTCGAGGATGGTCTCTGACTGCATTCGTCTGTTGCCAACGTGGCCATAAACACCAAATGGTGTTTCTGTGGACGTTAAATTGTCTTGCACCATCACGTTGACTCGATCCTGCTTCAAGCATACCAATGGCTCGCAGACGCTCATTTTCAGACAGGCGTGGCATTTCATAATGTTGAATAATTGCCTAATTTTGTTGTTTTTCTGAGTGGTTGTTGTCAGCACGATGCTAAACAATGCATATGGAATCCCGTTAACGCACCTGTTTTTATACCCATTCTTGGGTAGTGAAATGCATTGGGCTTGCATAAAAGTCAACTTTTGCATCTCGCTACAGGGAGACTGGGTCAACGTTTCCCGCATTGCGATATGCTATAGGCCTATTTCCCACCCTCTCGACATCCAGTCCACCCTACTCAGAAATGGATCAACGTTTCACGCATAGCGATATGTCGTAGGCCTGTCCCCGTCCCTCTCGACAGACAGACCCGTCACGGAAATGAGTCAACGTTTCACCACAGCGAATGCTGTATGGGGAAATAAGTCGGATAGAGCTAGATGGGAAACTGACCTTGGCCTCCGAGCGGCTGCTCCCTGTTATGATTGTTACCGAATAGCATAGCATGTTTAGTGTAATAATTTACAGTTAGGAATGTTTTAAAGCATATTTTCATTATGTATATCGTATGTACGCATATCATTATACACATGTGAGCCAAGATAAAGTTTCTCTTTAAAGTTGGATTGCACCTTTCCAACGATTTCTCATCCCCCTGTCCCTATGCCCCCATGTGGTTTTCCCAAACCCATAACTAATAAGGCAGGTGCCTGGCGCCGTGCAATGACATGATCAACATGTCCTGTGCTGTTCCATATTTTGACTTGTACCATGCAATGTTGTTCCCATGTTCGTTCATATCAACATTTGGGTTGTCTCTGCTTGTGGTTGTGACTGGTGCCACCGATGGGGAAGGATACGCTCACATTTGATTGCACATTGGAGTAATGATATCACTCCTCATTGGAGTAATGATATGACTGCACATTGTAGTTTGTTGTTTAACGCCGCACTCAGCAATATTCCAGCTGTATGATAATGTCTGTAAATAATCGAGTCTGGACCAGACAATCCAGTGATTGAGCATCGTTTCGGGCAATTGGGATTCTTTGACATGCATCACCTAAGTCAGCGAGCCTGTCAACCCGATCCGGTTAGTCGCCTCTTACGACAAGCATAGTCGCCTTTTACGGCAAACTGAAGGCCTATTCTAACCAGGATCTTCACGTGTCAAAGTCAAGTCAAAGATGTTTATTGTATCAAAGGCCATCGGCCCATATACAAGTTCAGATAAATACAGTGGGTGAGAATTTACAGATTGGGAGATACTACAAAAATTATATAAATATAACATTCATTTAACAATCGGTGATAATCATGAGGACTTTCTAGGGTGAGGTAATTAAAATTATGAATTTCCACTCAACATGTTATTTCGTAATTCCATCCCATGTTTTACAAATAAAGACAGTTTAAACATTACATCGGCATCATTCGATGACAAAATAGAAACAAAAGCTATTCTACTCGTCTTAGATAAGAAACATTCTGGTATATATTTAGTATGTAATTCTGCATAATAAGGACATTCAAAGGTAAAATGTATTTCGTCTTCCATTGCAGAGTTACAGAATGGACAAATTCTTTGTATTCTTTTAAGTGATATATTCCGTCCATAGTAAATCATAAGTTTTGACAAGCCAAGTCTGTATTTAATATATCCATTTCTTAGGTGACTATTTGTTAAAACTGATAGATATTTTTCTGGCTCTAATAGAATCTTAAATGTTCTGTACAAATCATAACGTGAACTGTCTACATGAGAGTAGTGATATCATTGCATTTTGAATTAATGATATGACTGCACACTGGAGTAATCACGTCATTGCACATTGGAGTGCGTGTGTGAGTATTGTTTTACGCCGCTTTTAGCAATATTCCAGCAATATCACGGCGATATCTTTAAAATAATCAACTCTGTCTGAAGCATGCAAAGGCCAAGTCTGAGACGGACGGGTATTTAATGGGATCCTCGCTGTGATGTTGTAAACGCCCCCTCTGCTTCTTCGATCTCTTACAATAACTCATGTCTTGCAGGTGCTGAAGGGTGTGACGTCACGGTGGGAAGAGGGAAGCGGCAAATCTCATGTAATCTCGCCACCTCCACCCATGTGTCCCCCCTCCCCTGACCTGAGTGGCCTGACCCCTGACGAGATTGCTATTCTCAAAGATGTTTTCCGACGGCAAGAAGAGTTTGAGCGACAGGAACACGTGAGGGTCAGGTATGCTGATTTATTTATTTTCTAGGTATTTTAATTTGAACGAAATCAATTGAAGTTTCCTTTCACTGAGCATGCTATTCAGGGTGCAATAGCTTGTTACTTGTCATAAAAGTACATGACACTGTAGTTGTTAGAACGACATAGGTGCTATTAACGTGATAAAGACTGGCTTCCGGCGTGGAAAAAATCCTTCCAGATATTTACATTCTTGCCTTAAAAAACAGACATTCGTTCAACCTATTCAGTGCAGGGGCCACCGGTGGCCCAGTCGCCCAGTTGCGTTCCTTGGGCACGCCAGGGACCTGTGATCGTGGGTTCGAATACCGGTTCGCCCCGATTATATTTCTAGGTTTGTCAGCACCATACCCCTACTCGTGGGCTTCACCAAAGTGGTAAACGTCTGCAACCTGCATCACTTCCGACTTTCCACCCACCTCAAGCTGCCACGCCGTGATATCACTGGAATACCGTTCAAAGCGGCGTTAAACCCAACTCACTCACTATTCACAGCAGAGATCTTGTTCACTGGGCCCACCTCAACCACAAACTCGGTCAGCATCGGGAGGAATCCATATCGAACTGGTCTCACTAGTTTCACCAGTTCAGGTCACTGTCACATGACACAACACAATCCGGTGGCAGTCGTGACACGTATATAAATGTTGCCGGATATGTCATGGTATACCGTATATACGTTAGCCATGAAAGAAGCTCTTATAGATATACGAACTGTGTGTGAATGTATCGGTATACGGTTTATGAGGATTGTCACTGCTCCACTGCTGCCAGAAGTATATAATATAGCTAACGAAATAAGCCGAGTGGATCAAATGAGTTATGGTTCATCCGTCGGGATGTTGACAACCCAGTAATTAGGATTATAAGAGCCGACGAAATTATGTCTGTCTGCCTAAACGCCCCAAATATTACAGCGGTATGCTTATACTGTCGATGTTCGCTCTGAAAACCATTTCCCTTGGGCATGCCCCCGGCTTTACACCTGGCATTCCATGCTGGTCGTAATAGTCAAGTAAAATGGGGTTCGGGTGGTTACAGTGTGGTTACAATTGTTGAATTGCGTCCCTTTAACGTGTCAGGATCCGCTGATCGTGGTTCGAATCGAAGATTTCTGCTATTTGGTTTGCCAGCACAATCTATGTGACCATGGGTTTCACCAAACTGTGACCTGTAACTTTAAGCTTTCTCCAACATTAAAGCTGCTCGGTGTGCCACTGTCAAATGAAATACAGTTCATAATGTCTTAAACCCAACTCACCCTCTCATTCTAAAGTATAAAGTCTTTTTCCACCTTCTTAAGCAACGTAATGCAATAGGCAATCTTAATGGGCTTGATTAAATCGTAAGACCGTAAGACGTCCATGTCAACACTCAAACCCTATGAAACATGTCCTATATTTGCAAACACAAGGCAAATCTCGGATGACGTCGAGAAGTACGAGAAGACAGTTCAGAGACAAGCGAGTACGAAGGGTCCGATTAAGCATGTGGATATACGCCTGTGCCGCCTGTGCTACAAGACCAAGTTCGCTGATGGTATCGGGCGCCTGTGCTCGGACTGCCACAAGCGGGTGTGCAACACGTGCGGCACCTTCTCCCGCTCCAGGTGGGACCGTAAGAAGAACAGGGTAGGGGCCTTACATTGTAAACCTTTGACCCGTGAAGATCCGGGGTAGAATAGGTCTTCAGCAACCCATGCTTGCCATAAAAGGCGACCGTGCTTGTCGTAAGAGGCGACTAACGGGATCGGGTGGTCAGGCTCGCTAACTTAGTTGATCCATGTCATCGTATCCCAACTGCGTGGATCGATGCTAATGATGTCAAACACTGGATTGTCTGTTCCAGACTAGATCTTTTAAAGACCACCGTCATATAGCTGGAATATTGCTGAGTGCGGCGTTAAACAACAAACAAACAAACATTGTGAACCTTTGATTTATCATGTTCTTGTGCTACATGACGACCTGTTTTCTTATTCCCTATTTTAATGACAGCCCTTGCTGTTATCCACACACAGACGAAGTTTGTTTGCAATAATTTGTTGGAATGCAATGCAATTGATGATGCATGTGTGCAGGAAACATTTCTACCCCACGAAAGAAATCGTTTCTTAAATGTGCTCCTAGGGATTCCATTGCAGAATAAGAATCCCCGGTGATTGTCATGAATGCCGACTAAGTAAGAATGCGTTGGTTATATTTTGAGGTGACGTGAGGTGAACGTCGCGTTTATTTCACTCATATTGCGAGGTGCTTGTACTCTCCGGTGCTGGGACTATTCTGGTCTAATATTGCTAACCCATTGAGATACCTACAGCAGTTTAGCATGGATACTCTCCGAGTCTACCAGTACTTGTTTAGTCTCTTCTATGCCGGGCGCCAGGCAGGGTAACAACAAGCACCATCCTTTAACTTTTTTGTTGATACGCGATCAGGGGCTTGAACTACCGACATTCTGCTCTCCTGGCAGACGACCGCCTCCGTGGTCAAGTGGTAGAGCGTCCGCCCGGACAGCGGAAGGTCCGGAGTTTGATCCCCGGCCACGTCGTACCAAAAGACGTTTAAAGATGGTACTTGTTGTTACCCTGTCTGGCGCTCGGCATTAAGGAGCTAAAACAAGGACTGGTCGGCTCGGAGTCAGTTTACTGTGTCTGAGTGGGGTATTCATGTTAAACTGCGGCATGATATCTCAGTGAGCTAGCACTATAAATCGGCATCAGTCCGGACTAGTACAAGCAGCCACACATACACACACACGTGCATTCACGTTGCTATATAAGTGCAATAATCTCGGACGCGACGTTAAACTCCATTTCACCTCACCTCACCTCACCCACCCCCCCTACATGCCTGCATAAAACAATATTCACTCACTCTTAACATGTAAGAAATGTCTCACATTTGACCAAAATGATTCACGGAACAGTGAATCGTCTCTCATGGCACACGTTCTTGCTTCATCCATTGGTTGTCGATATGAGTAATGCATCATCCAGAAGAAGTAGAGTTCGAGATAGTATAAACGCCTTCATCTACATTCCAGAACGTCCGAGGACGATGGCGGTGCAACATGTGCTTGTTGAGGAGGGAGGCACTTTGCCGAACCGGAAGTTGGTACCATGGGGAAAGCTTTCAGGAAGGTACAAATGATGACGTGATCGAGAAACTCAAAACTTCTGTTTCCATGGAAATGGAATCCGATAATTGCGTAAGTATACAATTACAAGTATTTATTTTAGGTCATCCTTTTATTTTGTCCGTTTATCATATATAAGGAGAGGAGGTTTCAAATGTGTGCACGCCTTGTTCTTTAACGTCACATCCTTTGTGTGCAGTTTTGGTCTGGAACGCAAGGAAATGGGCATGTCATCGAAATATGTCTGTTTTCAGGCAAGAAAGGAAAGACTTGGACATTTCATACCGTGTCGGAACATGGTGATTAATTAGTAAACGACATCGCCAAACGTCGGGCAGATTTGCATCCCTTAGCCGTGCAAGGATTCGCTAGTCGTAGGTTCGAATTTTTCGTGGGTTCGTTTTGCCCTGATAATGATCATTGGTCTGTCGGCACCACACCTAGGTGTGCTTCATCAATATGCTAAACGTCCACGAACTGTATCTTCACTCGTTCATTATACTAACGTTATAAAATGAAGTATTGATGACTTGCCATCATTTTCTAATGAACTGTAACAAGACTGGGAGAGTGAGTGGTGGGGCACGCCACTTCAATGGAACACACTCTCACCGTGGTACTAACAGACCAGTGGTCATAATCCAGATAAATTTGGGATTCTACTTCCCTCGTACTGCACCAATTGCTCAACACCATTACTTTAACGGCATGTCAACTTACTTGGAAAAAAAGTCACTTTCATGAAATTCACGAGAGTATGGTGCCAAAAGCCCAATGATTATAATCAAGCCGAATATGAGATTCGAACCCACATTTCCTTTTGTGCAGGCCCTCCTTGAAACAGGACCCGATTAAGAAACGCTGATAAATTAATAAGGACCAAGTACCGAAAGTACATGGCGAGTCGCAGAATATTGGCACCCTACCGTCAGTAATACCCCCATATATGTCCCACTTCTTTGTTATGGTTGACGTAGTGACTAGTCCCTTGCCTGCTCTCTATATATATATTTATGGTTTGTCCCAGTAATTAGCGCACAACTTGATGAGTTTATAACCGAATATGTGTCCCCCATCCGATCTACCTTTGTGTTCATTTAAGTTTCTATTGAAACAAGACTAACACTGTAACGGTCCTTCTTCCAGATTCTGGAACAACTTGTGAGGTGTTTTACTGTTTTACTGTCCGCCGGGGACGGCGAGGTAGCGTAGTGGTTAAAGCGTTCGCTCGTGACTCGTGACAGCGAAGGCTTGGGTTCTGGTTCGATTTCCTGAAACCCCAGTCACACTAGAGGCGGAGTGCCTGAATGCCGTCGGAATGAAAATTCTTTGTTTCTTCCTGGATATTCGAAGTACATTCTAAGTATTCGAGCTGCATTCTGTTTGAATTCTTTGACGTTCGAACTATATTCGGCGGCCACTCCGGGAGCGTTCTGACTGCACTCAAGGCGAATTCGTACGACATTCGAGGCACCTTCCAACCAGACTTCGGGGGGTATTCGGGCAGCAATCGAACCGCACTCGTATGGCATTCGAAGTGCATTCTAATGATTTTGACTGCATTCTAACAGCATACTAAATATTCCTACTGTGTCCCAACTACATTCGAGCTGCTTTCGAGAGCTGATACACCCGGACTGTGCAAGTATCATTCGAGGCGGGCCCGAAGCGATTTCTAAGAATTCGAAAGGCATTCTTACAAAGCTTGGTCAAATTGAAATTTTCTCCCGAGTGTGGCACGAATTTTGAAAATTCTTCATTCCGGTTGGTTCTGCTTGATTCCTGCTGATTCCGAATAAGTGTGACTGGGGCATAACATGGGTGAAATGTGTGAAGGTCATTTCTGGTGTCCCCCGCTGTCCATTGCTGGAATATTGCCAGAAGCGGCTCAAAACCGCACTCGGTCACTACTGTCCACCGAGTGTGACGCGATGATGGCCTCAAGGTCACACTGGGCTACATGCAAACCATTCCGAGAGGTCATTAATTCAATTCAGCTACGTGTCTGAAGCGATTGAATACTTCGTCCAAAAATAGAGTATCAAATAGTTCAAATGGTGCTACATGCTAGCCTTTCTGAGAGGTAATTCATACAATTGATCTTCGTGTGTGCATGAAGGTTTTAAATACTTGGTGCAAAAACACAGTATCTCCTGCTACTCAGAAGCGTCGTCCTTTAATTACACTTTCACGCACTTTCCTCGTATATCAAAATGATGACCATGGTTCGGCATACCCTGCGTGTATTCCAACGAATCACGATCAGTTGATATCGGGTTAGCTCGGGCTAGCTCGGCTTGTTCCATTACGTACACAAACCTTGGACAGCAATTGGGTAGTGATATTGCATGATTTCACTTTAAACCGTGTAACGCCAGATCCCTCCGCATGTAGTTCGTATAACGTGGCGGTCGTTTTTTGGAGACAGATTATTTTCGGAATGACGAAAGTTAGGTTTTAACATGCCATTGGTTTGAAAACAGAAATAGACTGAAACAATGGGAATCGTTATATTTTGAACAAAAAGGTTCGGGCTCATGAATATTATGGTCTTTTTTGTAGTGAATACCGAGGACATACTTTCATAAAAAAATATGCCCCAAAATATTCATGATCCCTATTTTGTTTTGGTTTGGTATATAAGGTTCACGACTTCCGTCAGTGTGTGATGTGTCATGTAATAGTCACGTGCACGAAACTGGATCTGAGAGGTACTTTCTGCCAGTGCTAGCTGAGATCATATAGCACTGAGACACGCCAAAAGTTATCAAGTAGACTCGTGCCTCGGTGTTTTGAGAATTCAAGGACTCTTCACATTGCTCCAGAACGTAATGCACAAATATTCCTTTATCAGTCGAAGATTGATTTCGATTTTGACACTGTATCGCCCGACATGCCCGGATGAGAATGTCAGATATCATTGAGCTCGGTACAGCGTGTAATTTGTCTAGACCCATACAGCTGGTGATAAATGCCTTGTGGACAGTCCTAATGGTACAATTCTCTACACAACACAGTCCTGATGCGGTCAAATCGTATCGGTCGTTATGACTCACAAAGGGCCGTCGCAAAATTTGTTTCTGTCGTATATTGGTGTTATTTGCTGTTGGCATTGTTATTGAACCCAAGAATATGATCTGTGGTTCGTCAGCACCATACCCGTGCCCCGTCAGCACCATACCCGTGCCCCGTCAGCACCATACCCGTGCTCCGTCAGCACCATACCTTTCAGCACCATACCCCGTCAGCACCATACCCGTGCTTCGTCAGCACCATACCCGTGCCCCGTCAGCACCATACCCGTGCCCCGTCAGCACCATACCCGTGCTCCGTCAGCACCATACCCGTGCCCCGTCAGCACCATACCCGTCAGCACCATACCCCGTCAGCACCATACCCGTGCTTCGTCAGCACCATACCCGTGCCCCGTCAGCACCATACCCGTGCCCCGTCAGCACCATACCCGTGCTCCGTCAGCACCATACCCGTGCCCCGTCAGCACCATACCCGTCAGCACCATACCCCGTCAGCACCATACCCGTGCTTCGTCAGCACCATACCCGTGCTTCGTCAGCACCATACCCGTGCTTCGTCAGCACCATACCTGTGCTTCGTCAGCACCATACCCGTGCCCCGTCAGCACCATACCCGTGCTTCGTCAGCACCATACCCGTGCCCTGTCAGCACCATACCCGTGCCCCGTCAGCACCATACCCGTGCTCCGTCAGCACCATACCCGTGCTCCGTCAGCACCATACCCGTGCCCCGTCAGCACCATACCCGTGCCCCGTCAGCACCATACCCGTGCTCCGTCAGCACCATACCCGTGCCCCGTCAGCACCATACCCGTCAGCACCATACCCCGTCAGCACCATACCCGTGCTTCGTCAGCACCATACCCGTGCTTCGTCAGCACCATACCCGTGCTTCGTCAGCACCATACCTGTGCTTCGTCAGCACCATACCCGTGCCCCGTCAGCACCATACCCGTGCTTCGTCAGCACCATACCCGTGCCCTGTCAGCACCATACCCGTGCCCCGTCAGCACCATACCCGTGCTCCGTCAGCACCATACCCGTGCTCCGTCAGCACCATACCCGTGCCCCGTCAGCACCATACCCGTCAGCACCATACCCCGTCAGCACCATACCCGTGCTTCGTCAGCACCATACCCGTGCTTCGTCAGCACCATACACGTGCCCCGTCAGCACCTTACCCGTGCCCCGTCAGCACCATACCCGTCAGCACCATGCCTGTGCCCCGTCAGCACCATACCCGTCAGCACCATACCCGTGCCCCGTCAGCACCATACCCGTGCTCCGTCAGCACCATACCCGTGCCCCGTCAGCACCATACCCGTGCTTCGTCAGCACCATACCCGTGCCCTGTCAGCACCATACCCGTGCTTCGTCAGCACCATACCCGTGCCCCGTCAGCACCTTACCCGTGCCCCGTCAGCACCATACCCGTGCTCCGTCAGCACCATACCCGTGCTTCGTCAGCAGCATACACGTGCCCCGTCAGCGCCTTACCCGTCAGCACCATACCCGTCAGCACCATACCCGTCAGCACCATACCCGTGCCCCGTCAGCACCATACCCGTGCTCCGTCAGCACCATACCCGTGCCCCGACAGCACCATACCCGTGCTTCGTCAGCACCATACCCGTGCCCCGTCAGCACCATACCCGTGCCCCGTCAGCACCATACCCGTCAGCACCATACCCGTGCTCCGTCAGCACCTTACCCGTGCCCGTAGGTTTCACCAAAGTGGTAAATTTAGAAGACCTGCACTGCTTCAGGCTTAAATATTTCATCCCAAGCTCAGAATATGGTCCTTGGTCCGTCGACCCGTGCAGATGCGGGGTAGAATAGGTCTTCAGCAACCGATGCTTGCCGTATGGCGATTATGCTTGTCGTAAGAGGCGACCAACGAGATCGGGTGGTCAGGCTCGCTGATGCATGTCATCGTATCCCAATTGCCTCATGATATGAATCACTGGATTGTCTGGTCCAGACTCGATTATGTACAGACCGCCGTCATATAGCTGGAATATTGCTGAGTGTGGCATTCAACAACAAACAAACAAAAAGTCCTTGGCCCTTCAGCAAGAAATGTCTACATCACACTTGTCTTTTGATATGATTGATACACCAAACGGCCACAAAGTTATGATTGGATGGACATTAATACATCTAATATACTCTTTCATTGACATTCCATAAATGTTCACATTTACTGTCGTTAATACCCATAGTAATCCAAATACGATGTAACCATAGGTCACAGACTCCCATGCGTGCCTTAGTTTGTGTGAGGATCCAGTAATCTTTGGTTCGCATACAAGATGAAAATGGTAAACGTCTTAGACGGGCATCACTATGGGATTTCCTCCCACATTAAGCTCACTCGGTGTTATACAGCCGAAATACCATTCAAAATTATTTCATTTGTGGATTCTTGCCACCATGTCCCCTTACTGGGCATTTGGTCCCCACAAAACACTTTTAAAATGGCACCTGCCGTTCTGACCGTCATGAGGTGAGGTGAAATTGGGTTTAACGTCGCGTCTAAGATTATTGCACTTATATAGCGACGTGCATGCACGTGTGAGTGTGTGTGGCTGCTTGTACTAGTCCGGACTGATGCCGATTTATAGTGCTAGCTCAATGAGATACCATGCCGCAGTTTAACATAAATACCCCACTCAGACACAGTATACTGACTCCGAGCCGACCAGTCCTTGTTTTAGCCCCTTAATGCCGAGCGCCAGACAGGGTAACAACAAATACCATTTTTTAACGTCTTTTGGTATGACGCGGCCGAGGATTGAACCACAAGACCACGGAGGAGGCCTGACCATCATGAGTGTAGCTCACCCGAAAGTATAAAATCATCATTAGAGAATTCTTGTTCGATGTCTACAACGTCAAGAGCTGTTAATTCATAACTACCGCCCGAAGCATGTGATACAATTTATGAACGCTATGGTGTCTGATAGTAATACTTTCATATTACTTCTGGAAGAGAATATGGCATTATATTTCACTGAACCATCCTGATGAAATGGGGCGCGAGAAATATGCGTGCAGACTCGACAATAAATCCATGTTATATAATTAAACACGATGTGTATATTTAGAGTTAATTTTGCACATCAAAGGATAAGGCCATAATTCGATGTTGCATTAATAACAAACATGAAATATTGACATGCTGCGATTTCGAGATGTTTATGTTTATTATAATGTCAGTATTATACGTTACTGTGGTTGTTTTTATTAAAGGACATGCCATGTTGGTAGGTGTTCTGATTTAGAGCAAAATGAGTTAATTAACAAAATGAGTTAAACAACAACTGGGAAGCACGGGTGGCCAAGTCGTCTTAGGCGCCGCGATTCGCTGTGCAGAGTTGCGTCTCTTGGGCACGCCAGAAACCTATGATTGTGGGTTCGAATCCCGATTCGACCCGATTGTGTTTCTAGGTTTGTCAGCACCATACCCGTGCTCGTGGGTTTTACCGAATTGGTAAACGTCTGAGACCTGCATCACTTCGGGCTTTCCTCCCACATCAAGCTGACACGCCGTAATATAACTGGAACACTGTTAAAAGCGGCGTTAAATCCAACTTACTCACTCACTCAAGTTAAACTGGAAGTGAAATATTGATCAATGCTGCTGATCAGAATGTGACTGCTTGGATATGTTTTAATACGAATAGTATCTGATATTGCCAGGGAACTGAAGCATATGCAGTTTAATTCCAAGTTGATGAACCATAAATACACAGTTTATTAATTTAATTCTTTTCATGTTACGTCACAGCATGAAGTGTCTCAGTGTCCCTACCACATATAGATAGGACTTCCTAATCGTGATGAACAGAAAATATGCTCCACGGTGCTTATTTCCAGACTTGGTCTCGACGTAGTTAGTGCCATTTGTGAAATTGAGACATTGTCTCTGTGTTATTAACATAACCATTAACTTCAAGATTGATATACAACGTAACATTTGAGTAAGCAAATAAGAGGTGTTAAACGACTTGAATAGAAACCTCAGGACTGTCAATTGGCCTGAGCGTTGTTCTATACGTCGAAGAACATAACGAATATCAATCGATTTCGTCTCTTCATTGTGAGGTGAGGTGAAATTGGGTTTAACGTCGTGTCCAAGATTATTGCACCTATATAGCGACGTGCATGCACGTGTGTGTGTGGCTGCTTGTACAAGTCCGGACTGATGCCCACTTATAGTGCTAGCTCAATGAGATACCATGCCGCAGTTAAACATGAATACCCCACTCAGACACAGTATACTGACTCCGAGCCGACCAGTCCTTGTTTTAGCCCCTTAGCCGAGCGCCAGACAGGGTAACAACAAGTACCATCTTTTAACGTCTTTTGGTATGGCGCGGCCGGGGATCGAACTCCGGACCTTCCGCACTCCGGGCGGACGCTCTCCCACATGACCACGGAGGCGGTCTTTCATTATGAAACGCTATACATACCCTTATACCTTCCCCATAAAGGGGGAGATTGAGCAGCCTAGTGGTTAAAGCGTTCGCTCGTCATACCGAAGACCAGGGTTCGATTCCCAACATGGGTACAATTTGTGAAGCCCATTTCTGGTGTCGACTGCCGTGATGTTGCTGGAATATTGCTAAAAGCGGCGGAAGACCATACTCACACACTCATACACTCATACACTCACTTTACTCGTAAGACCTCCATCATTTCTGGCCTACCTCCCACATCAGGCTGACAAGCCATGACAACTGAAATACTGTTCAAAGCGGCGCTAGTAAGAGGCGACTAACGGGATTGGGTAGTCAGGCTCGCTGACCCGGTTGCTCTATGTCATCATATCCCAACTGCGTAGAGTGAGTGGGTGAGTGAGTATGGTTTTACGCCGCTTTTAGCAATATTCCAGCAATATCACGGCGGGGGACACCAGAAATGGGCTTCACACATTGTGCCCATGTCGGGAATCGAAACCGGGTCTTTGGCGTGACGAGCGAACGCTTTAACCACTAGGCTACCCGACCGCCCCCCAACTGCGTAGAACGATGCTAATGATGTCACTCACTGGCTTCCCTGGTACAGACTCGAATATTTACATACCGCCGTCCAATAGCTTGGATATTGCTGAGTGCGTCGGTAAACAACAAACAAACAAACAAACAAAGAAACAGAGCGACTCTGAACACAACTCACTCACTCACTATTCATGATCAATTGACATATATTTGTTTGGTACAGGACAAGAAAGATGTGTATAACAGTGATGGAGAGAAGATTCCCTCAGGAAATAGAACAGATCCCGAATTGTACCGCTCCGGTGACACACCCGCCCAACAGGTCCAGTCTTCCGTTAGGAAACACCGCCGAAGGAGTCTTCCTGTTAGTCACGTGATAAGACCAGATGAAGACGAGGACGACGATGAAGCAGACGAGAATGGTCACCATTGGTTGCACGAGAGACGGATGTTACGTCAGAAGCGCCAGTTACGCAGGTTACGGAGACGAAACATGCCTGACAGCAAAACATCTGACGACCTAAACGAAGCGTTGACATCCGACGGGTCCCGAGAAAACGATGAAAATTCTTACGAGGCACTCTCGGATCCTGATAGAAGTGATAGAGCTCCTAGTGTCCGTATTCGCAAACGTAGAGCGTCTAGAATTAGCCTCAAAGACCGAAGCAAGTCTCAATCTGCTACATCTGCTGTCGATTATTCCTCGGAATCCACCAGTGATATGTCTTATGCAACGAAAGAAAGCAGTGTTTCAGATGGAGCTTGTTCACCAACGCTTATTAGTAAGATCAAGCGGCAGAACGCTGTGTACTGCAGCAGCTCCTCCAGTGTGCTCTCCGATACTAAGCATTCCGATTCTCAGGGTGGTCCGACAAGTCCCCTCCCCGTCAGGAACGTCCGGGATCCCATATCACGGAGCCCGGTCCACGGGGCCAAGGAAAAGCACGTCACTCCCAGCAGATTGGAGCTGCTGAACCGGCGCGTCACGTTACAGAAGTGTGAGCTGATCAGTCCATGTGACGATGCCAGGGTGCGTCGACTTGGTAAGTGAAGGGAATATGAGCTTATGTGATCATTATTTAAAGGTCGTTTACTTGCAATAATGCTTGTGTCCGACATATAACTCTAAAACTAATAGGTATTCTTTTATGAAACTTTGCGCACACAACGACCAGACTGTCAATTGGGGCCGTTAGCTATTTAGGGCTGTAAAGAATAAAACCCGTTTTACTTTGACTAGATTGTCTGGACAACTATTCGCCAGTGAAGGTAACCGAAGTAGCAGGAGAGAAAGGTTTGGAGTAAAACATCATACCTATATTTCTGGGGGCGGTCGGGTAGCCTAGTGGTTAAAGCGTTCGCTCGTTACGCCGAAGACCCGGGTTCGATTCCCGATATGGGTACAATGTGTGAAGCCAATTTCTGGTGTCCCCCGCTGTGATATTGCTGGAATATTGCTAAAAGCGGCGTAAAACCATACTCACTCAGTCACCTATATTTCTGTAAAGCTGCAATATATACTGAACAACAAAAGTTCCTGTGACTTTGAATAAGATTTAATGCAAAGTTATGTTTTTCACCAACTCGGAAACAATTTCGGTTTGCAACAGATAAAAGACTTCTGTAAGTGTTCAAATGGTTTAATTTGCCATACTGACTTCAGAAAATGCGTGATTTCATATAAAAAAAAACATGAACATGCCAAAATATCAATTTACAAATCAATAGCGTGTGTGTCCACCGCTGGTTGCGATGCAAGCAACACATCTTCGTCTCATGGAATGGACCAGGCGTCGCACAAAGTCCTGTGGGATATCTGTCCATATCTGCTGGAGCATGTTTCGAAGTTCCTGGAGTGTCTGTGGAACACGTGGTTGACGTCGAAGGCGCCGATCCATCTCATCCCACATGTGCTCGATTGGTGAGAGATCAGGGGAGCGAGCCGGCCAGGGGATGACATTCACGTTGTTTTGTTGAAGGGAATCCTGAACAAGTCGAGCAATATGAGGCCGGGCGTTGTCATGTTGAAAGGTAATGCCTGGGCCACGACGACGCAAAAACGATAGAACAACAGGGCCGATGATCGTGTCGCGGTAGCGCTGTCCATTGAGATTTCCCTCTACCACTATCAAACGGGTCCTCTGTCTTGCTTTAATTCCACCCCATACCGTAACGCTGCCGCCCCCGAGCCGATCTTCTTCCATGACACAATGATTGATTTGTGAAGATATTCATCGAAGGCCAGGGATGTTTCTTACAGTCGCTGTTGCTGGCTGGAATCGAGTTCGTAGGTGTGTTGTTCGAATACAGTTGTCTTATCGATTATTGGTTACGCGTGGCCTGTCACTCCGAGGATGGTCTCTGACTGCATTCGTCTGTTGCCAACGTGGCCATAAACACCAAATGGTGTTTCTGTGGACGTTAAATTGTCTTGCAACATCAAGTTGACTCGATCCTGCTTCAAGCATACCAATGGCTCGCAGACGCTCATTTTCAGACAGGCGTGGCATTTCATAATGTTGAATAATTGCCTAATTTTGTTGTTTTTCTGAGTGGTTGTTGTCAGCACGATGATAAACAATGCATATGGAATCCCGTTAACGCACATTTTTTATACCCATTCTTGGGTAGTGAAATGCATGGGGCTTGCATAAAAGTCAACTTTTGCATGGAATGCATGCTTTTCTGTAGCAGTTGCGTTTTTGTGACTTGATTCCATACATGTACTACAATATTGAAAACCAAACTTTACTTGTTTGAAAAATACACTAAAATATTGGTTTCACGGGAACTTTTGTTGTTGAGTATATAAGATTTCATTAGTTTTATGTGAGGGATGAGCTTCAGTAAATACTGATAAGCTACAGTTGGCAAAGCAACAGATTACAGCATAAGTCACGTACCACTTGTGTGACATCCACTAACTCGTATCTTTGCAAAAAAGGTACACAAACCTAAGCCCATGGTATTGATTTGATAGGTAATAACTACTCTTGTATACGGAGAGTCAGATTAGAGACCAGGAATACCCTCATCAAGTTGGACAGATGACTCTTGTAGGACTTGCTGTAACAGACAGATTTGTTCTTTCGAATTCGTGGAGGCGGTATTTGTCGTCATCTGATGACTCGCGACCTTTAACTGTTCTTGAAAATGTCAGATGTTTTGGCTTATTTTTATAAAAAAAATATATTGTACTACATCTGTCCGAGAACATACTCAGATTAGGTGTCTCACTCTGGCGGTGTTGGTTCAAAAAAGTACGAGAATCTGTTCTTTACCGAGAAAGTGTTATCCCAAATATAACATTTGTTACGCTGTTATATCATTATCAAATCTGTATGTTTAATTGTTAAAAACATACATCTTTTAGCTTTCTGTATGAATATTTCTTAACCATGGAAACTGTGCTCTAATAAAATTGTAAAATGGGTTTCAAAGAAAAATCGATCTTAACAATTTGCATTGACAAAGTCGGCATCATATAGGACATACAAAAACCTGCTTCACTCGAACTGAATAACCCGATTTATCGTTGAAGACCATGTCGCGTTGTAGATGTGGTATAAACATGAATAGAGCTAGGATCTAATACACGTTAAAGGGGCCTCAATTCGCTTCGAAGAACTGCGCCCTTAATGCTTGCCAGAAACCTATGATTGTGGGGTCGAAGCCCAGTTTCGTCTCAATTATTTTTCAAGGTTTGTCACCACCATACCAATGCTAGCGGGGTTCACCACAGTGGTAAACGTCTAAGAGCAGCCAATTTGTCTAATGGAGACAATAAGATGTTTATCTATAGTGAAACACAACAAGTTCACGCTAATGGTGTAAAATACAGGCAATACCGGGGTTTAATGAAAGCTAAGGAGCAACTCAAGAGGGAAACGGTTTAGCATCGGGGATTTGACTTAACACGCATATACAAGAGGATTTATGTGCACATTGGAGGTAACATCAGATCAGGTTGTTTCTTTATCAGCACAAACTACATTTTTATTTGTCTCGTTTATTCTAAATGTATTTCATATAAATGTCAAAGCTTATTTCTTCTTTTCATCATCTCATTTACATATTGTTAACGTTTCTTTCAGTATTGTGACCCGTGAAGATCCGGGGTAGAATAGGTCTTCGGCAACCCATGCTTGCCGTAAAAGGCGACTATGCTTGTCGTAAGAGGCGACTAACGGGATCGGGTGGCCAGGCTCGCTGAATTGGGATCGATGCTCTTGATGTCGATCACTGGATTGTCTGGTCCAGACTCGATTTTTTACAGACCGCCGTCATATAGCGGGAATATTGCTGAGTGCGGTGTAAAACAACAAACCAACTAACCAACTTTCAGTATTGTTCTTCAAGTTATTGTTGACTCGACCCTTGATCTTATGTTCTCTCTTTTAAATGGTCTTTTCTCCATTTTTGTCGATCCTTTTCAATCCACTGGTAGTACCAACTTTGTTGATTAGTTATTTCATGAAAAAAACAACCTTTTAATGCTATGAATTAAGGGCCAACCGTGAATTTATTTCTTTTCTGACAATACGTAAGTGTTATCATACCGTATCTGTGTTACTACAGGCACTCTGAAGATGCTCAAACCCCATGAGGTGATTCTACATCGAGACAAGGGTGATCGAAGCCACAGAAGTAAGTAACTGGGTGTGAGGTGGGTGTTTATGCCGCACTCATCAGTATTGCATCTATGTTACAGCAATATCGAGAAACCACTCGCTGACTCAGCTCATCCCACCCCCACTGTACCAATCGCAATTCGCTGTGCAGAGTACGTCCCTTAGGCCTGAAGCCTATGATTGTGGGTTCCAACCCCGGTTCGTCCCGATTATGTTTCTAGGTTTGTCTGACGCCTGCATCACTTCGGGCTTTCCTCCCACATTAAGCTGACACGACGCGATATAACTGGAATACTGTTAACAGCGGCGTTAAACCCAGTCATACAGCGGGTATATTGCTGAGTGCGGCCTTAAACAAAAACAAACAAACACATTTGATGAAATGATGGTAAAATCCCGATAACATGTGTCTCTGGCAATATCAGTTTAATTCCATGATTTGTGATAACCGCTGCATGCGATAATACAGTTTTCGAAAAAGGCTTAATTTAGATATTTGACGAATAAATTCTAAGATTCCTTAGATTCAATTATAATATTCTTTAACTTCTTTTGACTAGTATATAGGACGTCATCTAGAGTTGGATGTTACTGCATTGTGTTATTTGTCACACGTGAAACCATGCCTGTATTAGATATAAATGTCGTATGTATGACAATTGTGTTTTCACCTTTAACAAAGATATTCAGCAAATCTCGGTAATGAGAAATAGTTTGCAAGCACGTAGATCCTCTCAGCCATAAGCCAAAGCGAGGACAATATCGTTTAGTGCACCAATTGAATGACGCCACTGTTAACGCTTTTATAACCTCGCGCTGCGGCAAGTGGAATATCAACAGTGCTGGAAAAGCCCGTCAGGTGGTATCTGACACAATGGTATTTTTCAAACTACTTCATTGTCTTACCCATGAAGACTTTTTAGGGCCACGAAAGGCTAGTCGTCTGTGTCGCCGTATTTCTCTGAGCAGAGTTGCCTTCCCTTATACGTGCCAGAATCCGATGATCGTTGGTTCGAATCCCAGATTCGGCCTCATTATGATTCTTTGAGACCATATTCCTCCCACATTAAGCTGACACGACGTGATGTGACCGGAATACTATTCGAAGAGGCATTAAACCCAACTCACGCACTCAGTCACTTAAGACCATGCCCGGCCAATAATTGGGTTTCACCAAAGTGGTAAACGTCTAAGACCTGAATCACATGAGGCTTTCCTCCAATATCAAACTGACATGCTGTGATTAGTTGAAATAATCTTTAAAGCAGCGTTAACCAGAACTCACTGCCCCACCCCACACCCCACACCCCACCCCCCACCACTCTCTCTTACTATGTATGCGAGGATCGATTCTCATGATGCCAATCACTGGATTGTCTGGACCAGACTCGATTATTTACAGACCGCCGTCATATAGCTGGAAGTTTGTTTTACATGGATGATTGTGTGATTTTTCACCCCGACGGCGAGAATAGTTGCTCGTACTGTCAACCACTGGTTTCCCCAGCACAGATTCGATCCTACAGGCCATCTTGAAGAAATTAAAATACCTCACTCACCCACTGAAAACTATACCAGAAATATAGCACAGACAACATATATATTGAAAGACCATTATATTTGTAAATCTAGGATTGCAGCGTGCATTACAATGGTGTTTCTTTTGCAGCTGGTGGTCTGGGCATGCGTGTTGTAGGAGGAAAGGACTGCGACAATGGAACCCTGGGAGCCTTCGTTGTCATGATAACCAAAGGAGGCCCCGCTGATATGCAAGGTCGAATACGAATCGGTAAATAGTCTGTTTGTTTCACGAAGTCTCATCGCCACATGTAATCAGTGAAGTTTTTTATCTTTGCTAGAAATAAAAAGAATGTTGGCGAACGATGGTAATTATCCATCAACATCATTTCCTATAGCACAAGCTCACATAGCTTGAATATGATGATATTTATGAAAAGGCGCCGTTGGTTAGCCAAGAGGGTAAAACGTTCGCTCGTGACGCCAAAGGCCCGGGTCGATTCCCCACACGGACACTTAGGCCAGGACAGATGTCAGTGTGACACTGGCCTAGAAACACGTCTCTAGTAACTCCATATCGAGTGGCTCTACCTGGTTTATATTGTACATGTCTGATGCTGTAATTAATTGGGGTGAGACTTGATTATCTGTGTGCCTGCCTGCCTCTCCGTCATCAAACAATGGATTACGTCACCAAACGTCGTCAAACGTCGTCAAACGTCGTATGCCCTTATTCGACCTTGGCCTTCGATTCCGTCAACATCACAAAGAGAGCTATTTTGTGAGCTATTTGAACGTCAATCTTTGGATTTTGCTTGACGTTGAGACTGTAATTGACATTGAAATGATTGACAGGGCTATGATACTGCCACGTGCAAGGAAGGTCAGAGTATCAGATCGCTAACTGTACGTTATACTTAGCCATGCTCTTTGATTTAACTTCAATCTGAAATCTGACGAGTACTAATCATCTAAATCACAATATTGGTTTCTTCTAAATATATGCAGGAGAGAACATGGGCCCATGTAACATGATTTGACTCGTTGGGCGCCCGCTCAATCATGCCATTCGACTGAGCCGTACCAATATAGTCAACTGCCATGTTGTTCTGTTACGTTTCACTGCAAATTGACAATGGCGTCATATAATTATGGATCGTCGTTAGGCAATATGAGGGCATTATCGTATTACAGTGGCTCGCACTTTGCCTGATAACATGCAGGCCGTTTTATGCTAACTGTGTCCATGTTAGCTATAAAGTGTGACCAAGTGTGATATTGCTGGAATATTGCTAAAAGCGGCGTAAAGCCATACTCACTAACTTTAAAGCGTGACAATGTGAAAAATCGTCAAAGGACACTCACTCGTCTTTATAAAAAAAAGAACGTCTTTCAAACAAACATGGTGTTCCTTTTCCCCCGAATATGGGTCAAATGAAAATCAAATTTTTTTATCATGCTCAAGATCGATACTAGGTAAAAAAAATATCTATTGCGTGTTCTTTCAGGTGATCAAATTATCGAGTGGAATGGTGTCTCACTTACGAACGTCACGTTTGAAGAAACACGTGACATAGTCAACCAATCAGGGAACGTCGTCCAGCTCAAAGTCATCCACAGGCATATAAAGAAAAGGTTTACAATTTGTCATTATAAAATGATACATCGAGGAGTATTTGTATCAAATGTCACGCACGTTGCTGTTCTGTCATCCTAGCGGCTGAAGGTGCAAATGCTCCATCGTTTGGGTTCCTTATTAAATCCAAATCATGCCATGCGTCTGTATTGCGCAGCAGTTGTCGATGTGATCGATAGGCGGTAATGGAAAAACAGAACTAAACTAGTCTGTCATGAAATTGTACCAAGACAGTCTTCTTACACAAACGTTCATGTTAATTGAACAGAGGTTAGCAGGGGGCTACTTGTACTAGTTCGGTACCCGTGAAGATCCGGGGTAGAATAGGTCTTCAGCAACCCATGCTTGTCGTAAGAGGCGACTAACGGGATCGGGTGTTCAGGCTCGCTGGCGTGGATCGATGTTCATGATATGAATCACTGGATTGTCTGGTCCAGATTCGATTATTTACAGACCGCCGTCATATAGCTGGAATATTGCTGAGTGCGGAGTAAAACGAACAACCAAACCAAAACTAGTTCGGTATAATGCCGATTATATTGTGCAACACCACTGATAAACCATGCCGCAGTTTAACATGTATACCTCACTCAGACAAGGTATACCGACTCCTTGTTTTAGCCCCTGATATCCGAGCGCCAGGCAGGATAACAACAAGTACCATATTTTAACGTCTTTGGTATGACGCGGCGGCCAGGGGATCGAACCACTGACTTTCACTACCTGGCAGACTACGGATATATTTTAGTATAATTGTATGAACTTTATTAACAATTTATAGAGTCTTGTAGTAGTCGTATAAGTCCTGCATGTCTTCGGATTTATTACTGCTTATTTACTGCTTTATGATAATATCAACCAACGAAAGAAAAAGATACAGAAAATATTTGTGAAATTTAACTTACAATCCACACAATCGTAATAGTGATATACATCAAGGTTCTTTTTTTTCTGATAATGTTTTTAATTATGAAAGGGTAACCAGGTAAATCCCATATAAATTACAGTTTTATTCGTCAATTGTACTTTAAAGATTAATTAAATATTCAAGCCGGATACAGCACAATCCATGAGACGCCTAACCTTCCCTCATTGGAAAACCCAGAGTACCAAGCTGAACCCTCGTTAATGCCAGCTTCGCCTTCAAGTCGGTGCATCTATCAAATCAATTCTGCCCACAGCTTTAAGTTATTGTCCAACAAGTACATTACAGGAAAAGATGGCAAATAGCTGGACAGGTGTTCTCTCAATAAGTCCGTATCTATTTGTAATTGCTCCCACAAGTGGCAGATTCCTGTAGCATGCGCGGTAATGGACGGATAAAAGACGGTAATGAGAAGCTGGTCGTGTGTAGTTCTCCCCCTCGGTGTAGCCCTATTGTATGTGGCCGCCCTCGATCATTATCAGGGCTCGACACTGTAACTAGGTCATGATATCGTCGCTTGTTGAAAGACATCTTATCTTATTATTTGGCAATTTCAGGTTGTCTGAAGACTCTGAAACCCCTAGGGTTGCTAGAATAGGTGAGTTTGTGATGATCACTTGGCAACGTTACATCATTTTAAATGTCAATACGAAGAATATGTGATAGGCTTGCGTGGGCATTTTGAGATAGTGAGTGAGTTTGGTTTAACGCCGCTTTAAACAGTATTCCAGTTATATCGCGGCGTGTCTGCTTAATGTGGGAGGAAAGCCCGAAGTGATGCATGTCTCAGACGTTTACCACTTCGGTGAAACACACGAGCACGGGTATGGTGCTGACAAACCTAGACACATAATCGGGGCGAACCGGGATTCGAACCCACAATCATAGGTTTCTGCACAGCGAATCGCCGCACCTTAGACCCCCCACGCCAGAAACCTTTGACACGCCGTGATATAACCGAAATACTGTTAAAAGCGGTGTTACCCAAACTCACTCACTCATTCGAGTCCTAATAGTGAAATCCAATTTTGGTATTCCTTGGAAGAACACAAAATGCTCATTCAACTCATGTATGTATGTATATATATATATATATATATATATATATATATATATATATATATATATATATATATATATATATATCCTGGTTCACTGATATCACGTTCCTTTAGTTCTACGTTCGAAACCAATATTGTATTAAGTGTACGATGATGTGATTTTAAGAATCTTGAAATGTTACTCCGGCATGTTGTGAAATAGACACTTATACGACTCAGATGCTCAAATAATTACTTTATTACACATTATTGGGGTCGCCGGTATATGCCGCGTTCAAACATCCTCGCCCACTCAGTATACACTCGCTAAAATTATTTGTTTATACAAGAAGATATATATTTTATGATTACTAAGGACTAACTGTTGTAATTTGTCAAAAAATTGTACTGCTCCAGCCCGTTGTGTCCATAATACACAAAGTGTGATGTATAATCTTTGTGAGAAGAAGACTCTTGCTCAAAAGTGTTTCATCAGGGCAACAGCCATTCAGCTTGTGTGGTCTATATCATATTTTGCCGCCCCCTCCTTTTTATGCAGCGTTTCTATCCCGCCCCCAATACATCATGATACATGTAACATTTTCCATACCCCCAACCCTTCCATCCCAATATATCTTTGTTGTGATCGACCTCCCACCCCCACCCCCAACCCCTCCGCTGTCAGTTTTTCCCTCATGTCCCCCACACCATCTCCCGCCTCCCCCCTACCTGTAATATATAACCAGTCCCCATAGCTTAGTGAAGCTTTCAATGTATGGGCATTTATAAATCGGACGCATCAATATCATATGTTCCCGTGATTCTTCAGGTGAACCCTTACCTTGCAGTTGCATGTGTTTGTGACGGGTCAGGATACGCTCATCTTGTATCATTACTATTTGATAGTGATTGATAAACACATGCTTATGATATGGTTGGATTCGTGCAAGGGATTCACTTTTTGCAGAGATTTCCTATGATTATGGAAAGGGTTTTGTGGCTTTATTTCCAACAGAATCTGAAGACTGGGGGCAGTGTTGTAACCTGGTCCCCTTCCTCCCCCCTGATAGTCTTCCCTCGCGACCGAGACGACGAATGCTGCCCAAAACACCGGTAAGTTGTTGCAAACTGTATAATACACTAAGGGTCTAAAGTACCACATATTCTGTTTCTATCCCGGGGGCATGGGTGGCCCAGTCGTCTAAGGCGCCGCGAGTTGCGTCCCTTGGGCACGTCAGAAACCTATGATTGTGGGTTCGAATCCCGGTTCGTCCCGATTATGTCTCTAGGTTTGTCAGCACCATACCCGTGCTCGTGGCTTTCACCGAAGTGGTAAACGTCCGAGACATGCATCACTTCGGGCTTTCCTCCCACATTAAGCTGACACGCCGTGAAATAACTGAAATATTGTTAAAAGCGGCGTTAAACCCAATTCACTCACTCACTCACTGTTTCTATCCCGAAGTGAATATACATGAATAGAGACCGATTAGCATTTATACAACCCAATGTTATAATATTTTCATAATTCTTTGATAGAGGTAACGTTGATAATATGTATCTGTGACGTGTAGTAGGACATTCTTACCCTTTTCTCGAACACCTGATCCATTCATGTTATTTTCACCTCTATTTTGCCTTTTACGCTAAATGGTCTCTCTTTCGGCAGATAAATGAGAATGATAATCCTCTGGCGTTGACGTTGTATATTGTATTAAATACCCTAGTAACCCTATCAAAGCTACATGGGGAAAAGGACATAACGCAGGCGACAAGCAGTCTCTGTGTTGGTGTCAGGAAGAAACGTCGCTATGTGGTTGCATTCCTTCCAATGCGACTTTAAATGTTAACTCATGCTTTTATAAGGTAGTAATAATTGGAATAACAAAATAGAAGGCTTATAAAAAATAATTTTTCTGGTATCATTGGCACTATCCTGCAAGACGACAGCAGAGCGTTCTTCCTTGTTTCCAGGCGTCACATTTTGTCCGAAAAAATAACAAGCTACCTAATTTAGCATGCTTCTAAAACATAAATTGCAAGTGATTCTGTGGCGTTTAAATGGCTAATAAAGCAGTATTATTTGCATGTATGTTTCCATTAACCGAAAAAGCATGAGGCCATGCCCATCAACGGACTAGTCATTTTTGATTGGTTGTCTACCCTTCTTGATCGCGCTGAACGATGTCGCTCATTTAGTATTGTTGTCGACCCGTGAAGATCCGGGGTAGAATAGGTCTTCAGCAACCCATGCTTGTCGTAAAAGGCGACTATGCTTGTCGTAAAAGGCGACTAACGGGATCGGGTGGTCAGGCTCGCTGACTTGGTTGATGCTTGTCATCGTATCCTAATTGCGTGGATCAATGCTCATGATATTAATCACTGGATTGTCTGGTCCAGAATGGATTATTTACAGACCGCCTCATATAGCGGGAATATTGCTGAGTGCAGCGTTACACAACAAACCAACCAAACCAAATCGTATTCTTGTCTACAGTCTTTGTGTGTTAATGGTTAAACAAGCCTGTGAAGATTATTATTGCCGGTGTATGTATTATAGGAATTAAGTTGATATGTTTTCGCGTCCATACCTCAATTAAAGCAACAAATACTGAAGTCGGTTCTTTCAGAACAATTTGTTTATGTGCTCTGGATGTGTCGTCCTTGTTTTGTGCCAGATCGAGATGAAGAAGGAGACACGGCGCATCACAGGTCGCATCCTGACACGCATCAACTACCTTCCTTCAACAGAACGGCTGGAGATTTCCATACTAAGAGCTGAACAGTTGTCACTTCCAGAGAGCTCTCAACAGAGAGTGCCGAACCCTTTGGTGCTGGTCCATATGCTTCCCCAGAGAAGGTAGGGTTTCACAAATGCCATAAGGTATCGAAAGTGTATGGTTCGTTGGTTCGTTAGTTGGTTTGTTGTTTAACGTCGCACTCAGCAATATTCCAGCTATGTGACGACGGTCTGTAAATAATCGAGTCTGAACCAGACAATCCAGTGACTGACATCACGAGCATCGATCCACGCAATTGGGATACGATGACATGCATCAACTAAGTCAGCGAGCCTGACCACCCGATCTCGTTAGTCGACTCTTACAACAAGCATAGTCGCCTGGGTTGCTGAAGATCACGGGTCCGACAGTGTATGGAATATGTCATGATATGAAGTACGTTTATTCGGACTAAAATTAGTCATCGAGCCCCAAGCGCAAACATGTGAACACTAAGCGTAAACATGTGCACACTAAGCCTGACATCCGGAACTGTTAGTGTGACTGAAACACTAGGGGTTGATACTGCAACCGCTCTTGTTAACTAGTGAACACTAAGGGTTGGTGTGCATACATCGTGCATTTGCCACCTTAAGTGTTCACATTTTTCCGATGAGACGTGAAACTATGTTTTCGTGACATATGGACCTTATAAAGATTACAATAATTCACTTTCTGAGTTTGTACTATGTTTTTAATATGAAAAACACTTTTAAAATGTGTGACTGTATGTTTGTGTATAAATGTGTGTATAACTTTCTTAAAACATACCCATCCATCTTTTCGTAATTATAGCTGCATCCCAAAACTTTGTTCACCTGCTTTTCATATTGCTATGTAAAATCAAACAATGGCAGTCCTATTGTTCGAATGTTCTCTCTTTTGCTTGTCAATAATTGAGCAACATGAAAACCTTGCGGAAAGGGGGGTTGCGTCAGTGTTTGAAAAACGAAGACCATTTTTAGTTGAAGCTAATTTGGAAAGGTTTTCGATGAAATATGCATAAATCATTTATCTTTACCATACAAAAGTGACGGCTTCATATTCATGGTATTACGACTTGGGCAAAGCTCGAAATAGGCCGTGATAAAAAAAATATATATGTAGAATCCTTTGACAGTTTTTTATCGGGTTTGAGTTATTTCACTTGTCATGCTTTCTGTCAAGTCTGTGGATATTCTATAAGAACTGAGCATAATACACGAATCAAAGACATCGGGGTCATGATGCAGAAAATATCCAAAATGACCATTTTCAGTTTTTGAACCATTCCTGACTTAAGGCTCGGCCATATTAGTTCTGCAATATATTCGTTAATGTGTTTGCTGGCATGATTATGGTCACTATGTAATGTTACTATCAAACCGGGAAAACAGATAAGGAAAAGATTCATCGGGAGCAAGGATATTGATATAGTTAATGAAATATCAAAAAACATGAATTTAAATTGGTTTCAAGAAGTAGGGGAACAAACTGTCGGGATGCAGGTGTCTAAGAATGTATTGGCACTAGTAACGGTTCGTATTTTCCAATACAAGTACTATGTTAAAAGAGGTTTTCAAAAACACAATTGTATAACTTTCTAGACAGAGATAATACATCACTTTTGGCAAACGACCTCGAGTAGCTGTCAAGTAACCCCTTGTGTCACCATATGAACATGTTAGGTGGCAGTATAAACTGTTTAAATGAATAATATTACATAAATATACTAAGGTTTTCTTGCAAAACAAATATCATTTTTAAACAAGTTCTCAAGACACAAGTGTGTGACTTTATATGCAGAGATATTATAGGTATTGTAACTGTGGGGCAAACAAACACCAGCAGTTGCAAATGTAATCCCTGGTGTTAAAATTTCTTCAGTTTAGGACAAAAATGTAAGACTTGCAAAATGGTCTCTTAAATGCCAAACGGAAAGCTTTCTAGTGACTTTCACCTTGGGCCCTTATGTGCCCCAAACTATTCAATGCGACCTCTCTGGATTACACATATGGTATAAACTATTAATGCTAGGAAGCTTTGCATGAACAAGCTATTGATAGAAACAAAAGTGACAGCCGGACGAGTCAGGAGCGGACAAATTCATCGATAAAATTAAAGCTACACGTTTTCACGAAACTGCTTATTTAATTACATGTACAAAGACAAACACTTTCATATAATCTATGTACACTCGAAACCCATCACCGTCCTCCAACCCCACCCCTCGAACGCCGCCAACCTCCCCCGTAACTACCCACCCCACCACGCACCCCCAGCCCTCCATTCACACCCACACTCCCACTCACTTGCGAACCCACAAACACTTATGCCAAAACCTCACCTGAGATCCCCTCTCTTCCTGCAACCGTTAGTATGAATAGTAACACAAAGGGTCGGTCTTGTATAGATTATCGACAACGTCAACCCTTGGTGCAGTTGCAACCCTTAGTGTTCATAGTTAAACTAAGGGTTAGGTGAACACTGGGGGTTGTAACACAAAGGCGTGCTTAATTGCGTCACTTGTTTGATTTTTTCACTTATAGTAGAACACTGACATCGCGTCATGTACGGGAATTCTGTTGTGACGTATGTATGTCAGGTGTTACCCTAGGTCTTCCAGCTTTTGAATGTCACTCGATGGCCTCCTTTAATCGATGTTCATCGGGATTGTCCGGAATACTACATATCTTCTAGGTGTACCTCCAAAGCATGAGTGTACGGGCACGGGTGGCCCAGTCGTCAAAGGCGCCGCAATTCGCTGTGCAGAGTTGCGTCCTTTGGGCATGCCAGAAACCTATGATTGTGGGTTCGAATCCCGGTTCGCCCCGATTATCTTTCTAGGTTTATCAGCACCATAACCGTTCTCGTGGGTTTCACCGAAGTGGTAAACGTCTGAGACCTGCATCACTTCGGGCTTTCATACCACATAAGGCTGACACGTCATGATATAACTGGAATACTGTTAAAAGCGGTGTTAAACCCAAAATCACTCACTCACCCAAAGCATGAGTATAAAAGCAGTTGTACATCATATTCAAAAAATGGTTATTTCAGAGTCTACCCAATCTGCCTGTTTCGCTTTGGTTAAACATGTTTAGCAAAACAAGGACGTAACCTACTGTGGGATTGAAACTTCCTATTGAGCTAAGCAAATAAATTACCACGGAGTGCTGGTTTGATTATTTAAAAAGGATGTCCTGTAAATATTATTTACTGCAAACATAAATGCAAGGTTTGTCCAGAACGTCTGAACAGGTTCCCTGTGACATCACAGTCACTGATAGAAGCATGCTATGCACCTATTTTCTTGCAGGCTGATGCCGTTTAAAGAGACGGACGCGAAACAGAATACGAGAAACCCGGAATGGGACAAAACGTTCTACTTCCACAACATTTCAGAAGATCAGGTATTTTTTATTAATTATGTCTTTTTTTCAATTATGTTTGGAAATATTTTCAAATGAATATAATCAGAAGTAATCCCTAAAGTTAAGATATATCTAATTTACTCGTTTATTTGCACTTTGCAAAGTCCACAGAGTTTTAAAGCGCTATATTCCTTACGTTGTAGTGGACAGTTTGAATGTCACATGACCATAGCGGAAAGCGTCCATCCCCTTTCTGACCAATCATTTCATCTCCTTTTTATATTTTTAACGGATTTCGACCGACCGGAGCAAAAAGCCACTATCAGAAAAAAATTTGATTAAATGCATTGTATAAACAGTATAAGGATTTCCTTTTTCCACTGAACCGACTCAAATAAATTCATGCCAAATAAAATAAAAAATATGGAGCCATTTATTTTCTGTATGCCCCAAACCGGTCCACCATACTTTCCCTGTATCCAATACTTTACACACTGAATTAAACATACTCAACAAACGACATTGACTGGTTCTTTCAAAATTCAATCTCTTTTGAATTTTGCTTCTTACAATAAGCAAGTGGTTGTATTGCAATATTCTAACAATTTAAACAAATTCAATAGACGTTTCCACCCTGTTGGGATTCTGGGGGAGATTTGGCCCCAGTGTCTCACTTATGTAAGATACTAAGAACCTACTAAAGAGGATCAGGCGCTCATACTCAGTGATTTGGCTAATTACGGCTCATCGCCCTACGACGACATGGGTCGTCATGCTTACAGTAACTGGATGTCTGGTCGAGTTATTTCCAGGAGCCAGTGATATTTACTGCTCTAAAGAAGTTTTAAAAAAACCCGATATTTTCATATGACTTTAGTTAATCTAGCTTGTGGATATATTGTCAACGCGCATGTTGACAGGGAATTGGCTCTTTGGTGAATAAAGGACAAAATCGGCATCACTGTCCCGGAACGTTTTATGCACAACATATAAATAATTAACACCAAATACACAATGAGCGGAATACCTGCTCTGACAACACAAACACAGCGATGAGCGGACCTTCCAGCTCAGGCGTACATGAGGTGAGCGGAGATCGAGCTCAACCTCAGGACGTTTCCTACGAGCGGCACATCCTGCTCGAGGTCGTCCATACACCAGCACTCGGAATACCAAGCTGACTAACAGTGTAATGGTAACACATACATAGTAATGAACAACAATAGGCAGACAAAGAATCAATGACGTTGCTCTGGACATGGGACTTATGGGGGTGATGAAGCGACACAGCTTAGGGGATGAACAATTAAGGCAATAAATGTTATAAATAATAGTAATTAATGGGAAGTGATATAGTAGCCCAGGTTGGCTGACAGTCAATATACAATGAAATATTGGTGAGGATTAACAACGGGGATTAGCGCCTAATAAATACTGACAATTAGGTTATGGAGACATACACATGCCATGGCTACAGGGTAATTAGCCTTTGGAATCAAATGTTTTTTAGACAATGGTTGTCCAAAATCAGTCGCTATGACAAGATCAACAAACAGCATTCCACTTGTGCATGTATAACTTGTTATGAGTAAAATATATGGAATGTTGTTGTCTGCGTTGACTCACCGTTGCCATTGTCCTGTACGTTTTACAGGAATGACTGCTCACTTTTTCCGCTAATAACATTTCAGCTGTTGCAAAAGGCTATAGAGATCACGGTGTGGAGCCAGGCCGAGAAGGAAGACATGTTCCTTGGGGAGATCCTCCTTGACCTCAGTGACGCTGAGCTGGAGTACGAGGCTCTGTGGTACAATCTGGAGGACCATGATGAGAACAGCTCCCCACTCCCAGAGCGGAAGCGGCCGCTGGAGATACCCGACACTGTCCTCACAACGGCAGATTCTAGGAATGGGAATAGTCCGAATGCTTCTCCAAATTGTCCTCGCAGGTCTCTTCCGGTGACCCCTAACGACCACCAGATTCCAAGGTCGCCTTTCAAACGATCTCCTAGTAAGTATCAACCTTACGTGGACGTTGCAAAATGTATCACTTTGAGAAATATCAATATATAATTATAGTCAAGAAAATTCGTGACACGAATACCACACTATTTCAGAGGAAAATGTTGTTTTGCTGGATTGAATCTTTTTTCAAAATATGTAATGGGTAACAGACATTGTCAGATTGTCTCCGGTCTTGTGGATAGAGCGTCTGTTTCGGACAGCGAAGTTCGGGTGTTCGATTCCCGACCGCGTCATACCAAAAGACGTTAATAGTGAGTGAGTGAATGAGTTGGGTTTAACGCCGCTTTTAACAGTATTCCAGTTATATCACGGCGTGTCAGCTTAATGTGGGAGGCAAGCCCGAAGTGATGCATGTCTCAGACGTTTACCACTTCGGTGAAACCCACGAGCACGGGTATGGTGCTGACAAACCTAGAAACATAATCGGGGCGAACCGGGATTCGAACCCACAATCATAGGTTTCTGGCGTGCCCAAGGGACGCAACTCTGCACAGCGATTCGCGGCGCCTTAGACGACTGGGCCACCCGTGCCCCCCAAAAGACGTTAATAGATGGCACTTGTTGTTGACCGTGATATTGCTGGAATATTGCCAAAAGAGGCTTGTTGTTGACAGCATCCCCCCCCCCCCCCCCCCCCCCCCCCCCCCCCTTCACTACACCTGACATACATTGTCAAAGAAAATATATTAATTATCCCACTCAATCATTTCGAACCAAAATAACCTTCAATCCCGATATTTCTGTAGTCGTATTAACTGCCATTGTAAATATCGATCAAACAATCAAGCAGAAATTGAAAATAAATACATTTCAAATCTTTCTCAATACGCATTGTCTCAAATGACTGAAAAACACCTTTTCAATTTCTGATTCATCCATGTACACACCTACGTCCTGTATTGCAGCAGGCAACGAAACAAAATGAATGAACATTAATGCATATTTCACCAGGTGCAGACCGCAAGAGTCCGTGCTTGAGTCCACCAAGATCACCAACGAACCAAAGTGACAGCAGCTTCCAGTCGGGTACTTATGCTAGACTTTCAAAGGGGTATCTTGTGCCACGAATTCAATTCGAAAAAAACATTTGTTAAATACTGTCACCCAAACAGATATTTTAGTTTGTCACATCTCATACCTCAGTTGTTTTGTTACTTATATCCCGTTCACGTGCAAATTTGCATCATGTCTGGAGCATGTGCAATTGTAAATGTAAAATTGCACTGAATGTATGTGTTGAAAAGTGAACGTTTATGCCCACGTCAGAGGATGATCTAATTAATATATCTATATTTGCCAACACCAACCAGTTCTGTATTCCGATGTTGACGTTCTTCAGTATACAGCAATACCATCTTTAGATTAGTTTAGATAAGTAGTTAATATACTGTTACGGTTAGTGAGTGAATGTTGTTCAACGCCAGAGTCCTCAATACAGCTACAACACAGTGGCCTGTAAATAATCAAGTCTAGACTAGACAAGCACGATGACACCAATCAGCCAAATCACCCAACCTGGCTTTCACGATCTATATACGCCTCCTTCAACAAGCATAGGTTATGTTTTATGAGAAACGATCAGACACACAATGTTGCCCAATCAACAAGGCCACAAATAATGACAAAACGATCTTCACTTTAGTCAACAGGGGACTTTTCGTTGAAAGTTTAGAATTTGCACTGGAGCTATTTGTCCCACCAAGTCAAGCGTCAATAGCCAATATAGTTTTGTATTCATCAGGGCACAGAAACAGCTTCACCAGCAAGGTGAAGAGAAAGATGTCCTGTGCCGTGTCCAAGGTGTCTTCCTCGCTGTCTGTCTCAGAGAAGAGAGACTCTGGTAGGGAACGGCTTATACTGGATACATGTATTTACTGGTGTCGGGATAAAAGCATCCTCCATTCCATTTGATAAATACCCAGGACCATGGCTACCATGGCTTCGTGTTAAGCCCGATTCGAATAATAGTACTCTAAAAATAACTGTCCAATCAAATTACTCAGAAATTCTGTGCACTGTTTGAGACGTCACCTCCGGAAAGGATATATGGTACCGAATGGTTGCATGTTTTCTTTATCATTATAGAATGGAGATGTTTTACACTGGATCATCGGGGATGGGTTGTGGCTACTGGTTATATTTGCACAAATGTGATCTGAATATTGTTATTCTACATGCACATATGTATTCCCTAGGTTAATAGTTGCTTGCACATGATCAATCATGGTATATCGCACATTATCATCTAGCTCCAAGCCAAAGTTGTGGTATAAGGTAAATTAATTTTGATATATTACGTGATTAACCCTTGGTCAGAAAGCACGCTTACTTTGATACATATACATGGTAGGAGCCATGTGTATGGATATCAAGGCCCCGATCGATTGTAATTAATCGTCCACTGCAGTACGAGGGCTGGTCAAAAAGTTCAAAACCTGACTAACTTTCAACTTTGGGCCATGACAAAGTGACTTTGTCAATGTAGTATATTGTTTGAGTTGTATTTGAGTCTGTTGAGACCGTTTGTATATTAATGACAGACAGTTGAACGTGATATGGGTCCAAATAAACACAGAAATGAGAAGAACGAGTACCGAGCAGTCATCAGGCTTTCGACTTTAGAGAAAAGTACTCTCCAAGAAATTCATGACCGCATGTCACAATTGTATGGGGATACGTGCCCTAGCTATTCCACTGTGAAACGCTGGGCAGCTATGTTTAAGCCCTGGTGATGACATCAGGTCTGGACATCCCTCAATTCAATCAAGGAGAAAACTTAAACTGTCAGATAGACGTATTACCACTGCTGATCAAGACACATGTTTAAGCCATAGATCCTTTGAGACTATCATTCGTGAACATTTACAGGGGAATAAGATATCTGCTCTTTGGGTGCCAAGGTTTCTAAATTCTGATCTTAAGGGAAAAGGAACTGACATTGCCAGAGAAAATCTAGAGGCGGATTTCGTCAAATTCAAAATGAGATTAGTAACGGGTGATGAAACATGGCTCTACCACCATGATCCCTAGTCGAAACGTCAATCCATGTATTGGCACCATTCCACTTCTCCGGCACAAAATAAAATCAAATCATCACGATCAGAGAAGAAAGTTATGGCCACTGTATTCTGGGATGCAAATGGTGTAATCCTTGCTGACAATTACCGGTGACAACTATGCTGATTGCTTCATCGCTATGAGGATTCTATCAATGAAAAGCGTCGAGGAATGCTGACTGCTGGAGTTGTACCACTTCATGACAATGCCTCTTCTCACACCTATCGACTTGCAAAGACTGCTGTGCGACAATGTGGGTTCGGAGAGCTTCCTCACCCTCCATACTCGCCAGACCTGGCACCAAGTTATTTCCACCTGTTTCCATAAACTGAAAGAACACCTTCGTGGAAAGCGACATGACGACAACGATGACCCATAGCTGCCGTGAATGAGTTTTTCAGGGTGGCTTCAGAAAACAGCTTCCTGGCTGGAATTGAAAAGCTTCACTGTCGATATGAAAAGTGTCTTGAAAAGCAGGGAGATAATGTTAAAAAATATAATTAAAAACACTTTCACAATTGATGGTTTTGTTTGTTAGGCTTAGAACCTTGTGACCAGCCCTTGTATACGCCATTGCTTCACACTCCAGTTCTGTCTGACGATACTAGCCCCGGGGAGATGGGACGCAGTAGAAGTTTCGGAGATGATTCTCGGGACCCCAGTCCAAACAGACCACGCAGTAGAAAGACATCGTCTTCCAAATCAGGTGCACATGCCACTGGCCATCTCTACTCATTGTGTTTCCTTCTCAGATCAGCCGGACTTCAGACCATCCCCAGGCTATGTTCGGGAAACGATGGGGACCGTCCCAAATGTTCAGTTTACCATTCGATTAGAATTCTTTCACACTGGAATAAGTTACCACGACAAGTACAGTTCACTATTGAACAGACGCTAAAAAGTAGACACAGGTGAATAAAAGCGACAATAACTTTTTCTATGATCACAAGAAATCTCCAGCGTTAATTTGAACACCCTTATCACTTATTATTATTTTATTAATTATTCTTACTATCATCATTATTATTTTAGAGGGGAAAGGGACAAACTGTAAGAAATGTGGTATAATGGCAAGGGAAATTGGTAAAATTTCCGAGAGTGATAGAGCTATATTCCACGAATCTGCTTCATCAAAGAAATTACGACTTTAGATTACGAACTAACGTGATCCCGAAAGACATTACTTGAAAAGATTGTCCATGGCTATAATGTTCCCTTTATTTTAATGCCATTACACAGTGTTCACGTTGTCTACGATAGTATTATTCGATTCCTCGAACTGGAGAAAACATTCCGCACTTCAAACTACATTGAGGTGCCCAAAATAAGACTGGATTGTTGAGAATATTTCTGAAAATACTTACGATTATTTGTTTCGCGCATTATTTAAAGTTGCTTTGGAAGATTCAATTGTTACGATGTAACACATGTTCGGGTTATTTGTTTAGCGCATTATGAAAGCTAGAGATGTCGATAATGAAGGAAAATCGGAGAAATGGTTATCAAGTCCGGCTGGTTAGGAGATACAATGGTACGCTTAGGCCACATGTAAAAAGTCTTATTTCTCATCACCGACCCTCCATAAAACAATTGACATGCTAAATTCGGTTCCAGTTATTTCAATGCAGAAGTTAAACTTTTTGATGTAACCCGTCTAACGACCACAAAGTTACCGTACGTGATTTTGCTTATAAGAAACTTCTATATATTATTGCTTTTCCTTCAGTAAAACATGGGAATAAAATATATATAATTTACAATTCGACCTTCCAACCCAGTTTCTGTGGTGAGAAACAGGAATATCTTTGTGTGGCCTAATTGTGAGTAACTGAGAATAGTATGAGGCTTTTGGTATGCGGAACAGTAATGGTGGTGGAAATATTTTTGTAATCAGTGCAAATGAATAATATTTGATTTTCCAGTCTGTCACTACAGTCATTGAATTTTAAAAATCATATTTGTCACAAGTAAATGATAACAAATGACTTCCAATGTTATAAATATATCTCACCTGTCATAGTCGTGATAATTGCTGTGCAACATTTCCTGTGATTGTGGCACTTCCGGTCACTCCGGGGTGAATAACAGAAGTGTGTCTTTGTACATCAACTGTCAATAAATTTCAGTCAATCTCGACTTACTAGCACCGCCCCGTCCACTGAGTCGAACCAATAGCCAATCCAGCTTTTATGAGAACGAAACGGAGACGGATGACGATCCATACGGGTTTGTTTTGCGTTGGATTTTTTTTTTTCAATTTTAGTTAGGCAACAAAACAAGAAGTGTTTCTCAGGCATCGGCGCGTCACTTTTTATATCTTGACATTAAATGTTTTCCAGTTAAAAAATATTTATCCCGAGTCTCAAATGACAGACACGCCGAGTTCAGTTTGTGCCAATTTGTTTGTTGATTATTCTTGATGGGGGGAAATAATTGAGTTCCTCATTACTTCTGTTTTTATTGCAAATAAATAAGAAAAATTCTACCTTCCTCCTCACTTTACAGAAAAATGAGCCCGAGAAACATTCTTTTTGCAGCCGTATGATTTTTTATCGTTTATTGTTGTTCGTGGTATTTATAAGTCAAACGACGTGTATTAACGTTACCCTTTTTACAAAAGGCTTTCATAGCTTGTTTTATTTGAGTTAAATGTCGTCTACTAATGGTTAGCCAGGATAAGTTGAGTTGTGACCTGACAATTACCTCTGTATTTCTATGTATGAGGTCCGCCCACTGGCGCGTACCATTGTGAAGAAAGGGGTAGCGGGTGGTCCGCGACAAGTAGTACGATAGGTGTGTACGTGTCCTGTTTCGGCTAACAAGCAGTTCTTGCGGCGAGTTCAATAGCATATAAAAAAAAGTACGCGTGCTGGTGTGAGGTACCCAATGACTGAAATTGGAAGCAAATTTGCATAGATAACAACAATTGGGAAGTGTCGTGACAATGAAGGGAATTCATTTGCTGTAAAAATGGAACACTTCTGTCAAACGACTGGTATCGGCTTGTCACACCGTCCTTATGAGCAGCATCGTGTTTTGAGCAACTCGTATGACCAAGGGACGTTGTCAATTTCATTGTCGTGACCTGCACGTCCACAACATCGGTACAACCTCTCTACCTGCAACAAACCAAATATATATGCCCAAATTCCGTGCACCGCCTACATGTCTCAAATGCGTTTTGCGAGTTGGTTCAACTTATCCTGGATTACCAGTAAGGGTCCATTATCCAAAGAAACTAATGTGATATAACTTAATCCAGACTAAATCCATATCGAAGCTATGGATAACTCCATACAGATTCGAACAACTTGAGATAAATAGGTTTCACTCTTTTTTTTGTGTATGTGTAATAATCTTTAAGACTATGTGATTGGTGAAATGTTTAGGATGTCAAAGGATATGATATCAACGCCCCTTATAGCCTACAATGAAGATGTTTGTTTGGTGATTACTAAATAATGAAATACAGCCAAGCATAGCCAACAAGAAAATATTGATCTGTTTATCTCATTATAACACTTCAGTGACCTCCCTCTGACGCCAGATCGGCCAGCCTCCGATGGGGATGACATTACATCGTCACTAGGTCCGGGCCAGGTGCCCCCCAAACCATCTGCTGGTGAGTTAAATTATATTAAGATTTTCCAATTATTAATATATATACCCCCTTATTTTCTTGAAAATAAATTGGGGGCTCGGGTGGCCCAGTCGTCTAAGGCGCCGCGATTCGCTGTGCAGAGTTGCGTCCCTTGGGCACGCCAGAAACCTATGATTGTGGGTTCGAATCCCGGTTCGACACGATTATGTTTCTAGGTTTGTCAGCACCATACCCGTGCTCGTGGGTTTCACCGAAGTGGTAAACGTCTGAGACCTGCATCACTTCGGGCTTTCCTCCCACATTAAGCTGACACGCCGTGATATAACTGGAATATATATAACTCACATACTAAAAATAAACAGTCGATCACTCAGATACCATCCTTATTAATTTGGCCAATAATGTAAGCATTTTCTCCCGGCACGAGTAAGCTGTCGTGCTTGATTAACTACTTCCGCGGGAGATGACGATCACTCAGACCTGTACTCAGTACTCAGCGACGAGGCAGACTTAAATCAATATCTTATAGTATTTCAACTTCATCACTGACAGATAAGCAATTGATTATTGAAAGTGAAGACACATCCGTCCGTTCAATTAGCATTACAAAGCAAGGAATAATCTTGACCTCATTGATCACGTAACGGGAGCCAGTATATGCATGAGGATCATATCTGAGAACTGGGACATCGTTGAAGTTCCAGGCATGAGAGTGCCAACTGCAGTGTTAATATATCATAACAACACCGTGAAAATAAGTTCCCAGTGCCTGGTGGGCTCACTTAGAAGTTATGGAGCGGTGGGGATGCCCTGCGGTTAAAGCGTTCGCACGTCACGCCGAAGACCCGGGTTCGATACCCCACATAGGTGCAATGTGTGAAGCCCATTTCTGGTGTTCCCCGCTGTGATATTGCTGGAATATTGCTAAAAGCGACGTAAAACCTTACTAACTTGACCCTTCTAGATCCGGGCCAGAATAGGTCTTCAGCAACCGATGCTTGCCGTAACAGGTCGTAAGATGCGACAAACGGGATGGGGTGGTCAGGCTCGCTGACTTGGTCGTTGCATGTCATCGTATTCCAATTGCGTAGATCGACGCTCATAATATCAATAATTTACAGACCGCCGTCATATAGCTGGAATATTGCTGAATGTGGTGTTAGACAACAAACAAACACTCACTCACTTATGACGTTATTTTTTTTATAAACCTAAATGCATTATGATGTTTTTGATTTATGTCGCAGTTGATGAATATACTTTTGAACAACTGAACTCATGACAAAAAAATGTGACTTTGTGAACAGTTCATAGTGGAATAACATTTACCAAGTTCGAAGATGGATCACTCTAAAATGACATTTCCGGGGAACACATTTAATCGTGATCGTGATCGTAATCGTGATCGGGTAGTCTGACGGTTAAAGCGTTCGCTCGTCACGCCGAAGACCCGGGTTCGATTCCCGACATGGGTACAATGTGTGAAGCCCATTTCTGGTGTCCCCCGCCGTGATATTGCTGGAATATTGCTAAAAGCGGCGTAAAACTCACTCACTCACTCACTCACTCACTCTTCATGAAAAAGCTCATTCGTCAAGTGTTTAAACACAACGGATATTGGCCTACGTTTCAAAATTCAGTTCCCGCCATTGCAGGGAATGCCACGATCGATTGGAAGTGTTTTCCGTGAAGTGTGGTGTGTGTAAATAAATGTTCACGTAGAATGTACCCGAACACATCGCCACAACTCCTGTAAGCTAAAATGGCCGACAATGTGCCCTTTGACAGTGTGCTTTGTCATTTGGGTATCCTTACCTGCATGTGGATTCTCTGAACCTACAGTGGGAACTGGTGGACACGTTGTCTGAATAAATTGACTTTCACAATGGAAATATGAATATTTGTTCAGTAAAAATGCGCGTATTTTGACTTTATCTTGTGTATTCTCCAGTGAGGTGCTTAAGCAATTGGAATGCGCACTGACCGGAGTTATAATGTCATGCGTTGTGGAGTGATGTACTGTATGATCGGATCATTTTATTTCATTATCTAGTAGTACTCAAAACACAAAAGTATTTTGAAGACAATTTCGAGACAGGTCAAATTCCCAGCAGGACGTTCGTGACCGTGTTTGCAAGGCCTTTTTTTATATCATTTTTATATTTCGCAGTTATAACTAATTTCCAATGATCCATTCATATATTCTCCATCCCTATTTTGCCTTTTAATAATTCCCTGGTGCTGGCGGTTTTTTTATTTATACATAATACTTAAACATCACGAACATCTACTAAATATAGTAAAAAATACTATTTTCATTTCTGTTCAAACATTTACATACATCATATAATTATTAACGCTCGTACCTGTCTTTAGTAACAAATTGATGACAGGAAAGGTTGAGCGCTGTGGAAGGCAGCATGTCACTGCTTTTCCATAGCGGCTCCCGTTCAAGGCTATTTGTCCAATCCAGAACACCCAATGACAATAACATTATCTGATGGACTGATGGACGAAAGCCCATATGGCAACATTAAGCTATTTGATATTGAAGAAACATTCATGATTTTTGTTGCAGAACATCTTGTCTGTGGGGATATTGGCCTTGGCTTTGCAGTGTCGAAAGGTCAGCTTGAAGTCAATGTCATTAGTGCCCGAAACATGGTAAAGACAGAAAATCCCGTTCCAACTGGTGAGTCCAAACTTGACACTGATTAGTTAAACGCACAGAAAGGAGGATGTTGCTAAGACACCAATGGTTAAAAACAAGGCGTAGTTGGGATTCGAACCCACCACTAGCCGCTTCTGGAGCTGATAAACCAATCTTGTCAGGACTGGGTTTTTCCATCCCCACATCCGCTCAATAATGATCCCAGGGAACCTTCAGTGAAGGAAACGGAACATATCTGAGCCAATATGTTAGTGTAAGCGCCATGTCTGTCCTCTAAAGTATGACGTTTAAAACGCTTACTGGGTTCCTCCTAACGTTGGTGAAACTGTATTATGACAATATCCTTCATTAGCCATTAACTTCAAATAACATCAATTCTAGCAAACTAAAGGTAACAGAATGGCATCGTTCTTTCTGTCGAAACTGTCTCCGTGGCCAAGTGGATACATTGTCTGTGGTTCGACCCCCGTCCGTGTTAAAGGATGGTGTTTGTTGTTACCCTGCCCGAAGCTCTGCATCGGTATATTGTGTCGGGAGTAGTGGGGTGGGGGAGCGATTCCATGTTAAACCGCCAAATGGTATCTCTGTGGGCTAGCACTATAAAATCGAGACGAGTTCAGACTAGTACATATATGTGCATGCTCATCTCACCTGACCTTTTTTTCAAAATCACCTTCGCGTTTCGGAATTCCTCGTAAGATGATGGTTGGTGTCCAAGATGGCTGCTGTGATCTGGCCCTGGTGATTGTTCGTCACATTATCAACCACCTACTCCTCGTGGACACCATCGGCATTCCGAGTTAGACAGGTTTGCCTGCCCTAGATCGCTTGCGCTCCTCGCCGCACTACAAGGACAGGGTATCTGTCAAATTCCAAGTTAGAATAACTGTGACGTAATGCATCGGGTGGTGAGGCGCGTGACTCGGCTGATTGTGTGTCATCGTACTCCGGCGGCGTGGATCGGCGCTCATGTCAGTCATCAATCATATATCAGTCCCTCCATTGAATGTACCTTGTCAAGACTTGCCGTGTGAGGTGAGGTGAAATTGAGTTTAACGTCGCGGCCATGATTATTGCACTTATATAGCGACGTGTGTACGTGTGTGTGTGTGTGTGTGTGTGTATGTCTGTCTGTCTGCCTGTCTGTCTGTACTAGTCCGGACTGATGCCGATTTATAGTGCCATCTCACTGATACCATGCCCCAGTTTAACATGAATACTCAGACTCAGTATACTGACTCTGAGCCGACCAGTCGACCCCAGACAGGATGCAAACAAGTACCATCCTTTAACGTCTTTTGACCTTCCGTTGCCATGTACAGACAATGCTGAGTGCGGCGTTAATCAACAAACAAACACATAACAAGATCATCTTATGACGCTCTCTCCCTCCAGACACCTACGTGAAGACGTACCTTGTAGAAGGGAAGAAGATCATTCAGAAGAAGAAGACCCAGATTGTGAAAGGAGGGGGTGATCTAGTCTTCAAGAAGCAGATCAAGTACTCGGCATGTAATGTGCATGGCAGACACATGAAGGTGGGTGGTGAAGATGTAGTACTATTGGACGAAGTGAAGGTCCATGTTAGAAATGCCATTCTTGGCCTAATCGGGTGGTCAGGCTCGCTCACTTTGTTCTTGCATGTCATAGTATCCCAAATGCATGTATCGATGCTCATGATGGCAATCACTGGATTGTCCGGTCCAGACTCCATTATTTATAGACTGCCGTGGGCACGCCAGAAACCTATGATTGTGGGTTCGAATCCCGGTTCGCCCCGATTATGTTTCTTGGTTTGTCAGCACCATACCCGGGCTCGTGGGTTTCACCGAAGTGGTAAACGTCTGAGACATGCATCACTTCGGGCTTTCCTCCCACATTAAGCTGACACGCCGTGATATAACTGGAATACTGTTAAAAGCGGCGTTAAACCAAACTCACTCACTAAAGACCGCCGTCATGTAGCTGGAGTGCGGCGTTAAACAACAAAGTGTAGTAGTAGTAGTAGTAGTAGTAGTAGTAGTAGTAGTAGTGGTAGTAGTAGTAGTAAAAGTAATGAAATCACGCGCTTTTACCACACCACAAACTGGTGGCACAACTTCCTTCTTTGTTCCGTGGGGCATTTGTCACTACACGTGGTGACTATAGTTATGGTAACATCTCCATATTCATAGGTTCAAGACAATATGTGAAAAATGAAGGAAATCTTACGTTTACTGACAAAACAATATATGAAAGGCTGGACTCCTTCATTGATAACATCTACGTGACATTTGGGGGTAAGACATTTAGGCAAGAGTGAGTGAGTGAGTATGGTTTTACGCCGCTTTTAGCAATATTCCAGCAATATCACGGCGGGGGACACCAGAAATGGGCTTCACACATTGTACCCATGTCGGGAATCGAACCCGGGTCTTCGGCGTGACGAGCGAACGCTTTAACCACTAGGCTACCCGACCGCCCCCATTTAGGCAAGAAGTAGGCATCCACATGGGTATCAACTGTTCTCCAACCTTCCTGTTTCTTTCTGCATAAAGGTCAGAATTTCTTCTCGGATTGGCAAAATCAGAACAAGGAATCTGACCAAGCCAATTCCATTCCACTGCTTTACCCATCTGAACGAGAAATAAGAGACCAGTGAATCCGTCTGATCTGTTTCATATAAGCGTAAGCAACAAGACAACAGACAACTACAAAACTGAATAGCTAGCTTTCTACTTCAGCTACCAATGACATGCAACGCCCCTTATATCGTCCATAATGACAAGAAACACAATCCGTTCCATTCTAAATGGATTCATATATCCTTCTGACACGCATTAACTGTAATATGAATAAGGACGGTCCCCAGCGTGACCGAAATAACCTTTATCACCAGCTGTAGACGACAACTATTTTGTGATTAGTTTGTTGCGTTGCAGGTCACAGCAATGAGCTTAGATTCAGCATTACCCTTCCACCTTACCTGTAATCTGACACTAATACTTCATCGTCTGCCTCCTCCAGTTTCAATGTGAATAATTTTGTTTTACATGAAGGTTTTTTGTGAGATTCGTCAGTTGCTTAGGTGTTTGTTAACTGTGTACACTTTTTGTGAGTCACGTGTTCCCCTCAAGGGAATGGCGGATATGAACACCCACCGGGGCCGTATGTCGGCCTACGCTTCGTGCTGCTGATGGCTACTTACGTTGGTCGATGTTATTTCCATTTGACGCCACAGTTTTATACAAGATTATATTTCATGTAGACAGTTTTACTCGTATATAAGAATAGGCTATGGTGTTTATTTACAGAGCTTAAAACCACACTGAAATTTGTTAGGTTTCCGATGATCAACCTAATCGTATTTTAAGCATCAGCGTGACAGCTTTATTAGAAACACGAAAGCAAAAAAAAGCTGTTTGTCAGTTATAATATATTTAGAAATATGCATGTATTAAAGCCTACCTCGATATTTTTTGTTTTTGATCGTGTACCATGTATCATTTATGTTTACTTCCCCTTCGGCATGAGCAAAGGGGCTTGTAACGCTTAAAATAGCAGCTGCAAGATATATGGTCGCGCCAAGTATCAGTGTTCCCGCCGTGATACTGCTGGAAGATTGCTAAAAGCGGCGTAAGACCATACTCACTCTCTCACCCAGTGTCAGAACTATATTTTCAAGATTCTGTATTTAGAATTGGGGGCCTGGTGGTCCAGAGGAAAAATTTGTAAATATGCATATTTTCTTGTGCATAATATTGCTGGAATGTGACGGACTTCAGCCTTAAAAACATTAACTGACTCATGCCACACCATGTCAATGTATATACTGGTTTTTTTTGTTTTCAAAGACGTGGTCTAGTGGTAGAGCGTCCGCCCGGAGAGCGGAATGTTTCATACCAAAAGAAATTAAAAGATGGTACTTGTTGTTACCCTGTCTGGCGCTCGGCATTAAGGGGCTAAAACAAGGACTGGTCGGCTCGGAGTCAGTATACTGTGTCTGAGTGGGGTATTCATGTTAAACTGCGGCATGGTATCTCAGTGTGCTAGCACTCTAAATCTGCATCAGTCCGGACTAGTACAAGCAGCCACACACACACACACACACACACACACACATGCACGTCGCTATATAAGTGCAATAATCTTGGACGCGACGTTAAACCCAATTTCAAATCACCTCACCTTGTTTTCAAAGATGAAACAAGGCTTGCCACTATTAGCACAGTCATTGATGACAAAAGTTCTGATAGATTTTGCCGGGAGAGGTGCTCATAGCAGTATGCTGGTCTACATACCTCATATGTCCCGTGTTATGCGTTTTCGGACTTTAAAGAAACATTCGTAGTTTTTTCGCTAATCACGAGAACAACTTAAAACATCTCACTCAGTTATAAAAGACGACTTTATCTAAAAAGACAGGCCATTGTCTGAGTATTTATAATGCCTGTGTGACGCCACACCACTTGCTGTAGCGCGAGTAACGTCCGAAAACGTAAGATGTCCGAAAACCTATGATCCGATATTTCTTTTCGTATACTTTTCCCTCAATGTTTCAGGTAAACGTCTGGGAAAGAATAAAGGGGTTTGACAAGAAGAAATCGTGCCTAGGGGAGACCGTCGTCAGACTGGACAGCCTTGACCTCAGCAGACACACCACGGGCTGGTACAAAATGTTCACTATGAACGCCACCGACCTGGGCTCCAGTGAGTCTCTGTATCACTGGTGAAGGCATACTGGCCTTGACCTTACACTCAACTCTAGGCAGGATATATAGGCAGGCCAGTAAAATGATATCAACCAGGGCACCGTATTGCTAGGACGCGGAGGATCAATTGGTGTTTCGAGGTTCAACATTGTTCAAGATGTCCAGGGCGTCCCTGCGTCAGTAGTGAAGATTGTTGATGGGCCATCTGAGTTGGTATAACAATAGCAAGATGTCTTCAATGAATGACACGAACCAAGATTCCAGGACGTCCCTGTGTCAATGAGGAAGAGTTTCTGCTTAACTACCCAATTTGTTTAAACAAGAACATGACGTCCTTCAGTGAATGATAGTTCCATGACGTCAGTGATCAAGATTTGTTGCTGGCCAACCTGATTTGGTGTCACAAAAGATTATCAGTAAATAAAATGTGTTGCTAGGATACCTGACTTGGTATATGAGAATAACTTGATGTCCTCGATCAGTTCCACCGATCAGTTCCTAAGTTCTGCCCACTGGTGAGGCACCGTCTCAGATCTAGGGTGAACACTAAATCTCAACCCTGTATGAACTACGCAGATGTTGGTTCCTGAACAGTCACTGTACCTCTGAGGAAGACGTGTGGGAAGACGTGTTGAAAGACTGTTTTATATTAAAACGATGGCTCACTCTCCGTACCAGTCAGTGCCGCAGCTTTAGGCTAGCTATGCCGTTGACAAAAGTCGTAACTTAGCAAGAGAATCTTCATTAATTACTTGTTTTATTGTGTATACTTGAACGAGAAACTATGAGCCAAGGGAGGAAACGTCATCATCCCTATGCCAATCTCTGCACTCTTCAGTGTAGGAGTTTGCATGCTTTGCCATGGTTCACTACAAGACTGAATCGTCATGTTTTACGGTACCTCGAAAGAGTTTCATATGAGGTGTTAGAATCAGTTATTTTATACTTTACTATCTTGTGAAGTCGCAAGTTGACCATCCGATTCACCCAATAGCGATACACAAGTATTATCTACGTTTCCTAAAGCAATCGACTATCTTAACGCCCATACATTATAAAAGACTTGCGATATCCCTGAGCTAAGATCGCTTTGTGGAACGGATCCCTTTGCAGGGCAGTCAATGTAACGGTATTGGAACATGGGAACGTCCGAAAGGTGGATCTTCATCTGTGACCGGGAAAGTTTAGTATGTCTAGTGCTGGGCAGTCTCTTAAACCAAGTCTTCAATGTCAAGGATTTAAGGGTAGTCTGAAGAGGATTTAGTCCCAACATTGTCGGCTTCGCTGATTAACCGCGCCCGAACATGCATGTGGCTCGTTTGCCATGTGTAAAAGTGTTTTGGCCATGTAAAATGCCTTTTTCCATATGGTGCACATGTATACAAAGAACATTAAGGAGTTCTTTTAGGAAGAACGTTAATGGTAAATCGGTGACAAGGCATCTAAATCCCGGTGAAATAAAACAGCCTCCGTTTTTCCACAGATTTGGGAACCTATTTATAAGGAATATCAATGCCAAAGAAGCTGACCAGAGTCAGCCTTTATGGTGTTATAAGAAGTGTGTATTATACTTGAGTGTTTTGACGTCATCCCTCAAGTAGGATATGACCGCAGGACGTTTTCGTATGAAATATGCCCACGGATCAGAGCAAAGACACCACATCTGTCTTCCTTGGATGTCCAACAAGTTAATCAAAGAAAGATGTGAGACTCAGGAACCTGGATTGAAAGCAATCTGTCGATGTCATTTACTTACTCTTGTTGGCCATCCGTGGCATTATATCCCGTTACTTGCTTGTCATCGCAGATTGATAATGCACACATGTCAAGCCAAGGCTTTGCAACGTCTTTTACCAACATAGTACACTTGCTGTATACAACACAGATGGACAATGCACACAAAGACATTATCGGAACGGGTGTGTATTTTTCTAGTTAGAAGGGATAGTAGGTGGTAAAGCATTCATGTCAAGGACAATATAAGCTAAACGACTGTGTTACCAACAGCACAAATTAGAAGCCACGCAGATGGACAAAGCACCAACGGCTGTGCATTATCAACATTTCATATTGTACTTAAAATAGATAGAAATACACCCGTGTCAAAGACAACTGAAGCTTCACGACTGTGTATTGCCAACATAACGCAGAATGACGGACATAAAAGACGATGCACACAAGGACGAAGGCTAAGCGGCTCTGGATATACTAGTACTTTTGACCTGCAGTGATGGTTCAAGTTCTAGGTCCCATAGCCCAGTGGTTCTATTTCAGTATTATCAATAAAGCACCGTAATACTACTTGACATTGCAGATGCTCAGTTCACCAAGTTGGAACCTCCAATCTTGCCTCTGTCAGCAGTGATTCTGCCGTACCAAATACTACATGGTGCCAATGTGTCAATCTTCCAGTATTATCAATGTTGCACCGAAATACCACTGACATTGCATAGGGTACATGTACCACGTTAAAGACTTTTAAGGGATCAAAATCTGGCCTAATTCTGTGATTCTGCCGAACCAACTACAATAGGCCAATGGTGCCAGTTTCAGGGCTCAGATCTTGCCTTAGCTTCAGTAATTCTGCCGTACCGAGTATTTCATGTAATCGCTGCCAGTGTGGTCTATCTTCCAGTATTAACATTACATTTTGGCGCTACTACGGAAAACCTCAAATGAACATGGCTGAATCGGCAACGTCTCACCACAACATAACGTCTTGTACAACCCATCCCATCTGCACGTCTTGCCAAGGACCACTACTAGCGTGGTCATCAAGAACTATGAAACGCACTGGACACAAATTGGCCAGCTTTGTTGCCGATGGACAATCCACTACTCCCACTGCAAGAGACCCACAAGTTGCTACAGGTTATGGCACAAAATGCATATGCAATTGCAAGTCTGTCGTGACGCCAGTTCAACGGTCACCTTCGGCTCGGTGGACAAGAACAAATGAATGTTTCAGACGTGTGGAAATGGCTGATTACACAATAGTTGCACATAATCCGTCTTATCCTGGAAACCAAGGACACAAGCAGATCGCAGATCGGTCAATATCCTTTATGCCATCTTCTCAGTTTAGCAAGTCGTTATTCCTGATGTATACTTCTTTCAAATGAGGACTCTAGAAGACTGATTGAGTCAAAGTAAGCATTTCTTTGACAAGCATTTCCGAAATTGTGTGTTCGTATAAAAAACGTATTGTGTATTAATTACTAAATTAAACGCAATATATATTTTAATTCATCCTTTGCATCACCATTTTCACCAATCACCATGCCAACCTCACTTGGCAATTTTTGTTTTTTTTATTAAGAACTCTCTAAGCAAACTTTTTTCAACAGTGTTTGGGTAGGTTTCAACTGGTCACGCACAAATCCCGTTTCGGTAATCGCAATTTTGACAGCTGCGTCATGTTTCCGACTTTAGAAATCTAGGCGTTTGAACATTTGATTTTACTTGGCTGCTATTTGAACTGGCTGCTATTGTAATGATATTGCCACTAGGCACGAGCTATGTGATATTTTGTGATCCGTGTGAGCCATTAAAAGCGAGCGATTTTAAATGTCACCTTTAATCATGTTGCAAACTGCCTGTTACGACTCAAACCCTGGGGAAATTGATAGTTAACTAACTGCCACATGATCCGAATCTATTAGGATGGAAACCAATCATCCCTATTGGCGTCTGGAGTGTCAGATATTGCCGCTCGGTTCGCATTTATAATGAAGCTATTTTCTACGAATCACATTTGATAGTATCATGTTTTTAAATGCAGCCCCATACGAAGAAATAGATGACAAATCAAAGACCAATCAATCAAACACTTTGATTTTTTTACTTTCATTTATCATTGTTACGTTGCAAGGTACATACTTAGATTTTGAACATGTGAGCTATGCTGTGGGTTATTTCAAAGGGAAATCGTGTTTTGGTTGCATCCTAGGGTAAACTTGTTCCGCATGCATTTTATACTGATGGAATTAAATAAGGGAACGTGTGTAAAAGGGAACATTTGATCATCTCCCCGAGGCAAGCGTGTCCACTCGCCATTATCAAAGCCGAGTTTCTACCCTTGCCACATCAAGGCCACTTTTCTTAGCTCGACCCTGGCGCCACCACGCGTATATCACGAGTTATGCCCCTTGTAATGAAAACGCGATATCCAATCAGTCACTGTCCTTATCATGTATGGCTTCACAACGATGGCAACTACGACGAATCATTCGGCAGATAACGAAAACATTCGCAATTTCATCCCTGATAGACAAACACAGGCAATCGCTGAGATGAAATAGACAGTATCCAGTCGTGTCAACAAAGACGTCAATCACTGGATTGTCTAGTCCAGACAAGATTATTTACAGACCGCCGTCATATAGCTGGAATATTGCTGGGTGCGGCTATTAACAACAAACAAACAAACAAAAATGACATGTAGTTGTAAATCACTTTCGTAAGAATATGAACCAGTCGTGGATGTTGATTTTGTGAAACGTTCTGATTGGACAACTGATATGTCCAATCATTTCGCACGGTGAAGTTGGCTTGATGTGGCAAGGGTGGAAACAAGACTTAGGTAAATAGGCTAGTGAGCGCTCTTGCCTCGGGAAGGTGAAATTTGATAAACATGGTGTCGTTGGGGGTTTTCAGCAATGTAGTGGCACCAGGTAATTATGTCCCCCTGGCTTGTTTTCTTGGCATGAAGTACTTTAATAAGCTGAAGTAAACGGTCTTATTTTTTCCAACAGCATAAATTGTTGACACTGACAATTAGCAGATATCTGATGCTGTTTTCCTGGCACTACATATACTGGACTACATAACTAGGATACATGAATACTTTTGGTGACATTTTGATGAAATTGTGTGCTCCGTTTTTATGGTTCAATATACCCTGAGGGCCCTAACTTTTTGCACACACGAACCTGATATTTCAGGTATTTGACAAAGGTGAGGTATTTGTGAGTGGAGCAGCCTAGGCCATCACAAACATCTTCATCCGAGTCTCATGGGGTACTAGGACAGCCAGGCCACCACATGGGAATAAAACTGTATTTGATTTTCAAACATCCTTTGCTTATGTTGAGTTCATACTGCATTAAAGTATTCAATGATTTGTGTTGCACAAGTGTTATTCAGCCACAAGAATTCTTAGGCCACAGCAAATTGAATATTTGTTTGCAGAATTGCCACATCAAGGGAAAATATCCAATTTATTCAATCTTCAAACAGTTAATGTTGACATGTCATTTAACAAACAGATCTTACTTTTATCTTTTCATGATAAACAAAACTGACTTTCATAATGTCATTAGTGTATATTTGATTAGAATGACATATCTCATTATCCCTATAAAAAATTGAGTGGTATTCATGAACATATCCATCCTACAAGGAAACAATCCCAACAGCAAATAATTAATTTGGTGTGGCATTGTGAATGATTTTATACACTTATATAATATGCCACCCAAAAGAGGTTAAAGAACATCCGATTCTGTAATATTACTATAAGTAATCTGTCATGCCATGTTTGATGTTTAATGCCGCACTCAGCAATATTACACCTATGACGGCGGTCTGTAAATAATCGAGTCTGCACAAGACAATCCAGTGATTGATATCATGAGCATCGATCCATGCAACTGGGATACGATGACATGCATGAACAAAGTCAAAAAGCCTGACCACCCAATTCCATTAGTCGCCTCTTACGACAAGCATGGTTTGCTGAAGATCTATACTAATTTGGATCTTTCCAGGTCTCGTGTCACAGCATATTAACTGCTGTAGTAATATGAAAGAATCAGGTGTGCTTCAGTCTCATTGAAATCAGATCTTATTTCTCGCTACTGCTAAGCAAAGATCTGAGGACATCCCATTACAGGTCATGTCAGAACAACCTTTCATCTGACCAATCAGAGCATTGCTTATCAGATCAAGAAAGGGACAGTTGGAATGTGATTTTTGATTGTGCAACCTCGGGAAAAAAACAACACATAAGGTATTCCGACAGTTATGGGCTTTATGTCTGTATTCATACAATCTAGACCATCTATTAGCCATTCCAGATGTTCTTTTGTTCAGTTTTTAATTTTTTAATCAAGTATATGTCAAAATATGTTTCGAAGTGTAGTCGCCAGTTTGAAACTTGTGCCGTAAAGCTCGATTAAGCTGCCTTCTGATTGGCTATTGTCAACTTCTTGTCAGTCATTCCATTGGTCGGTCAAAATTCGCGAAAGGTTGGTCTGACGTGACCCATAATGGGATGTCCTCAGATCTTTGTTTAGCGGTAGCGAGAACTAAGATCTGATATTAATGAGATTAAATGTTCTTTAACTTCTTTTGAGAAGCATGCATGCACTATAGAATGGTGCAAAGCCTATAACAATCATTGGTTCTCAGGCATGACCTTTTGAAAATCTTAAACTGCACAACTTGAAGTGTGAAATCAATGGGAATATTTCATCAGTATTAAATTAGGAAAAAAAGGTTATTTTCCTGTGAACCAAGAATGTTTCAGCCCAAAACGATGCAGATATGTCTGATTCTAGTGCTTGCATCCAAGGTTGCACATGTGTCTCTATATGTGCAAGTGTGCTGGGTTCCTCCATGGTGCTATGTATACCACATGACTGTAAATAGTCTGAATGTGTCAACACTCATCCTTGTCATGCCTTGAAATATGATGTATTTGGAGAAAGTGTATGCAACATGTAAGTCATGAGGTAGCCTTTTCCATGCTTGCCTTGACCTATTCCAATAAATCATATTTCTCTAATAATCTGGACTTGTTTCTTGTGAATTAAGTTAATCCATGGTTTTCACAATGCGGATTTCAAACTAAATGTCAAATTAATATGGGTTAGATGAGATGGGGTTTAACGTCGCATTCAAGATTATTGCACTTAGATAGCAACAAATTAGTATGTGAGACCCATCAAAAGATTATACCAAATTGTTAATGTTTGCACATTGAAAAATGGTTGCCATAATGATTCAAATGCTAAACCTCAAGTCACTGAAAATGGACAAATTTGAAAGACGATATGGTTACCATGGTTACAGGGAATTAGTCCACATGAACACAAAAGTAGACAAAGTTCATAATTTAATCTCTTTATTTCTCTGCTAGTCCTAGAAAATATCATCTTCGTTTATTTTTCGGTGCTTTTTCCAGTCCTTGAACATACTTCCGTGGTACCTTGTATTTGTCTGAAATAAAATATTGATTCTCAGATTCTTCACTGTCCATAATAGTTCAAACACAGGACTTTTTAGCATTGATCAGTTGATGCATATTCATGGACCAAACCACCCTTCAAGGCCCACAGGGTGGTTTGGGACATGACTTCAGTATTTCGCTAAAACCCCTGTGATCCAGACTAACACTGCACATACGAACATGCCTGTTTTAAGAGAAAGCTTAAATAAACCATCCAGACCAGATGTGACAATTTCTATAGCTTTGAATGTACAGACATAATAATGAGACGGCTGTGTCACTGTTAATACTGCTTTGAACGGAAAGTCCAGTTACATATATTATAAGATAATGTATTCACTGCAGATGCGTCACTAAGACATTGGATCCGATTACTGGAGTCCACAGAGTGCTAAATGATGTAACCTATTAAAGCCCATGAAACACAATGGAAGTCTTTACATTAATAATATTTTCATGAGATGCCTGACAAATGGGATAAGATCATGATGATCGGGGGACTAATCCATTTTACCACTTGGTTAACAAGCATTGGATAGAAGGAACTCAATTGTGACATTTGTGATTTTAAGGTATCTTACAAAAAGGGTGAGATCACCTATCCCGAAGTCTCAGCTTCATATGGGAGGAGATTCCTAAATGATGCATGTCTGTCATTTACAACTTTGATTGAAACCGACTAGTAAGGTGAATATGGTAATTTAACAACCATCAGTTTCTTTGTTTGTTGTTTAACGCCGCATGCAGCAATATTCCAGCTTTATGACGGTGGTCTGTAAATAATCAAGTCTGGACCAGACAATCCAATGATTGACATCATGAGCATCGATCTATGCAATTGGGATACAAAGACATGCATCAACCAATTCACCAAACCTGACCACCCGATCCCGTTAGTCGCTTCTTACAACAAGCATTATCACCTTTTATGGCAAGCATGGGTTGCTGAAGACCTATTCTAAGACAGATCTTCAAGGGTAACCATCAGTAAATCCTGGAAAAGTTAAGGCCCACTGTGCATACCCATGTTCCTTACAATAATAATAATAATACAAACTGGCACAAGCCCACTGTTAAATGTAGCCACTTTACATATGGTGTCATCAAATTCTTCTTGGTGAATATTTAACAACATTCCAAATTTGCACCATCATATCAAATCAAATCATATTAAACCCGAGAACACATGTTTGAAATAAGCAATATGCCCTCAACATAACTGACACAAGTCCGAATCATGACTTTTGAGTTAAATGGCTGCCACAGCAATTGTCCTTTTCGTGGAGCTCTCTATACTGTCAGTGCTACCAGTCACAGCTCCCCACTTTGCTTGGCAGCCAACAACCATGCATGGAGTTGAGCTTGCAACCAACTAACTGTTACGTTTACCAATAAGTCATGACTCATGACAACAATTACTCTTTGCAAAGAGTAGTTTGCAAACAAATAAATGTAAATTCTTCTGGGGAAAAAGTAAATAACAGTGGAATCTGTCCAATTCGGACTGGTTTACGGTGTGGTTCAGATTACACAAGGTACAAAAAGTTTGACTAGACAAAACAAAAAGCAACGATCATTCATCTTTATTCACATACACATTCATTGTACATGAAATATTGACATGGGCTGGCAACTAACTACACATTAAAACATTCTTTACTTGAAAAAGTCATTGATATTGGACTGCTTATGTTTCTGCACTGATTTAAATTCCTCAAAGCAACTTTCTTAGCAAGTGTAAGTTCGATATGCTTTTTCTTTGCTGCTCCCTCGGGCATTGTGATTGAGAAAAAAGTTGTGTTTACCTTTTTTAATGAACATGTTCATAAAACTGAGTTACTCTAATTAAGCTGAGTCTCATTTCCAGGTGAGTACATTCCAAATAACATAGTGGACAACAAAGTGTTAAGATCAGTTTGTTTACATGCAGGATTAGGATTAGCATTGTTGTTTTAGCTGACAATGACTGAGCGTACTTACTTCAAAGATAGTGAACTTCCGGTCCGGTCCGGTCCGGTCAAGACACCTTCTTTTTAATAGGAAATTGGTTGTTGGGATCATAATAATTTTAGTCCGAAGTTCAAAGTGTAAAAAGTACGAATTAGAGAGTTGTAGGTAAGTTTGATTAATGATAATTTATTAAGGAACTGAGGGGACTGGAGAAAAAGTCGGGTTTTCACCAAAATTGGACAGATTCCACTGTAGTCCTAAACCTTTTCACTGGCATGGCATTCCGAAAGATGTGCACACACAAATAAATTTCACTCCAATTTGTGCAAGAGGGAATAATTTCAAGAGTGTTGTAATGGCCATGCAAAAGGGGGATAACTCTCACCTAGAAGTAGATCTGCAATGAAGGCAATCTGGTTTCCCTGCACCAGCACCTGCATACCCTTGTTCTTCTGGTGATGCGGCACCACGGACGAACTGCAGGACACACTCTTCTGGACGGTGTGGGCAAATGCTGCTGGGTCGATGCCAAAATTCTCCAGGTTGTCTATGACAGTTGCCTGTAGCAGGGAATGTTGAAACGTCATCAACTTCTAAACGTTGCTTGGAAGCTATGGTATAATCAAGATGGATTGCCTAATGCCTACTTGAATTGATCACAATGTGCTGAGGAATCAAGTATCATAACCAGGGCAATCTGGCACCAAATTCTAGGAATGCATCTCTGCACAGAGAACAACGGTACCTAAGATTACTATGGTCCAACCACGAGTGGGAGTTATTATCGTACAATAAAACACTGCAGTTTTTTATTGTACGATAAACAATGACGACTAGTTGTTTATTTCTTTTATACAATATCAACATTTTGCACAGCCTCTTTAGTGCTTTAAAAATATTTATCCTCATTTTAATAATGATGACTCCCTGAATACAATCCAACCTCGGCAAGGTCCGACAAGTCCATTTATGAACAAGATTGTTGACTTTGGCATTTCCCGCATATGCTCATTATTCTCACATCGATACGTTTTCTCACAATACCGATTGCCATGTCTCGCCCACTTTTGGATGTGTTCATTTGGCCATTGCATTTATCTGCGTTGCCGAGCTACATCTAAGGGGAACAACTCACTTCCCTCTCAAAAAACACTGTTGTCCAATATATGACGTCATCAAGTTTCAAGCGTATGTCGAATCTTTAGAAATAATAACAGAATAATGTTTTATTGTGAAATAAACCATGCTTTGTTCTTCATTGTTCTTTGTGATTTATCGCATAGCTATCTTATATAAGTGTTTAATTTTTATGTGTTTCCTTTGCCATTTGGTGAGGGGAGAGAAAATCTGTATTCACGTGATGTCAAATCATATAGCCAGTGAATGCCATCCATCACAAATAATAGTAGGAGTAGTTGTTTGTTGTTTAATGCCACACTCAGTAATAGTCCACCAATATGATATGTAAATAATCATGTCTGGACCAAAAAAAAAAGGAGTTATTTTGAGCAAAATTCCCTACAAGAAGCATAGCATGTTGAGGATCTAGTCGAACCTGGAATCTCCACAAGAAGATGGTGGGAGACACAGGTTAAAAGACTTGCATCTAATTACCTTTTTATTGGATGCCCTCTGCTCCACACTGAGTTTGATAGGCTCGATCTTCCCCTTCTTCAACACAGGGGGCTTGCCAGAAAACTCCAACTGGAAAGCTGGCTGCATCTTGTCCACAACCCTAGCAAATAATAAGGCGAGGGACTGAATGACATGGGTTCCAAAATAAATTCCATGTCATACCGATTCCTTACCATACTCATATGCAAGGGTATTACAAATATACTTTAGATATTCCCAACACCTGCCTTACAAACATTTCAAAGTAGACACTTTTACCATGCAATATTTTTCTATATCTGAAATAATGATCCAGGCAGTCATATGCAGGGATAATAATCTTTTTAATTGATTTTTCCCTTTTGGATTTTTAAGAAATCATTTTCTAAAATAAGGATCTTTTTTACTTTTGTGTGCACTTGTTGAAGGAACAAAAATTTGTGATTATATAATGCTAACATGGCAACATAGAAAAATGTAGGTGCAATATGAGAGGAGGTGAAATGGCCTTAACGTTGCATTCAAGATTATTGCACAAATACAGCTAGGTACATGGATCTTTCTGCTCTCAGGGCAGATGTTCTATCCATCAGACCATGGAGATGGTAGTAGGGGTATCATAAAAGGACAGTCGGCCAATACACCTTCAGATAAATAACAGTTTGTTGTTCTCCTACCTAGAGAACAGGTCATCCCACTTGAGATGGGACATGTCTCCTTCTTGCTTGGTCAGCAAAATATGAGCAAGATCCGGATCCAGCAGAACTTGACTGAAAATACATGAAACCATGTTTTTTCTGATTTACAACCAAATGTCTCAGCCAGGTAACACACTCAAAAACATCCACCTGTAGATTATGTAGCTCACCTGACCATAGTGTATTGGAATGTTGATTTTCTATTTCATTATAGTGAGTGAGTGAGTTGGGTTTAACGCCGCCCTTAACAGTATTCCAGTTATATCGCGGCATGTCAGCTTAATGTGGGAGGAAAGCCCGAAGTGATGCAGGTCTCAGATATTTACCACTTCGGTGAAACCCACGAGCACGGGTATGGTGCTGACAAACCTAGAAACATAATCGGGTCGAACCGGGATTCGAACCCACAATCATAGGTTTCTGGCGTGCCCAAGGGACGCAACTCTGAACAGCGAATCGCGGCGCCTTAGATGACTGGGCCACCCGTGCCCCCTATTTCATTACAGGAAACCACAGTACAATTGATACAGTTTTGTTGTCCTGCCATGTCATAAGTAAGAAATGTCAATGTTCACAATAGTATTCATTCAGTTTCAACAGTAAAGATTTGCTTTTCACACAAAAGGCATGACCTTTTACTGGTTCACAATCTTTGGCGAAATAAGTCCTGATAGTTTTTTATGGGAGGGGCACTGATAGAAGTATTTGATGGGTTTTTTCACTTCTCTCTTTAAAAGTGTATGATATTTGTCCATAACAATCATTCAATCACTATTTTCACATTTTATGCATGTTGAGGAAAAAGTATGTTTTGGGCAAAAAATGACTACCTTTTCGTCTCTTCACCCTGGAGATTGTGTGCCCTGACATACTCCGTGACTTCCTTCCTTACGTCGGGAGCTGACAAGGCATGATTCTTACTGCAACACACGTTTCACATTCCATAAATAACACAGAAGCATAGTAAACACTGTATATTTGGAGAATGTTGAGACCAAAACATTAATCAATAATAGTATTATAGTACTCCACTTCCTCACTTCATCCCTCACTTCATCTTCACTTCATCCCTACACCCCTACCTCATTCCCTCACTTTATCCCTCCCTCCTACCTTCACTTCCTCCCTCTTTCTCTCCCTCCTACCTTAACTTCCTCCCTCCTTCCCTCTTTCTCTCCCTCCTTCCTTCACTTTCTCTTTCCTTCACTTCATCTCTCATTTTCTCCTTAACTTTCTCCGTCCTTCCTTCATTCTTTCTTCCTTGATTTCCTCCTCCCTTCTTCCTCAATCACTCGCCTCCCTCACTCACTCCTTCCTTCACTTCATTTTTCCTTCTCTCACTTCATTTTTCTTTCATTCACTTCCTCTCTTTCTCCTTCCTGCACTTCGTTCTTCTTTCTCCCCTTCACTACCTCCCCTTCACTTCCTCCCCTACCTTCACTTCCTGCATCACTTCCTCCCTCCTTCACTTCCTCCTACTTCTTCCCTCCTTTACTCCCTAACTCTTATATGCCCATCATTCATTCTCTTACTCCCTCCTTTGTGCCCTTCTTCCCTCACTCACTTGTATCCCTGGCCCTTGAAGATCGGCAGCACGGCCGAGGTCACCGTGAACATCTCTGTGATCTTCGGGGGCTGGTACTCACTGTCCTCCCTACTTGCAGACACCGACGGCACCTCCACCACTATATCGGGGACTTCAAGCAACCTCAAGCTGAAACAAACCACAATAGGCAATCATGGCACCAGCAGAATGTTGGATGGACTCAGATGTTCACATCACCACAGTGTACAGTGTACCAGTTGAAAAGAATACTAATGAATTCTAATAGGCTGAATGTTATCCTTCTCAAGAAAAATTTTAAAAGTTGAAGTAATCAATATTCCACCTATATCCCGGTTGCCTGTAAATGTAGTACAGCCCAGACAAAACAGTGGGTGATATCATGAGCAACGTCCCATGTCATCAGGGCACGATGGCAGTAGGGCTGGGATGAGTAACTCAGGTAACTCAGGTACCCGGGTCGGGTGGGTAGTGAGTAGGACCCGGGTACCCACAGGACTACCCGGACCCGTGGTAAGTCATGTGATATATAGTTTATGGACAAAAATTATCGGAAACTCAGTGGTTACACTAAAAGTCAGTAATGTTCTCATTTCTTTCTGATTATGCACCCATTCCTTCTGACTTTTATATGTTTGAATAAAGATAAAACTTCATGCAGTAAACTTCAGTGTTTGCATGACGAGATCGTTTTATACGTGTTTCTAAATACAATTTGCCAGGGCAAACATTTCCAAATCGGACATTTTGTACCTATCTCATGAGACCTACAGTGGGTACCCGGGTGGGGTCGGGTAATAGGGGGGTGGGTACCCGGGTAGTAGATTTGGACTTGTCCCAGCCCTAGATAGCACACAATCAACCAAGTCACTGAGCCTGACCCCCAGTGCATAACATAGCTTTTAACACCAACCATACAATAGGATACATGGTTCAAAGTCTCTTACAGGGTCTTACGCAGAACATGTTCAGAACAAACTAAGAACAGCATACTAAACTATAAGCAATAACTACGGCCCCAGCCTATTGACTCCCCAGTATTAATGGTGCCAACAGCGTGTGGTACTCACTCGGGATGAGACTTGTCTACCTCCACAATACTGTCAGCTCCCTTGGACAGCTCCTTCGTCTTCAACAGCCCCTGCTTCTGCATGTGCTGCAGGAACTTGGACAACTGGAACACGAGCCAATACTGTCAACACCAAGTCATGTTGTGATAGTAGAGGACACACCGCAATGCCCTGATAGTAGGGGACACACCACAATCACCATGTCCTGGTAGTAGGGGACACACCACAATGTCCTGATACTAGGGGACACACCACAATCACCATGCCCTGATAGTAGGGGACACACCACAATCACCATGCCCTGATAGTAGGGGACACACCACAATCACCATGCCCTGATAGTAGGGGACACACCACAATCACCATGCCCTGGTAGTAGGGGACACACCACAATCACCATGCCCTGGTAGTAGGGGACACACCACAATGCCCTGATAGTAGGGGGACACACCACAATCACCATGCCCTGATAGTAGGGGACACACCACAATCACCATGCCCTGGTGGTAGGGGACACACCACAATCACCATGCCCTGATAATAGGGGACACATCACAATCACCATGCCCTGGTAGTAGGGGGACACACCACAATCACCATGCCCTGATAGTAGGGGACACACCACAATCACCATGCCCTAGTAGTAGGGGACACACCACAATCACCATGCCCTGATAATAGGGGACACATCACAATCACCATGCCCTGGTAGTAGCTGACACACCACAATCACCATGCCCTGATAGTAGGGGACACACCACAATCACCATGCCCTGGTAGTAGGGGACACACCACAATGCCCTGATAGTAGGGGATACATCACAATGCCCTGATAGTAGGGGACACACCACAATCACCATGCCCTGGTAGTAGGGGACACACCACAATGCCCTGATAGTAGGGGACACACCACAATCACCATGCCCTGATACTAGGGGACACACCACAATCACCATGCCCTGATACTAGGGGACACACCACAATCACCATGCCCTGATAGTAGGGGACACACCACAATCACCATGCCCTGATAGTAGGGACACACCACAATCACCATGCCCTGATAGTAGGGGACACACCACAATCACCATGCCCTGATAGTAGGGGACACACCACAATCACCATGCCCTGATAGTAGGGGACACACCACAATCACCATGCCCTGATAGTAGGGGACACACCACAATGCCCTGATAGTAGGGGACACACCACAATCACCATGCCCTGATAGTAGGGGGACACACCACAATCACCATGTCCTGATACTAGGGGACACACCACAATCACCATGCCCTGATAGTAGGGGACACACCACAATCACCATGCCCTGAAAAGAGGGGACACACCACAATCACCATGCCCTAGTAGTAGGGGACACACCACAATCACCATGCCCTGATAGTAGGGGACACACCACAATCACCATGCCCTGATAAGAGGGGACACACCACAATCACCATGCCCTGGTAGTAGGGGACACACCACAATCACCATGCCCTGAAAAGAGGGGACACACCACAATCACCATGCCCTAGTAGTAGGGGACACACCACAATCACCATGCCCTGATAGTAGGGGACACACCACAATCACCATGCCCTGATAAGAGGGGACACACCACAATCACCATGCCCTGGTAGTAGGGGACACACCACAATCACCATGCCCTGGTAGTAAGGGACACACCACAATCACCATGCCCTGATAGTTGGGGACACACCACAATCACCATGCCCTGAGTAGATCTTCCAAAACTGTCATGCCAGACAGATATCATGGTCAAAAGAGAGCTAACTTAACCAACCCCGCCCACACTAAGACTCATCCCACAATAACACATGTGAAGTGAGGACAAGTGACATCACAGTGGCCTATAAACATGATAAATAACCAAGGCCCAAGCACACCAGTGGTTGACATGCCATGGGTGCATAAAAAGAATAATCAGCCTTGTTACACATTGTATGTTTGTTTGGTTTGTTTGTTAGTCGTTTAACGCCGCACTCGGCAATATTCCAGCTGTATGACAGCGGTCTGTAAATAATCGAGCCTGGACCAGACAATCAAGTGATTGACATCATGCGCATTGATCTACACAATTGGGATACGATGATATGCATCAACCAAGTCAGCGAGCCTGACCACCCAATCCTGTTACTTGCCTTCACTTACGACAAGTATGGGTTGCTGAAGACCTATTCCAACTCGAATCTTCACAGGTTTACACATTGTATGAGTGAATTTTTACTAACACTGCTTTGAAGAGTATTTCAGTTGTACTACAGCATGTCTGCATTATGTTGTAGGTCCCAGGTGTTAACTATTTTGGTGAGGAAGTGACTGACTTGGGTTAACGCCGCTCTTAACAGTATTCCAGTTATATCACGGCGTGTCAGCTGAATGTGGGAGGAAAGCCCGAAGTGATGCAGGTCTCAGACATTTACCACTTCGGTGAACCCGAGAAACCGGGTATGGTGCTGACAAACCTAGAAACATAATCAGGGTGAAAAGAGCTGCATCTTCATGTCATTTTAGGCCAAACCAAAAGACCAGAAACATTATACTTTCTTTTCCAATATGGGACATGACACATATCTAGGAAAGTAGCCGATATTCCTCCTCATTCAACCTTGACTGATATTACAATTACCTTTTTAAAACTTGACTTTTTCACATCAATGGACTGACCAGCTGGACTGCGAAAAGGAAGAATTCAATAATACAATAGCTTGGGGCTGAATGTTGAATGAAGCCATTATCATTGATTATCAGAAATACTATAGCTAGCATGGTATGCTTTATTATCGTGGAAGTTAGTTATAATAGATTGAACGCTTACTAACTTATTAAATATGTTATACGCAAAATATTTCTTGTTCTTTTATGACACATCAGTTAGGATTAATCCATGTTGATTTTCTTTACCTAGTTCTGTAAACAAAGTACCTGTCATTAGCAACTCAAGGGCGGGCAACTCTATGTTATAGCGGTATGGATATTTTGTGGGATATGATACCTGTGCAATATGTGCTTTACATCACTTCCTGTTTTGAAATACAGTATGCATACGACCTTGGTTGGGTCAAGGGACTTTGTCTAAACAAGTGAGTTCTATTCTAACCAATTTCAAATGGAGGTAGGGGTAATTCTACTTCAATAATATTCCAGAATCTATCATAATAAAGTCAACATGTATACTTACAAAAAGCTGTGATATACCGCAACAAGTCTTGTATATGACAAAGCGAAGAAATATCGTGCTTAGATTTGCATAAGTAAACAGTAGACAGTGGGTGTGGATTACAAGATTTACCAATACCGCAATAATATGGAGTCTGCAATAATAGAGATACTATATATCGTACTATACAGCAGCGTGTACAGTACTTGAGGCAGGAACAGGCAAACCACAGACTGATACAGAGGGGGGTCCTCCAGTCCGAAGAGTGAGTGAGTGAGTTGGGTTCGGTTTAATGCCACTTTGTACAGTATTTCAGTAAGATCCCAAAATGTCAGCTACATGTCGGGGGGAAACTCCAAAATATTTGTTGTTGTTTAATGATGCACTCAGCAATATTCGACCTATATGAAAGTGGCCTGTAAATAATCGAGCCTGGATCAAACAATCCAGTGATTGACATTATGAGCATCGATGTACACAACCGAGATACAACGCCTTAAATGAAGCAGGTCAGCCTGACCACCTGAATCTGTAAGTCGCCTCTCTGACAAGCATAGTCGCCTATTACGACAAGCATGGGTTGCTGAAGACCAGTTCTAACCTGGATGTTCACAGTCCAAAGTCCAAAGTGATGCAGGGATTACACATTTACAAAATTGCTGAAACCCACAAGCACAGGAAGGTGGTGACAAGCAAAGAATCATGATAGGGACAATCTGTTATTCAAACCCATGATCATAGGATTCTGGTATGACTAAGGGACACAACTCCGCAGAGTGACTTGAAGCATGTTGTAGACACGGCTTGATGATACACAACCACCCATGTCACCACTGAGAGCAGGTCCGTCCAGTCCTCACCCTTGCTGTCACTAATTCATATTCAGTGAGCCATTGTGACCATCCAATCTGCATTTTCAGCTTTAACGATAAACATGGCATCAGAATATGTCCCACATACTTCAAAACGAACGATCAAAGTGGGTCTCAGATTGTCAGAATCTATGACTGATGTGTACGTTCTTGATCAATCTGATTTGACTCAATTATTAACAGGCCACTGTGATATAGAGGGGTATTGCTAACTGCTCATCTGTTTGTTTATTGTTTAACACCATACTCAGCAATATTCCATCTATATGAGGGCAGACTGTAAATAATCGAGTCTGGACCAGACAATCCAGTGATTGACATCAATGTTTTATTAAGGCTGCATGTTTAAAGAAAACAAGATGGAGTAATCCTTAGACTGGATCCTTCTATGTATGTTGTTCAATGCTTTTGATATAATCATGACCGTAAAGAAAACAAAATGAATCCTCACCAAAATGGCTGCATGTAGTTCTTGAAGAAGGCACTGGTTAACAAAGGGAGGTCACTCTTCTTGACTTTAGACTTCAGGGCACACAGGCAACAAGTTTTTAATCGTTCATCCATTACCTCTGAAAAATGAAATGGATAAAAACATTGCTTATTGTTTTGCGGAGAACACTATCTTTCACTTTTTCACTGTCTTTTGCAAAGAAATGTGGCCACCATGATAGGGTTATCAGTGATGGATTTTTTATAAATTAATTAGAGAGTGAGATTTATTCGCACAAGAAATGGGCTTCAAACATTGTGCCCATGTGGGAAATCGAACCCAGATCTTTGGCATGTTGAGTGAACGCTTTAACCACTAGGCTGATGAACACTGCCCATGAACACTATGAAATAATCTTATTCAGTTATAAATAATCATTTTTGTGGCAAAAAGTGAAGATCATGATTTCGTTACTATTGTTTAGCCATTTCTTACACTAGTAATGAGTAAGATACAACAACATCTTTCTAAATCACAAATTCACAATCATCTTATCACATTTTCCCACCTACTGAATCCCGAGCCTCCTCCTCCTCCGTGCCACCTGTCGCTCCACCGGAGTTGTCTCCCCCTGATTGCACGTCACAGTTGTCTAAGGCGAGATCCTCCACTCCCTGAGCTATCTGGACACTCCCAGACACTGCTGTCGCCTCAACTTCACCATCCAACTTTCCCTCATCATCACCATCACTGCCATCTTGCTGAGCTGCTTCCAGCAACTCCATTAAACCATCATCACCGAGGTCTGGGGGATTGGACTGATCACCAAACTCCCTGAATTTAACACAATGGGGAATAGTAAGCATACAGGTCTACCTTGAAAAGTATTTATGTCATAACAAAGCATATAAGTTCAATGTGGGGGAAACGTCTGGAGAGACATAGGCTGTAGCTGTACACAGGTTGTAGAGATCTGGTATGGTACTAACACCATCTGTGTACAGCTTACCTCAGTCTGTATACATCTTACAACCTCAATCTGTATACATCTTACAACCTCAATCTGTATACATCTTACAACCTCAATCTGTATACACCTTACAACCTCAATCTGTATACATCTTACAACCTCAATCTGTATACATCTTACAACCTCAATCTGTATACACCTTACAACCTCAATCTGTATACATCTTACAACCTCAATCTGTATATATCTTACGGATCTCAATCAGTAAATATCTTAAGGATCTCAATCAGTAAATATCTTATGGATCTCAATCTGTATACATCTTACAACCTCAATCTGTATACACCTTACAACCTCAATCTGTATACATCTTACAACCTCAATCTGTATATATCATACGGATCTCAATCAGTAAATATCTTACGGATCTCAATCGGTATAGGTCTTAAGTATCTCAATCTGTATATACGGATCTCAATCTGTATACATCTTACGTATCTCAATCTGTATACATCTTACGTATCTCAATCTGTATAGGTCTTAAGTATCTCAATCTGTATACATCTTACAACCTCAATCTGTATACATCTTACAACCTCAATCTGTATACACCTTACAACCTCAATCTGTATACATCTAACAACCTCAATCTGTATATATCATACAGATCTCAATCAGTAAATATCTTACAGATCTCAATCGGTATAGGTCTTAAGTATCTCAATCTGTATATATCATACGGATCTCAATCTGTATACATCTTACGTATCTCAATCTGTATACATCTTAAGTATCTCAATCTGTATAGGTCTTAAGTATCTCAATCTGTATACATCTTACGTATCTCAATCTGTATACATCTTACGTATCTCAATCTGTATAGGTCTTAAGTATCTCAATCTGTATACATCTTACGTATCTCAATCTGTATAGGTCTTAAGTATCTCAATCTGTATATGTCTTAAGCATCTCAATCTGTATATATCACACGGATCTCAATCAGTAAATATCTTATGGATCTCAATCTGTATATGTCTTACGGATCTCAATCTGTATATATCATACGGATCTCAATCTGTATGTCTTATGGATCTCAATCTGTATATATCATACGGATCTCAATCTGTATGTCTTATGGATCTCAATCTGTATGTCTTAAGTATCTCAATCTGTATGTCTTAAGTATCTCAATCTGTATATATCATACGGATCTCAATCTGTATGTCTTATGGATCTCAATCTGTATATATCATACGGATCTCAATCTGTATGTCTTATGGATCTTAATCTGTATATATCATACGGATCTCAATCTGTATGTCTTATGGATCTCAATCTGTATATATCTTTGGATCTCAATCTGTATGTCTTATGGACCTCAATCTGTATATATCATACGGATCTCAATCTGTATGTCTTATGGATCTCAATCTGTATATATCTTTGGATCTCAATCTGTATGTCTTATGGATCTCAATCTGTATATATCATACGGATCTCAATCTGTATGTCTTATGGATCTCAATCTGTATATATCTTTGGATCTCAATCTGTATGTCTTATGGATCTCAATCTGTATATATCATACGGATCTCAATCTGTATGTCTTATGGATCTCAATCTGTATATACTTACCACAACTGGTCCCCCAGGATGTGAACAACCTCGACACCCTTGCCTCTCATGCCCGACATGTACATGTCTTCTCCCGACAGACAGGCGGTCCCCACCGCCACAGCTGCCCTGAAATAATGTTAATAAAACAAATAACCAGTGGACCATGTGGACCAGGCATTGACATGTGCTTACTGTAAGATATGACAATATGAAGTCGTTCTGACTTTTAATGAAACAACAACATCATCATCATCATCATCATCATCATCATAGTCCATTGTATGGTGCTTTTCAAAGCTGGCTATCAAAAGCAGAGCTCAGTCAAAGGCTTCACTGAACAGATGGGTCTTGGAGGAAGTTCTGAGGGCAGAGTAGGTGGCTGAGTTGCGACTTTCAAGGGAAAGACTGTTCCATTTATAGGCTGATGCATAAGGGAAAGATTGCTGTCCATAACTGATAGTTTAACTTGTGGCACAAGAATAAGACGTTGTGATTCTGAACAGAGAGATCTGGATGTAGTGAAGGGTGGAAGAGTGAGTGAGTGAGTTTGGTTGAACGCTGCTTTTAGCAATATTCCAGCAATATCACGGCAGGGGACACCAGAAATGGGCTTCACACATTGTACCCATGTTGGGAATCGAATGAAGGGTGGAAGAAACAACAGAGACAAGATGGAACTGTTGGAGAATGGCAGTAAAACAGAGAAGTTGGAAATTGTTGCGCTGTTGTACAAGAAGCAAATGAAAATCTTTCACAATTGGAATGATGATATCGAGCAAACACAATGACTGCATGGTGTCCATTACCTGTTGCCAACCAAGCTGACCGCACACATGGCTCCCTTAGCCATTTTCCCAAATGTGGTAAGAGTTACCCCCCCTTTGACTACAACACCTGGCAACATCAAATCTGAAAGAAAAACATAACATAACAAGATAAGAAAGCATAACCATACCCACATTTATCATGCTCATGCAATAAAATCCATCAACAATGTAAATCATACAAAATAAAAATAGAATCAGAATTCAAAGTTATTTTTAGGATTTGTTGTCATGGTCTATGTAATGTTATTGATCATGTTGTTTGTGACTGAAGGTCAGTAGGCGTATGCTGATACTTCAAGCATATTTATCATCAAAGACTAAACAGTTCTGTAATCAGCAAATATGTTAATGCGACAATCAAGTTAATGGCTTGCCTTTTGCCAGGAAAAATTGCATATATCATAAGTTCAGTATCACGAGGGATATATGTGGTTTTATGCATCCCGCATTTGGTTTTATACCACGAGGCAAGGATAAAACCATCCCAAGTGATGCTATGACAACAAATCTATCTTAATACAACATTGTAATAGAATTAAAACAAAATCAAAATTCATAGAAAACAGTTGTTCGATTGAGCTGAGGTTAACCCTGACTCGGGGAAAGGCATGCAGCCTGTTTTGTTTGTCTGTTTGTTTGCTATTTATCACGGTCTGTAAATTATCAAGTCTGGACCAGAAAATCCAGTGATAGACATCATGAGCATCGATCTACATAATTTGGTTACTATCACATGCATCAACCAAATCAGCAAGCCTGACCACCCGATCTCCTCAGTCGCCTCTTTGGGCAAGCATGGGTAGCTGAAGGCCCATTCTAAACCAGATCTTCACAGGTATATCAGTCCTGTTAATGTCATAAGTGAAATATAATACACTTTTGCAAAACCATAAAAACTAAAACATTTTGGTATTATTAATTATGATAACCATGGTAACAGGACCTCAATTCATATTTCTTAAATTTTAGCAACATTTGCCATTGAATATTGGCCTCTAAGAATTCCCAGATAAATCCCTGGCATGTGTTATCATCATGATCACCAAACATATTGCAGTGTTTTACCTGCCCCTCCTGCAAGCTTCTTGAACACTGGCGGCCATGTTGTGAACAGAGGCAGAAAGTCAGGATACTTCCACATTGTGTAAACTAAAATGAATGACCATGACAGTTGGAGTTAGTACAGTTAAGACTATGACATCCACTCTGAAGTTATAATACAGCTATACCAGAGCAGAAAGTTCAAAATTGGTAAATATGGAAAGCCAAACCCTGATCTTTATGGTGATGCAGGTCTCAGACGCTTACCACATTGGTGAAACCCACGCGCACGGGTATGGTGTTGACAAACCTAGAAACATAATCAGGGCGAGCCAGGATTTAAACCTACAATCACAGGTTTCTGGCATGCCCAAGGGACACAACTCTGCACAGCAAATCGCAGCGCCTTAGACGACTGGGCCACCCGTGCCCGCGATTCCAATCCATGAACACAGTGTGGTACTCACTGATACTTAAACATTTAAAAGTAGAAAACACACACAAAATGCATTTATCTTTCCATTATAAACAATAAAACACCTATACTCTCAAAAAAAGAATACACTCACCTAATAATTACATCATAATAAAAACAAAAATTATTTAATTTCTTCCAACATCTCTTTTGAAGCTTGAACATATTCAGGTATGAGTAATGACTGCTGGAAAAAAAGTAAAATACCTGTAGGGTAGATCTTGCCATACAGGTCAAAGAAAATGGGGTTCTTCTGCAGACAATAGACCACAGCCGTCTGTCCACCATGGGTGCTGATCTTAGTTATCGACATGTCCTCTTTCTGGGGAACCATGGTTGTCAGGTCATCGGGCGAGAGTTTCGGATACAGCTTACCTAGATCCGCCCTCAGCCGTTTCCTGGGAGAGATACACTGGTATTAATATTTCAGTTTTCAGTGAAGATCTATTACCATGATGTGCCAATGAATGCAAAAAAAATTGACGTTCATGGCACACAAGGCAAGTATTCAGATAATGGTTTGGTGACAAAAAATATTTCCCAACCACCATCCAGGATTTATAAAAAAAATCTGTAACCAAGAACCATGAAAAAGCATCTGATCTGAGTGTGCACCAGTAAGTGAGTTGGGTTCAACATGTTCAGTACTGTTTTTTGCAGTTAGGATACACTGTTTTTTTATCTTCCTTCAGAGATTTTTTTCTGATAAAATACCTGTCAGTAGGCAAGGCAGACTGGGGGAGGGGGGAAACAAAATAAGCAATTCAATTGTCTTTTAGTTTTCTCCTCCCTTCAGGATATACAAAAAATACAAATGGTTTCATATGGGAGGAGAGCCTCCAACACAGCTGTTGCTTTAACAATGCAAACCTGATAAGTCAAGCAGGAATACTGTTGTGCATGTAGTCATTATATCAATGTGAAGAACAACAGCAAACTATATATTGACGCCCGTGTGTATTTTGCTATGTCAACTTCAGTGGGTCCATTTTTAGTGCTTATGGGCAGGATTACAAAAGAGTAAATTCTGAAGTAAACATTTTCCATTTCAACCAAATTTTTACATTGACCAGATCCCTTAAGAAAAAAAAACAGTGTGGTCCTATATCATGCTAAGGGATGGAAACCCAGGAGCAGCAGATGCTGGCTCACCTATGGGATGAACTCGACATCTCTCATTCCTTCTATACTGTATAGGTTTTCGGTAGACAAAGTAACCTTGATATATACAACTACTAGTACTTCAGAGACATAGAAACAGGCAACATCAAACAAGTGTAAATGGTTGTCTCTAAGGAGTGATTTACAATGCCAGTGCACTGTGAGCATGATTGGCCTTGCATGTATACAAATATCTGCAATAAGTTCTCATTGTCCATAGCTTAGCACAGTAACCAATACAGACATAAAATATTTCCGTTTGGGAAACCAGCTGGTGAAATGCTATATCCTTGATTCCCTTCATTACACTATTCCTACACAAACTCTTTGCTGGTCTGTTCTATATCTGATTTCTATATACAACTATACATATCATTATCAATGTGCAATGATACGAGACAAGTATTTAATAATCATCATAATACGATTAATGTTTAATGTTTCAAATTATATATATTTTAAATGGGTATGGATTTGCTATTTTGGATACAAGTCATCCTGCTGTTTAGGTATGGGTTATCCAACATTTGGGAAGGAGTCTGCCAAAACAGTTTCGGTACAGATCTCCACGCATAAAGATACCTCTTTGAAGATCTGTAATATTATGTTCAAGCAAGCTACTGAAAAGTCTCAAATCAAAGATATTATTTAGATATAAAACCTTGATAATGTGATGTTAGATTTGACTGTTGTTGATACATTTCCCTAGATCTGTATGTGGGTACTGTAATGGAAACATGAGTGCCTTCTTGTTTGGGTTATAGCTAAAACGGCACCTCAACAAAACATCACTGGGCGAAAACAGCACCAATCGGCAAAACATCTTCTTGCCTCAAACGAAAACGGCTACTATTGCCTGGCGAAAACGGCACCTTATATTTTTTTACCCTGGTATTGAAATAAATGAAATTAAACTCACATGGTCACTTGCAAATACCAATAATTATGGAATGTTAAAACAATTTTACATTAGAAATTAGCCTCTACTCCAACTATATTCCAACTTAGCCTATACGCAACTAAAAATATTGTGAAAACATAACATGCTTTGAGTGAGCGAGTGAGTACGGTTTTACGCCGCTTTTAGCAATATTCCAGCAATATCACGGCAGGGGACACCAGAAATAGGCTTCACACATTGTACCCATGTCGGTAATCAAATCCAGTTTTTTAGCGTCACAAGCGAACACTTTAACCACTAGGCTACCCGACCACCCCTAACATGCGTTGAAGTAAAATAAATTAAATTAAATTCACATCGTCTCTTACAAACACAAATAATTGTGAAATGCTAAAACAAGTTTACATTCAAAATTAGCCTCCACTCCAATTTACTCCCCGACTCTGATTGGGAGGTGCAACTAACTTATTGTGAAAACACTATACGCTTTGAAGTTTTAAGTACCTTTACTCCGTTTAACTTAATGTCAAGCTGAAACTGTATTTAAGAGACCTAAAATGGTGCTGTCAGATCACAATTGTTCACAATGGCCTTTCGATGTGTTGCATGCAAGAAGAATGTAAGAAAAAAATCAACATGCTGTATCATGTGACAACTGTAACCAGTGGACCCATCGTATATGTGGTACCGGACTTTCTGTATCCCGTTATAGAAGAAGGCTATGAAGAAAACTATGAAGAACTGTATATATGTCAATATCTGTAGTTATCTGTGAACAGAGACCATATAATAGATCTATTATATGGTCTCTGCTGTGAATAACTGGAAATCAGTAAATGACAATACATCAAATAGCATGTAAATACATCAAATAACATGTAAATAAATCATATATGCCACGACATAACTCGTTCTTATCGTTATTGAAAATAGATGTGCCGTTTTCTCCTGAGAAATCGGTGACGTTTTGCTGATGTGCCGTTTTAGCCTGCATCCTCTTGTTTAACCAATGATTACTACTAGTATTAGATATAGAGCACCACACCAAGGCTATGGCCCTTTCCACTTTACAAATGGTTGCTAATAGTGCCATCCCAAGTCTGTTGATGCTGATTTCTCACTGTGTGTGACTTGCGAATCAGGTTTGAACATGGATTAGAATACAAACATGATGAATAGTCTACCATAAGAGGTACTGATCAAGATCGAATGTAGGGTTATACATGTAATAGCAAATGTCTTGTGTAAGAAATGTGAGGGTGCTTACACTCAGCCACAGACAGTGGCAGCTTCCTAATACAAATCTATGCTAAAAATAAAACAATTTACCTGTCAGAACCTTTGATGGCAGTCTGTGTTTTTACTCGAAATGGTTTATGAAACATATTTGCAGTCTACTCGACAATTATATCGAACATAAATAAAACAAAACACTGTTTATAATCAAAATATATTAAATAAATCACTGATGTGCTGTTTATAAAAAAAAAGCAATCTCGATCTTATAAGAGCCGTTAAAACAACTTATTTACAAATTCTGACAGATCATTTCACGAAAACGTGCGGCTTCCGGTTTGGCCGATTGCGGTAGTTGTAAATAGTGATTTCAACAATTTCATTAGGAAAATAAATGTAATTGTTTTATCATACAATTATGTCTATATTATACGAGATTGGTTGATATCTAAGAAGAATATAGGTAGAAATCCGGGATGTTTAATGTCGTACATCATATTATGTACCAAAATACGGCAGTCTAGTTACGGTCGCCATAGCGACGCTTGTTCCCCAAACACCTGCTCATGGCCGAGTCCAAAGCAAAGTAGAAATATTATTGTGGACAGGGTGAAGGGGTACGGTCTAACTGAAATATCAAAATGACCGATATTTTAGTTAACTGGCTCAATGAAGAGCTTGCAATATCCTCGCCCGTCGGTAAGTTTGATAGATGGACGCATTCTGTGTCCCGGTGGTACCAGTAATAACACAAAAATCTTGCTTTTTGTAATTTCTTCATATTTGGAGGCATTTAACAGGCGCAGGGCAAAATTATGTATATTTTTCAAGCTTCAAGTGTCTTATATGTTGGCGACTTCCTGTTAAATTAGATAACACCCATCCTGGATGTGGTATAGGCCTAGTACCAAACCAACTGATTAACATCTGCATAAAGATAAGGCACAATTAGGACTGTGTGAAGAAGCTGCTGCACACATGAATGATTGATCAATAATCGGACTGAACGAGTAGTATCACCCCCAGCAAATTAATGTTGATCATGTCGCAGAATCTATATGGAAATCGTTTGATTTAGGCTTTGTGAGATAATGTCACGTGAATGCCAGTTGAATCATTTATTCACGTAGCTCTTAATTACTTCTTTGAACAGTGATACCTCGTCAACTTGAATAACATTATTGAAATATGTAATCTTTTATGTTGTATTTGTATTGTCTCGGACGAAACCAATCAGCATTGTGGTCTTGTATTAGAGCCTGGCTTTGAAATATGAATAATTCAATAAAATATTTTTTTATGGTTCTGGTGTTTACTGAATGTACACACATAACACTCACTTTATGTACATCAATATGGAACCATCTTGGGTGAAATATAAATAAAATGCATGCAATCATTTTCCAGATCAAAGAGGATTTTCAAGACAATTCTCTTCAGGGTTTTTGATTGGTGAAGTTCTGAATAAGTATCAACTTCAAGATGATTTTGACCAATTTTCTCAGAGCAAGTAAGTTCTCAATTGTAACATTCTTCTACGTCCCAAGTTTGTGAAACTAAAACGCTAACTTGCTTTTTCAGCAGATTTGTTTAGTAATATGTAAACTTATCATGATTATTAGCAGAGTTAATGAGACAGATTGGAATTTTGCTAGGTTTTCAGACTAATGCCTAGGTCTCAGACTGTTGCTACAAAAAACATACTTTTTTAAAGAAAGCTTGTTAAATTTCTTATAACATAATACATGTACAGGTATTTATGTTAAAAATGGCATTATAATTCTTTCTACCCTTTTTCAGGCATGTTCATTTACTAATATTTGGATTCATATTTACCCTGCTCATTAGAATGTTTTTGATTTCTTGTGTCAGACATATATTTATGATGATGTAAATGTTCCAGAACGGCAGATTCAAAACTCAATAATTTCACCCGCATCGAACCCGTCTTGCATCTGCTTGGCATCCCATTTGACACAAATGTGGCTCGGGATATCATGACAGAACGACATGGTGTGGCAACACGGATCATGTACCAGCTGTACATAGCACTCAATAATAAAAAGAAAGCCAATCTGACAGGTGTTGCCATGGAAACTATGAGGCCAGCAGCTCCAGCCAAACTAAATGCTGTTGAAACCGAAATATACAAACAGGTACTTTATCCCCACAGACACCTGAGCATAATGGCACAATAAACTGCCAGGAACAATTTTCTTCCATTTACCTGAGCAATAATCAATAAATGTTTCTTCATAAAGTCATCCCTACAAAAGACAGAGCTCGGCTTCATAATGGCAAAGCAATCTATAGTGATTGCCAGTAAACCCTCCTTAATGAGGTAATCATCACCTTAGCAACTGTCATGGGATTCATTTCTCAGCCTAGATTAGTTATCTCCCCTTCTGTCTTGTCGGCTGTTGTATCCCAGCAACAAGACACAGATTGGATGGTGCCTCAGATGGGTAGCGTTGCACAATGCGAGACTGATTAGATAATGAATTATTAAGTATCATTGATTAAAGTAGGGTTCATCCTTGGTCTTGGCATGTAGGATACATCAAGCATGTCTACGGACACAGGATTCTGGTAGGACAATCTCTAAGCAATAATTCTTGTAATCCTTTGCAAGCCTTATTCAGCAATGTCAAAGAAAAGAGTCGATAGACATTATCATGATTATTATTACTATTTTAATTGTGTTCTGTGTTGTAAAGTTCTGTCTATGGTACATGTACAAGAATTTTCAAAATTGGTATTGTTTGGTTCAGGAATATGATGCTATATTCTCTGATACTAGAAACCTGTATACTTTTTCTAAAAGCAGATCTAATGTATTGTATTTATTTTTCATGTTTTTGCATGAGGATGATAGAAGTTAGAAGTGGAATGGAAAATAAGATGTTTTTTAATTGCATTGAGTAAATTTGAGAATATAAAGATCAGATATGTCGACTTCCAATAGAATAGTGATACTCACATCTTATCTGGGTTTTAAGTATTTTCAATGTTTTGTTTAGATTAATATGTGTTGTTTTCTTTATTTATGTCATAAATTTTATTCTAACACAGCGTCTAAAACACGCAACACCTCGGCAAACAGACTTGAACCTTGAGGCACTCGTGAGTCGCTTCCATGAAAAACAGATAGAGATGGAAAAGACTGCATTCAAAGAGCGTTTTTTAGAACAGGAACGCATTCTGCAAGAACAACAGGAACAGCGACAAGCACTGTTGGAGAGATCTCGGCAGCTCAAGGCAAAACAAAGCGAGATGGTTGCCAAAATTCAGTAAGCATGATTTTAAATAAAAGTTTTGGAAAATGAAATAGAAAGAAAAGCAGGATTGAAAGAATATACATGTGGTCAACAATGAATCTGTGATCTATGTACTTTCTAGATCACTGCATTCTTTTCAGTGTAATTGTATATAAGGCATTTGATTGTTTGTTGGTGGTGATTGTGGTTGTCTAAAGAGCAAATTGGAACAAGGCTCATTGGAAAACGTTAAGAGTAGCCTCCCTTGGACATTAATGATCACTTGTGGATAATTCTTGGAGAGGAAAAGTTTTTATTATGTTGAACAAATATTGCAGATATGTTAAAAAGGTGACAAATTTAGTCAGACCACTATGTGATTTTAATGTAAATGTCAAACAGATATTGCAAAAATATTATTCAAACTATACCTTCTAATCCATGTTACTCTCTTATCACAGAGCAGCTACAGTCGAGATCCCCAAGCCACCCGCTAATCGGACAAGTAAAGCAATGCAACTGAGGAGAAACATAAAGCGGAGAAGAGAAGCTCAGGTATGATAGATAGTTATTGCTTATCAATTAACAACACTCATTTTACTGACAAAATAGTATGGATTACAACTGTAATAAAGAAATTGATCATCCAAATTATTGTCATCAGATGTCAGCTTTAAAACGATATGTCTTCATTTCTTTACCCTCATTTCAGAAATCTTAACTTTAGCACAAGAAACCTCACACAGAATGCAAAAGTACCCTTCATAGTACAGTAAACTATGTTTATAACGAATACGTTTATAAAGAACTCATGGATATTACAAACTTTGAACTTAGAAGTCTTGATGCTGATTGGCTGATTAGAGAGTCATCAGATCACACGGAGAAGAATCGTATCTGAGTAAAAGAAAGGTCTCATTTAATTATCTGAGACCTTCACTTCAGGCTTTAATCCTACAGTAAAGCTGACACACCATGATATAACTGGAATTCTGCTCAAGGTGACATTAAACTATACTCACTCGCTTTTATCTTCCTTCTCTATTCATCATTATTATTTCCTGTATCACTGTAGGAGGCCATGTCATCCATTGCCATGTTTGAGGAGAAAATGAAGACTATTCTGCCCCCATCTAAACTTGACTCCAGGTAAATATTCTTAGTTGTGTTGTCAGGGAAATTGACAACATTCATCCATATTCACATGAAACTTTTACTAAGCTACAGTCACTGTATAAGAAGGCCACATGAGTGTATTGGGTTAATAGTAGTTACATATTTTACAGTAAGCAACATATCTGTAATTTATGTAATGAATGATAGAGAATGCACATGGTCTCAGCAGGCATTAGGAGACTAACCGTTCTTAGATGCAATATCCTGCCATCTCGATAAGGTCATAAATGATATTGTCATACCTCCATGTCAGAATGATGAGATCTGATTTGTCCATGTGATCTGGATAAAATACTGTGTAACTCGCCTTGGAGAGTAATACATTTCTAGGCTGGGGGATAAATCTCTTATACCCCGCCACAAGCAATACAAGCTGGACGTGGATTTCTGAGAGGCAGAGTAAATCCCTTATTCCCTGCTTCCAAGCAAAAAGCCTCACACTTTTTCCGAGTCAATGGAAGTCACGTGACATAGCACAAGTTAACCTCAGCTCAATCGAACAGCTGATTTTGAATTTGTGTTAATTCTTTTACATTGTCACATTAAGACAGGTTGGTAAGATAAATTCAGCTTGTGGTATAAAACCTAACGCTGGATGCATAAAAGCCCATGTACCCCTCGCGATCCTGCTACCACTTAAAGTGTGGATATTACAATTACCTGCAGACTTGACCCTATGGCTGCTATCAATCCATTATTAGGTTGTTTTCATCCATAAAACATATGATATTGTGTATATAAAGAAATTATTTCAGTCCTAGTGTTATGGTTGTGATATTGTTAAGGTGACAAAAATTTTCTCTCCAACTAACCGCTACCTTTCTTCCAGTGAGTCTTTTGATGTGGCCTACCTAGTGAGTCGGGAGGATGACAAGCTACATGTAGACCCTATCGAGTTGATCAAGCCAACCTCCAATGATGACTACATCGGCAAGATCAGGAAGAGGCTGCATGAGGACTCGAATGCCCGCCAGGAGCGAGAGAAGCGGCGCAGGAAGGTCCTGGTGGATCAGATGAAGTCGCATGAATCACAGGAGGTTGGCAACTTGCATCATTCATTGTATTTTACATTTGAAAAAAGTTGACATCAGTTTCAATACTGTATATCGCCAGGCCAATCTCATTAAAATCAGATCTTAGTTCTCGCTACTGCTAAACAAAGATCTGAGGACACCCTATTACGGGTCACGTCAGACCGACCTTGCGTGAACTTTGACCGACCAATGGAATGGCTGACATTAGCCAATCAGAAGGCAGCTTTGTCGTGCTTAACGGCACTAATTTCAAATTGGTGACTACACTTCGAAATATATTTTGACAAATTCTCGATTAAATATTTGAAACATGAACAAAGAACATTCTGAAATGGCTAATAGATGGTCTAGATTGTATGGATTCAGTCGTTAAGCCCGTAACTATCGTTCTGAATACCCTGTGTTAAAGTTTTCGAGATTGCATGGTTAGAAATCAGATTCCGACTGTCACTTTCATGATCTGGTAAGTGACACTCTGATTGGTCGGACAGAAAATGGATATACATATCATAAATGTCATAATTTGACTCGTTAAAAGTCTTATTTGTTGTAGTTTGACTATTATATGGCAACATATAGTTTTCGTGATCGCGAGCACAGGAGCAATGACGGTGATTGGGCAAATTGTTCAATACATAAACAATATATAGCAAACAGCTGTACCCAAGTGCTAGATTTATGGTTACTAATTTATTTCATATACAGTCAAACACCGTTGTGTCAATTTTTATATGTTTTACTTTCGGTTGTCTCGAAGTAAAAGCTTGGTCCCTGTGTATTCCAGATCACTTTATAAATGGGGGCATATAAATTAGCATCAATTTTGAAGGCTTTTACAAGGGGGTCGCCTTATAGACAGCGATATACAGTAATTGGGGATTCTGAGTTAGAATAGATCACCTATGCTTGTCATATGAGATGACTACATTGATCGGGTGGTTACTGGTTGATTATGTATCATCATAACCTGACTGTGTAGGACTTAGCTCATAACATCAGTCACTGGTTTGTCTGGTCCAATCTTGATTATTAATGACTGACAATTTATAGCTGGAATAGTAGTTGAGTGTGGCAAGGACAAATAAATGAATATTGGGAGAACACATTTGCTTGATGGACAAGGGAACACAAAATGTATTTCATGACAAATGTTATTATGGGCAAAATACAATGGAACAACTCCTATTGATGTGCAGTAGGTGTAGAAGATGGGTCATCAGGCACCTGTAATGATACATGTTTTCACAGTAACATATCCTTAGCATGTTTCTCAAAAAGACAACCAGATTATTTTTAAACGTATTGAAATTTGGTTTTCAAAATGCCTTTTTCAAGAGTGCTTCCAATCTGGGATTAACCATAATGATTTCCCTATTGTGCCATTATAAACATCCCAAAGGCTAGAATTTATATGATACAGCTTTCCCAGGACTAAAAACTTATTTACATATATATCTTTTGATTACATTAATCTATATACACGACTAAATGACAAATATTTATAAATGCCCAGCGCTCCAAGGAGGAAAAGGGTCTGGCGTCCGAGCGCTGATATTTCATTTCTTTTAATCTCAGATTGGTCTTTCTCCCTAAAAAAACATACCAGTGTTTTGAAACTCAAAAATTCATTTCATTTCAATTTGTCTTGGTCATGGAAAGGATATACATGTTCATGGTAAGGTGTGTAGGTAGATAAGGGCAATAAAATTATGTGAGGCAGGGTGTTCGGGTAGTCGGTAGGTCGGGATGAAAATCTAATAACTGATTTGGCCTGAAGTATATTCCTCCAGATTAGTTTAACAAATGTTTACTCCTCCTCCCAGGAAGCTCGGCGTGAGGAGATGATGGTGAACCGGCTGATGCGGCAGTCGCAGCAGGAGAGACGCATCGCTGTGCAGTTGCTGCAGGCCAGGCATGAGAAGGAGGTGATCCGAACCAACCGCATCACTCGGGAGAAGCAGTACGAGGAACGGAGACTCCGGGACTTTGAAGATGCTCTGGACAAAGAAGCTGTGAGTCTGAGTTACTGTGGTTTATTTTGGACAGTATTGTATGACAGGGGCTTAATTAACAGAAAAGTTTCCTACCCATGTGCCCAAAGATAGTGATAAGATAGGGGCAAAGTATCAAAAGGAGACTATTCTGCTTCTAGGGCTGGGACGGGTAACTCAGGTACTCGGGTCAAGTGGGTCCTGAGTAGGACACAGGTACCCATAGGACTACCCGGACCCGTGGTTAGTCACGTGATATATTGTTTGATAACGAAAACTCACTATAGCTCAGTGGTTACACTACAAGTCACTATTATTAGCATTTCTTTCTGACGATGCACACATTACTTTTGACTTGTATATGTTTGAGTAAAGATAAAGCTTCAGTCAACTTCAGTGTACGTATGATCTGATCGTTTCATCCATGTATCTAAATAATTTTTGCCAGGGCTGAGGTAAAACAATTCCCAATCAGACATTTTGTTCCCAACTCTTGAGACCAACAGTGGGTACCCGGGTAGGGTCAGGTATCCGGGTCGTAAATTTGAACTCATCCAAGCCCTATCTGCTTCTATCTGTAAGGTCAGATTTGTTTGTTAATTATTATTTCATCTGAGTGAATAACAAAATCTTTATGATGATAAATGTGTCACAATACATATACTACGAAGAAGGTTAGAGAGACTGATACACACCGACAACACAGTGGGGTTGTTGCAGTGGATAGCCAAGTGGTTAAAGCATTTGTTGCAATGTGTGAAGCCATTCTAGGTATCCCTGCTGTTTATAATGCCAACAAAACACAGAAATACAACAGACTATTTCTTGTGATGACATTGCGAAAGGACAATTATATGTAGGACTCAGATCTATGGCAGGACTCTAATCCGTAGAGTAATCTGAGATCTGTGGCAGATTCTCATGGTCATTTGACGCCATGTTTACAATGATCTCTTTTCCATGAATGGACATTCAGTTCCATAGTTATATGACGTCATGCTTGAGATGACGTCATGTAAGTTCAACGTCTATTACCAATAGACTCAGCAATCAGTCAAAAACGTATAAGCCGGAAACCATAGAAAATGAAGGTTTTCTTATGGGGGATTCATGCCGGCAGAGGAAGAAACCAATATCGAAGGACCTTAAAGGAGAATCTTTTTGAAATGATTTTTAAAAAATCCAAGAAGTTCCTCGTGTAAAGGAATCCCGAAGTAGGGAAGCGTAAAAATATTCAGGATTTTATCAACTCCCGCAAATGAGAGGATGGTGAGGAAGGTCTTAGAAAATTATTTCTACAATGAAACTTAGGGGAATGTTTTTAAGAAAAGTACCAATATGCAATCCCTGCACCAACAATGCTGTTCCAAAGGGGAAATGATAAAAATAATCCAGTGAAATATCAATCTATGTATATGAATCTATATATAGAATACTAAACGAGCTCTCGTGTAATACCAATTTTATGAAACTCGCGAATAGTTGTGGTATCTGACGAGCGAAAGCAAGTCAGATACCACAACTATTCACGAGTTTCATAAAACTGGTTTTACACAGGAGTGAGTTTAGTATTTTATTTATTACTTGCCATTTATAACGTTTTTAGAAATATAATGTTGAGTATGAATAGGCTGACATCTACACGATCCACGGCATAGTCCAAATGAGTTTAACAGAATAATACTTCAAACACGTCCAAAGTTGAAACGTATGAATTTAATACCATACAACGGTCCACCTTTAGAATTCACAAAATTATCATAGGGCTAAGACTATCGCAACTCACATACTTTAACTTAGACTAACGACCATCGTTGCGCTACAATACGATCGCCTTGTGAAACAGGCCTTGCCCCTCAAAGTTTACAATAACGTCACAATACCCGATGACGTAATTTGTGGAATTTTGTTGCAAGATCGATCGGCGAAACAATGCCATGTGACCGCAGCCTAGCAACAAGGTTGCTGGGGTCCTCGAGTGTGCATAAGCTCCTCTCAGTGATCTATCAACTCCACACGCAATGTCGTTGAATAAGCCGAGGAATGTTGAGAGCTTTCAATATTTGTTCGTGAAACGTGTTCCGAGAGTACATAAGCACGCATTTTGGTATTACACAATGTGTAATACAGCTGTATGTTTATTAAATGGGTGATCTCTTCCCGGGCAAGTAATAAACAACATTTAGCGCTATAGAAATTGCCAATTATACATACAGCACATACATCAACACAATATAAATTTGGCGTTAAGGGGATTCTCATGTTACTTTACGACTGAGCATCAATCCCCCCAAGCATTGGGGTATGACCGTATGCGAAGGAGCACCAGCATACAGCTGTAAGACTCAGAGTGGTGATTGAGCATCAGTCCCCCAAGCATTGGGACACACTGGCATTAAAGGATGCTGAAATTATGCTATAACTGTTCTAGCATTTAGCCTGTAATATTGACTTTATATAAGTGTGTCAGCACCATACGGTTTCCCTTAAGTGGTAAACATCTGAAACCTGCATCACTGAGATCTTCCCACTTTAAGCTAACTAGCGGTGATATAACTTGCATACTGTTTTAGACAGCATTTAACTCACTCACTTGAAAAAGAACTTGATGGACACTTTCGGAAAAGTTTACATTTCCAAACCTTGATGTACAGGAACTAGCTCGACTGTCCAAGTTGGAGTACATGGAACAAACCAAGAAGGACAAGGAGCTCCATGACCAGATCGCAGCACAGAGGGCAGCAGACCGCTACAAGAAGCACTACGACATCTGTTCCGATGTCGTCAACCAGGTGGTCGACTTTGCCAGCAAGGTGGCAGAGTACAGAGAACTCACTAACGGGTAAGTAGATCTTAGTGCAGGGACAGTCATAACACCATTGGAATTAATGGGAGTCTCAGTATGAAGACTGCGTTGATTATCTGGAATCAGAGTTGTAGAAAAAAGCAAACTGATGTCATATCTGGTCTTGCTGGCAGATGTTGAAATATTGTTGCAAAACATGTTGAAACAGATCAGAATAATTGCCATGGGGTTTGGTGTAAATGAAATAAATGAGGCTTAAAATAATAAATGAATTGGTTCTCAGGCAATGATATTTTAAAAATATTGTGCGGGCAGGCAGTGTTTTGGGGTTTTTTTTTGCTACACAGTAAAGCAGTGCGCATGTAAAGGGAAGTAACTGTGTGCTATATTGGATCGCATTGTTTTTAAGTATTAGGATTATTTCATTTTGGGGAAAATGGAAATAAAAACAAAACATGCAGCAGACTTTATGATGATGCGGGCAGTGCCTGAGAACCAAGACTATTATTTTCTTAATCTGAGTGAATGTCTTTTTATGCCATTGTCAGGAATAATATATTCATATCTAGGTGTCCTGCATGTAATCATGTCTAGACCAGACAAACCAGTGGTTGAATGCATGAGCATCAATCACAATGTGTATGACAATAATAAATTACCACTCAATCCCCAACATGGTCTGCTCTAATAATAATCACAGGGTACTGGGACCTGTTCTACTCCTTAGCCCCAATATGGGTCTCAATGTAAAAGATCATAGGATACTGTTTACTTAACTGTAGATAGAAGATAGGAAGAGACTTTAAGATCAGTAATATCTAGAGAGACCAGCATGGACCAGTCTGTGAGTCAGTCCTCTATGCTTCCAGCTTACTGCCTCCCAAGCTGATGCGGGAATGGACAGCTGTGTTTGTGGCGGGTCAGCCTCTGTTTGAGCCGAGCCCTGTGGAGGGAGCAGAACCGACGCTGGAACAGATCCTGGAGGAGGAGAGACAGCAGCTGCTGGACGAAGGGGACTTCATGGAGTACAAGGTAAAACAGCTGCGTGTTGAGTTCAGATCCACTGTGCAGAGTTGTGTCCCTTAGCTGTATCAAGATCAAGTGATCATTGGTTCATATCCCAGATTTGCCAAATTATGATCCTTGGTCTGTCAGCACTATACTCATATGCTTCAGACCCATGAAGATCCGGGTTAGAATAGGTCTTCAGCAACCCATGCTTGCCATAAAAGGTGACTATGCTTGTCATAAGCGGCGACTAGGGGGATCGGATGGTCAGGCTCGCTGACTTGGTTGATGCATGTCATTGTATCCCAATTTCGTGGATCGATGCTCATGATGTCAGTTACAGGCTTGTCTGGTCCAACTCAATTATATACAGAACACCATCATATAGCTGGAATATTGCTGAGTGCAGCGTTAAACAACAAACAAACAAAGTTTGCATTTTAATGAGCTAACCTTGATGTTAGTTTTGAACTGTAGAACACCAGATTCATTTATGTTTTGTATATCATCTGTCTTCAGTGGAGGAAACATTAGCAGTGTTCAGTTTTTAAACTTAGTTTGAAATAAATAATAAATAGCACCAGACTTTACACAAGCATGCTCAAAGTTCCTTTTATTTCATCTTTACCTTGGTCAGTGTGCATTATCAGCTTCCTTGGAAGTATGCAATGTATATTTCTTTACTGTTTTGCATGCAGTTGTATTTTTCATGAGTATTTTTGAATGTAATGACATGAAACTGAAATGTTTAAGGACATTTATCATCTCAAGATTTTAATGACTGTCCATAGAAATAGACATACACAATGATCTGTGTAGGCTAATAAATGCAGATTCTTGAATCAATTCATTCATCATCACTCAAAAACATTGTAGTTATGATTTGCAATGTTCTGTTTTTGTTGTAGAACATGATCGGGGAGTGGCAGCCGCCAGAAGGTTCGGAGCAGACAGAACCTCCAAAGGATAATGCTGTGTTGGGCCACATCATACACAGGTTGTTCAACCTAGTGCACCCTCCATCGGTATGTTGTCATATAGTAATTAGTTTCAGATGATTAATTAGATTATTTTGTTTTGATTTTATCCATCTCTAAAGTATTCAAAACATGAAAAGGAACAGGAAAATTATTCATCTATTCAAAAAGAAATAAAAAGGATTAACTTTAGCATTTAGTTGTGACTCTATTCCAAGTGAGTTTCAAGGATAGCCTAGATCTTCGAATGATTTTAGAATAGGCAAGACCTCCAGAGAATGTGCTTCATTTGGGGGCCAAGGAGGCCGAGTTATGTAAGCTGCAACAATCTGCTGTGCAGATTTGCACCCCTTAGAGGTGTGAGAAGCGTGTGATTTCAGATATATATCCCAGGTGTTCGCCCTCCTTATGTTTCTAGTTTGTTAGGACCGCCTCCGTGGTCTAGTGGTAGGTCATCCTTCCGGAGTGCGGAAGATCCGGGTTTCGATCCCTGGCCGCGCCATACCAAAAGACGTTAAAAGATGGTACCGTATTTTCTTGAGTATAGTGCGCACTTTTTTTCGAAAAAACACAGCTGTGTAGAAGGGGGTGCGCATTATACACGAATTATGAGTTTGGATGTTTTTCCCCCCCCCATGGAAAGACATTACCGTGAGCACGAAACACCGGGAATACCACATGTCAACAAATCCATACTGAAGTACGCAAAATAATTATGTAATTACACTGTCTGGCTATAAAAAGTGTTCTTTGTATATCTGGACTTATGTTTGTAACTTATTTCATTGATTTTATTCAAAATTCCTTATAATATTGTTTTTATTAATTTCGGCGAAATCGTGTGTGAAGCGATCGGAAGATCGCACAACTCACCGTTATTAACAGCAACCACGGTCAGAATACCGCTATTGACGCCTTGAAACAAACTTTAGTTGACAGAGAATGGATACATATATCATAAATGACATACTTTGACTCGTTAAAAGTCATATTTGTTTTTGTTTGACGATTCTATGTCAACATGAAATTCTCGCGATCACGTGATCACGTGCGTGTGGGCCTTGACGGTGACTGGTCAGACATGTTCCATGTAAAAAATAATACCCGGGAATAGCGGTCAGCTGCTTCGCTTAGGGTTATTATTATTTTAAATATGTTTAGTAAAGGTTGCATATAATTAAGAAAATAATGGAATATATTATTCCTGATAAATAAAATAGTTTCAGATACAATTGTTGCCGATCCTTGCATTAAAAATCTTATAAAGTTATATCATTGGGTGTGTCTTGACCGAATCACCGGTCGATTCCAAGAAAACGTGTGTACAGCTGATTGCTGTTTCCAGCTTAGTTTACGAGAAAATACGCAAGGTAATCTTAATCCCTAAATATAAAACAATGCCTAGCAGAACAATAAATACTATTTAAACGGTAAATAAACATGTCTGGTGATTTTTTATCTCAAATTTCGAATTTGTACTGACGAAGTTTCTCAGCACCCGTTCGTTTGCCGGACTTCGCTGAAAGGGTACGGTGTAAAAAAATTCTGCACATAATATTCAAATTTCTTTTTTTCCAAAATATTGAACCCGCAAGAGGGGGGTGCACATTATACATGGGTGCGCACTATACTCAAGAAAATACGGTACTTGTTGTTACCCTGTCATTAAGGGGCTGAAACAAGGACTGGTCGGCTCGGAGTCAGTATACTGTGTCTGAGTGGGGTATTCATGTGCGGCATGGTATCTCAGTGGGCTAGCACTATAAATCGGCATCAGTCCAGACTAGTACAAGCAGCCACACACACTTACGTGCATGCACGTCGCTGCATCAGTGCAATAATCTTGGACACGACGTTAAACCCCATTTCACCATACCTCTAGTTTGTTAGCTTCATGCTTTGCTTGTGGGTATTGCCACAGCAAGCTGACATGCTGTGATGTAACGGAAATACTGTTCAAAGCAGCATCAATCTAAACTCAGTCATGGTACAGTTATCCGTCATAATCTCTGTTTCAGCCTCCACCTCCACCGCCAGAGTTCCCTCCCTTCCCAGTGCGAGCTTGTATTCTTGGCAAAGTCTTCAGTGGCAAAACAACATGTATCACCAAGCTTGCTGCAGGTTGCTATTTTTTACCTTCCTTTTTTATAATTTCTTGGGGATACAAAAATAGTTCTTATATTTAAATCTAGGGTATAGTTTCATTGATAGTTATTGGTATTTGTTGAATAAAATTATTGATGCTTTGACTTTCTTTACGATCATAATCAATGAAGGTGATATAACAATAGTTCACTTGATCATTTCTCATGCCAATTGGGTAATGATATGCTGTAGCTCACCTCACTGTTTCTGCTTTTCTCCATCGGTAACATAATACTGTAGCTCATCTCACTGTTTCCTCTTTACTCCATCGGTAACATAATACTGTAGCTCATCTCACTGTTTCCTCTTTATTCCATCGGTAACATAATGCTGTAGCTCACCTCACTGTTTCCTCTTTACTCCATCTGTAACATAATGCTGTAGCTCATCTCACTGTTTCCTCCTTATTTCATCAGTAATATGTAACTGTAGCTCATCTCACTGTTTCCTCTTTACTCCATCGGTAACATAATGCTGTAGCTCATCTCACTGTTTCCTCTTTACTCAATCGGTAACATAATACTGTAGCTCACCTCACTGTTTCCTCTTTACTCCATCGGTAACATAATGCTGTAGCTCATCTCACTGTTTCTGCTTTTCTCCATCGGTAACATAATACTGTAGCTCATCTCACTGTTTCCTCTTTACTCCATCGGTAACATAATGCTGTAGCTCATCTCACTGTTTCCTCTTTACTCCATCGGTAACATAATACTGAAGCTCATCTCACTGTTTCCTCTTTACTCCATCGGTAACATAATGCTGTAGCTCATCTCACTGTTTCCTCTTTACTCCATCGGTAACATAATGCTGTAGCTCATCTCACTGTTTCCTCTTTACTCCATCGGTAACATAATGCTGTAGCTCATCTCACTGTTTCCTCTTTACTCCATCGGTAACATAATGCTGTAGCTCATCTCACTGTTTCCTCCTTATTTCATCAGTAATATGTAACTGTAGCTCATCTCACTGTTTCCTCCTTATTTCATCAGTAATATATAACTGTAGCTCATCTCACTGTTTCCTCCTTATTTCATCAGTAATATATAACTGTAGCTCATCTCACTGTTTCCTCCTTATTTCATCAGTAATATATAACTGTAGCTCATCTCACTGTTTCCTCCTTATTTCATCAGTAATATATAACTGTAGCTCATCTCACTGTTTCCTCCTTATTTCATCAGTAATATATAACTGTAGCTCATCTCACTGTTTCCTCTTTACTCCATCGGTAACATAATGCTGTAGCTCATCTCACTGTTTCCTCTTTACTCCATCGGTAACATAATACTGTAGCTCACCTCACTGTTTCCTCTTTACTCCATCGGTAACATAATGCTGTAGCTCATCTCACTGTTTCTGCTTTTCTCCATCGGTAACATAATACTGTAGCTCATCTCACTGTTTCCTCTTTACTCCATCGGTAACATAATGCTGTAGCTCATCTCACTGTTTCCTCTTTACTCCATCGGTAACATAATACTGAAGCTCATCTCACTGTTTCCTCTTTACTCCATCGGTAACATAATGCTGTAGCTCATCTCACTGTTTCCTCTTTACTCCATCGGTAACATAATGCTGTAGCTCATCTCACTGTTTCCTCTTTACTCCATCGGTAACATAATGCTGTAGCTCATCTCACTGTTTCCTCTTTACTCCATCGGTAACATAATGCTGTAGCTCATCTCACTGTTTCCTCCTTATTTCATCAGTAATATGTAACTGTAGCTCATCTCACTGTTTCCTCCTTATTTCATCAGTAATATATAACTGTAGCTCATCTCACTGTTTCCTCCTTATTTCATCAGTAATATATAACTGTAGCTCATCTCACTGTTTCCTCCTTATTTCATCAGTAATATATAACTGTAGCTCATCTCACTGTTTCCTCCTTATTTCATCAGTAATATATAACTGTAGCTCATCTCACTGTTTCCTCCTTATTTCATCAGTAATATATAACTGTAGCTCATCTCACTGTTTCCTCTTTACTCCATCGGTAACATAATGCTGTAGCTCACCTCAGTGTTTACACTTTACTTTACTCCAGTGGTAATTTAATACTGAAGCTCACCTCACTGTTTCCTCTTTACTCCATCTGTAATATAATACTGTAGCTCACCTCACTGTTTCCTCCTCAGAACATCGTCTGCAAGTGTTGATCGTGGATGAGCTGGTTGACGAGGCTGTGGAGGCCCACAAGGCAGGGGAGATAATCCAACTACCTGCTGTGAGTTAACATTACTTCACTGGGACAGTTTGACAATTCAGACTGTAGTCAAACCTCATAAGTATCTGACAATCTTCTGTGAATAGGGTTACTATAGTCTTAATGATATTACTTTTAATACCCAAAAGCTGAACTGCTTCAACTATCTATCTCTGAAAATGCATCTTCCTGCAAAGCAATGATTGTGCATTTTCCATATCATGTTTATAGTTAATAAACTATGGCATGAGTGATGTCTACAATCTATGTCTAATCTATTGCAGGAGGGGGAGGGTGAGGAGAAGATTGAGGACACACCCACAGACCAGGCAGCGCTAGGGGGTGAGTTGGCGATGTTTTGGGTTTTTTGTGTTTTGATATGTTTCAGACGGATAAAAGATCAGTTATAAAGTATGAGACTTACCACAAAAGAGCATGGTGAAAATATATGATGGTAATGCCTTGGTAAATAGTCAGTGTGCATGGGAATTACATTCTGAGCTCCATAGGGAGTATGTGCAATACAGAATACAGAGTTACTCCCTTAACACTATTGCTATCCAATAATATTTACTCCCCATTTTTCTTCGTGGGTTTTCAATGTCAAAATATATATGTATATTGTCAAAATAAATGTTATTTTGAAAATTGTTTAATTTACTTTCTGAATGTTGGTTACTTTTGGCTCCAGCTCCTGGAGACCCTGCCACAGTCAATGCTACATCTCTGGACAATGTACCCCAGGAGATGCCTACACCACAGCCAGAAGGTTGGTAGTGACTGGACACATCAATGTTCAGCCAGAAATGTCATGCATATACACACCATTCCTCAATTATATACCGGGGCGGTCGGGTAGCCTAGTGGTTAAAGCGTTCGCTCGTCACGCCGAACACCCGGGTTCGATTCCAACATTGGTACAATGTGTGAAGCCCATTTCTGGTGTCCCCCGCCGTGATATTGCTGGAATATTGCTAAAAGCGGCGTAAAACCATACTCACTCACTCACTCACTCACTCAATTATATACCAGCAGCCATCGTATAGCTAGAATATTACTGAGTGCAGTGTTATTAAACAAACAGAAATATATGAATGTTTCAGATCAGCAATGTGAGATCATCTTTGTCCTATGCTTTCCTGACACAAAAATTCCATGTGAAAAAAGGGTGAAATTCTGATTAAGTTCTCTTTCTTAATCAGGTCTTCATTTTTCCCCTTCTGCTGATGTGATGGCAGCAGACAAACCAACCCCATTGGAGGAATCCCCAGACAAGCCGGCAGAGGTCCCACTGTCGGAGTCCCAGCCCGACATGGCCAAACCTGCCTCCAAGAGATCTTCCAGCAGGATTAAAGAAGTGGGGCCACCAAAGCCTCAGGTGAGTTTGTTTTGTATTTTGGGGCCAATAGACAGCAGTATCACAGTTTTATATGGCAAGTCCTGTTAAGTACCAACACCCCCTCAGTTCTGGTTAAATCATACTGATAATTGATTTTTTTTAGCTTCACTATTATGATGACACTGCTGTGGCGTTTATGTCATGTACTGAAATAGAATATGTCTTGTGCATAGTTTATTGTCAAATGATTGTGTAATGATGGAAATAAGTCAGTTAAGCTGATCAGTGAAGGTAACAGATTGAACAGTTAGATAAACATGTCATGTCCATGGTGATGTAGGTGACTGTTGGCTTAGTTTGATTCTGGTACGGAGTCTGAAGCAGCAGCTCAGTGTTCATTCTAGTTTGGACTAGGGCTGGGATGGGTAACTCGGGTACCCGGGTCAGGAGGGTACTGAGTAGGACCCGGTAACCCACAGGACTACCCGGACCTGTGGTTAGTCACGTGATATATTGTTTTATGACAAAAATTATCTTGAACTCTGTGGTTACACTACAAGTCACTAATGTTCGCATTTCTTTCTGGCTATGCACCCATTCCTTCATTTGGTTGAATTAAGATATAACTTAATTCAACTTCAGTGTATGAATGACCAGATTGTTTAATACTTAAAATCAGATTTTAGTTCTCGCTACCGCTAAACAAAGATCTGAGGACATCCCATTGGGGGTCACGTCAGAACGACTTTTCATCCGACCAATCAGTGCGTCGCTTACCAGATCATGAAAGTGACAGTCGGAATGTGATTTCCAATCATGCAATCTCGAAAACTTTAACACAAGGTATTCCAAACGATAGTTACGGGTTTAACAACTGAATCCATACAATCTAGACCATATATTTGCCATTCCAAAATGTTCTTTTGTTCAGGTTTCAAATTTTTAGTCGAGAATTTGTTAAAATATTTTTCGAAGCGTAGTTGCCAATTGGAAATTAGTGCACAAGAAATCTGCCTTTTGATTGGCAAATGTCGACTTCTTGTCAGTCCTTCCATTGGTCGGTCAAAATTCGCACAAGGTTGGTCTGACGTGACCTGTAATGGGATGTCCTCAGATCTTTGTTTAGCGATAGCGAGAACTAAGATCTTATTTTAATTAGATCCGTCTTTTTCTGAAGTCGTACATAATTTTGTTTTCTTAAAACCCTTTCCTGTGTGTACTTTTGTTTTAAATATCTGACATTCCTGTATACATTCCACAGAGAGCTTTACCAAAGTGAGCATAAGCCAGTCTTGATGACATCTGGGAGGCTGATGAATTGTCAGGCATTGGAATATATATGCTCCATAATCATTTTCAATTTCCATAAAACCATACTGACAAGAAGAGAACATTGATGAATGTTTTAATTACGAGAGCTTGTTATATTTATGATATGAGATTCTTTTGACTTGGAAACCATGCACCAACTGCGGAATCAGCATTTAACACAAAGAACTGGACTTTCCTCTGCAGTGCTCGTGGGAGGTTTAAACTCCATTGGTCTTACATAAACATTTTTCCTTTGTAATTTTACAAAATATTTATTTAATAATTAAATTTTCGTTGTGTTCATGGAAATTCCTGCATTCTGATTAACTGAATTGGTCACGTGTTATTGCATTCATTTCCCAATGAATGTAAAAAAATTAAGCCACGCCCACCGCGGCGCACTACTTTTATTACTTCGGAATGTCGGGGAATCCCAATATTACAGTCGAGGGAATTCCCTTTCTGCTCACGTGTATCGTCATGCACAGGACATTTAGCGACTTTCATGCATATTCATTGTCCAAACTACCCTTTGAAACCGAAGGCCGAGAATGAATGAAACAGCAAACGTGCAGGCTCGCTCGCCTGTTTTTTTCCCGCTCGCCCCGGTTCAACTTTCATGTCTTCGGGTTTCATTTATAACTAGCATTTCTCCAACTGTGATTTACCGTAATCAGGGAAGTAATGTTTGAATCACGCAGTAAATGACTATGTTATTTGAAACTGCCGCCTTCTCTCGGACATATTTCTTCCGGTTCGTTACAGTCTGACTGTTGCAGTTCTTTTCGCCTCTTGCCTTAATTGACAGGTCAAATGAACATTGTTTTAATCCCACTCTATGTTGATTGGCTACTGACTGTGTAGGCGTGTCAAGTTATGTGCATAAATTAAACGATCACCTGATTCATGTCACGCCACTGTATGTATTCCTACACCTGGAATGTTTATCAATGTCGTCATTTTTGTCTGTTTTGATATATGCAACTGTTTTTGGTTAAACTATTGTAGATAAAACATGTTTTACGTTGTCGAATTTAATTATAAGCATTGACTGTATATTTTTTTCGGTTCATTGAGGTATGAATCGAAAAGCCGATATGCAAACTGTATGAATCCGCGTAGCGGATTCTTACAAAAGTTTGCACATCGGCTTTTCGATTCATACCTCAATGAACCGAAAAAAATACACAGTCAATCCTTAATTGTATCACGCACTATTGCATTATGTGTCATTTTTCGAACAAAAAGTGGAAACACTGCTCTCGAACGCATCCGTTTGTAGAAACTTGAAACACCTCTCCCAAATACAGCCTGTCCATGATGCCTGCCCTTAAGTTTTCATTCTTGTCTCTTCTGCTGTGTTAAAAATGAGACATAATGCAATAGGATTAGAATTAAATATTAATTGAATAAAGAATTATGAAATGTTTCATCTGTTTGAGCAGCCAAGTAATCGAGCCAAGCTGGGATCCAAGGCCCTGAAGTATTTGAAGCGGGGCAAGCCAGTAGATGACCAGGTCATAGTGGACGTGCTGGTGGAGGTCATCAGGTCAGTAGCATGGATACCACCCCCTGCTGTTTCTGTTGTGAACTAAAAAATAACCTTCCACCCTTACTCATGTACAGTTTTAGTGCAAACTTTCAATGAAATTACTATGATTTCAAAGATAAATTTGATGACTACCATACAATGCAAAGAGTGGTTTGCAGAAAACTAGAGACTTAAAGGTAGCCATCTAGCACTTATTTCAACAGTTTGGGTGTAAGAAAGACACTGGGTTTTGCAGTGTGTTCTCGAACAAATTGTCTTTGATATGATTAATGAAGGTCTTGTCATTCTGACATTGTGTAGAAACACGAATTGCATTGTGACATATTTTTGCCACTTGTTACATTAGGTCTACCAGACTCCTGTATGACTCAATGACTATCTTTTAGGAAAAGAAAAAAATAACACAGACCTTCAAGAAATTAACAATTTGAAACATTGTAATTGTTTTGCCTCAATGTCTAAATAGTATTTCACAGGATGTTTGTAATGTTTAAAAGGTTCCCCAAAGAAATAATAAGATGAGATAAGATGTATATACCTTTGCAAAGTTAGCTCAAGTCTGTTCCTTGATCACTAGACGAGTACCCGAGGGTACAGGCTGGGTGATCGACGGCTTCCCCCAGACCTACAACCAGGCCAAGATGCTGGAGAAGGCCCTCAGTGGCTTCGATGCCACGGCCAAAGAGCAGAAAGAAAAACCCAAGGACAAGGCTAAACCCCGCAAGTCCAGCCTGGTGCCTGACCCTCGCCCAGCCCCACCCCCTCCCGAGCCAGCCAGTGGGATTGATGTGGTCATCCAGTTTGAACTGTCAGATGACCTGTGTATGAAGCGAGCAGCTGGACGATTCTGTGAGTCTGTTTTGTACGATATTTAGACAGTCAGTGTTTTGCTTGTTTTATGGAAAATCCTTACTCTTATATTTATTTTAAGCTGTTGTGTTTATGATTGAAAGTATGCATATTTATATATGCTAAAATATTAGTAGTAGTATTTTAACCTTAATTGCAGACCCTAGTTTTCATAAATATAAGGCCCTTGAAATAGAGGTATTTTCAAAATTATTTTACATAGAAAATCTATAAAACAGTTGCATGGCAGTTGAGGCTGATCATTGTTCATGCATTTGAAAAGATAATGCTAATAACAAAGGATTTCTGTAACAAATTGTTTGGCTTGTGAGAAATGTGAAGGATATATTGTGAGGGATTACAGATGACGTTCGACACTGATATTTTACATTTTAGAAAAATGCAATAATTATGTTATTAAGCATACAAATCACAACATCTCCATCAAGAAATTTTATTTGATTTTGTTTTTCCATCGCAGCATTACTTCGGTATCAAAAGATTTCAGTTTGTGTGTTGAAAGAATCCTCTTGTAATGAAACATGTAAGTTGCATGAATCTACTTCCAACACAGACGCTGTCCAGGCTGACAAGCAGTACCACCAGGAATTCAACCCACCACCAGAGGGCAGTGCTACAGGGATCGGCAAGGAGGAGAAGGTCATTCCGATAGAGGACGCATCACATGACCAGGAACAGATTCAGCAGAGGTGAGAAGATCCAGGATGGTTTAGTGTTTAACAAGAACCAAACAAACAAACAATCCCTCCTAAACACTATTCCACTGGGCTGGAATGACCTTTTCTCAAAATCTGTCAACATTTACAACCAGCTGTTGGCTGTACTGGGATTCTGGGTTTCAATACATCCACAGCATTCTATTACATGTAGGTGGATTGGGTATCCAAACTCTGTCACTGGGCTGGTAGTGTCATCATACTCTGATGGTGCGAAACGTTGCTCTTTATATCAATCACTGGTTTGTCTGTTCTAGACTGAATTATTTACCATCATGTAGCTGGAATTGAGTGTTGTGTTAAACAACGAACAACCTGCCTTTGTGACTTTGGGCATTCCTTCTACATATAGCAGACATGTAACTAACTGAAATAAGTTCTCACAGGGCCAGGCAGTCTGCCTCAATTTCATCTGCTCTCAAAACTGGGGTGTGTATACATCTTATCGTCTCACATGATTCTGACCCAGTCAATGTTTCTTCCAGGATCACAGGTTACCATGACTCCTGGCCCAAGTTAGAGAAGTGGTTCACACGGTTTGGCACCCTGAAGAAGGTTGAAGCCAGCGAGTCTCTGGAGACAGTGTTCCTGGAGGTGGAGAAGGTTCTGGAGGATACTGTCAGCAAGGTCAGTGCACATTCATATGGCTGCAGTTCATCTGGAAATGTATCCCGTGAAGATCCGTCTTAGAATTGGTCTTCAGTAACCCGTGCTTGTTGTGCTTGCTTACTGACTTGGTTGATGCATGTCATCGTATCCCAGTTTGGTAGATCAATGCTCAGGATGTCAATCACAGGATTGCCTGGTCCAGTCTCAGTTATTTATAGACCGCTGTCAAAAAGCTGGAATATTTCTGAGTTTAAACAACAAACAAACAAACTTTGAAATGTGTCTAATAGAGGTTTGATATGTGTAGAGTGTACCCTATACAGTAGAACACATGTTTAATATAGTTACAGTAGAACACGGATATAACGAACTACAAGGGACCGTAGAAATCAGTTTGTTATATACGTTATTCGTTATATATATACGTTTTCGCTCGGAAACATCCGCCATCTTTGATAAACCAAACACGTAATTGCAGCATTGACTTGTATCAGCAGTGATCACCTCAAAGCATTCAATTGATAACATTTTCAGATCATTGTTCATCAAATATGTATTTAGCATTTCATATGGGAGATGTGTAGTCCGTGATTTCGCAATCGGTATACAATGATTTAGTTCAACAAGAGACAATATGACAAGAAAAACAACATTCAGTCAGATTACAAACATAAGGAACTTCTGAAAGAACAAACATTTATCTTTCAATACAGTCAATACACCCGAGCTAGCATTATTTTGTACATTAATGACAAATACAACAAAAACGAGCAGTTGAAATTGTTTGAAGTCTTTGACTGGGAACCAATTGGTTTTGTTTCTCATCCTAATGGCTCTAAAATGTTTGGCTTAAAGTTCAGTGAGTTACTGATACAGTCAAACCTCACTGAGTCGAACTCATTCAAGTTATCTGGTGTTTGAGAGATCAGGAAAGTTTTATGTTTAATTTGGATTGGACACTTGGGTCTCCCAAATGAGTTCAAGACAACCAAGAATTCGACACATCGAAGTTCAACACAAGATTCACTGTAATTAGTTTAAAGAAAGTAGTAGAATATACATCATTTATGACATTTTATGTTTCTCGTTGAGTTGAATTGTGTTCATCTCCCCCTCCAGATTCAAGGCAAAGATCAAGAGAGTTCTGCTCCCATTGAGACGGAGACTCCGGTTGTGGAAGAGAAGCCTCCAGAGCCAGTGAGTAAACAGTTCACTTCAGAAGATGCTCAGATACCATGGAGTGAGTGAATGTTGTTTTACACCATAGTCAGCATTATTCCAGCTTGATCATGGTGACCTGTAAATAATCAACCCTATTACAGTCAACCCAATGGTTGATACGATGAGCATCATTCCTTGCAGTAACCAATACATGGTTCCACATTCTCACCACTCAATCTGGACGAGTTGTCACTTACAACAAACCATGCAGGGACCAGTATTCTGACTTGGAATCCCACAGAGGGGAAACTGTGGAACAAGACGTTGTTTTGTTCTGCTGGATTCTTAGACTGTGGAATGAGATCTTATTTCCATCTCTTGGTTTCTTAGATTGTGGAACCAGACCTTTTTTCTCTCTCGTGGAATTGGATACTGGGAAAGTTTTCCCACTCCTGTATTCTGAGAATGTGGATCAGACCTTTCTTTCTTTCTCTCAGATTCTGAAACTGTAGAACAAGATTTTATATCCCACTAGATAATGTTGATATGATTTTAGCTGAAACATTTTCATCAGAAATAAGTCATCACGCCACACTGCTTGTTCACACAGGTACCGGAGCCTGTGCCAGAACCTCCAAAGGAAGAGCCTGTAGTAGAAGGCAAAGGGTCCAGATCCAGTTCTAAAGGCAGCAGATCAGGTAATGTCAGAAACTCCATCCTGGAAGATAGGGAGAACATGCAGTGCTGTCATCTAAGATGCCGCAATACGCTGTTAAGTTGCATCCTTTGGTGTGCCAGAAACCTGTGATTGTGGGTTCATATCCCAGATTTGCCCCGATCATGTTTCCTGAATTGTCTGCACCATGCCCTGCTCTTGGGTTTCACCGAAAGTGGTAAATGTCGAAGAGCAGCATCTCTTCCTCCCACGTCAAGCTGACATACCATGATATAATTGAAAAACTGTTCAAACAAGAATTGGACCAAACTCATTCACTCAATCAGCACAGAAGAATGATTTTACGCCTGTATCATCTGTATGGGAGGAGTTTGATGTAGTTTGTGTTTCTTCTGTACAGGATCTGGTAAGAAGCCTGGTTCAAGGACTTCCTCCAAGGACAAGGAAAAGAGGGAGAAGAGTGCATCGCCCAAACGAAGTCCCAGTCCCAAGAAAGGAGACTCCAAGAAGGGTAGCAGAGGTAGGTATTTGGAGTGAAACAAACTTTGAATAATTACGGATTAGCTGTCCTGAGTGAATGAATGGTGGCAGAATGAGACTTCTGCTTTCAGTCTTTAGTTTCACATATGTTGGTATTATCTATTACCCATTGCTTTTTTTAGCAAGAATTGTAGAAAACTGTGCGTAGTCAACCATCTTTTGGAAGCAATATGTAACAATGAACCATTGAGGAAGACATAGCTTTTCCAGCTTGTACCCATGCTCATGGTGGATGTCCAAGACCATTATCTTCCCACCCTTCATGCGGAAACACTCTGACATAACAGAAATACTGTTCAAAGCAGTTTTAAACAAAAATCACTCTGTCAGGGTCCAGTTTCAGTTGTAAGTCCCATTCATGACCAGAGTTACTATCCGAACCAGAATAATCAACCAACAATTCTCCTCCAATGAACAACCACTGATTATTCTTCAGGATCTACACCCAAGTCCCCCAAGCGAGGTCGGTCAGGGAAGAAGGGCAAAGTCCCCGAGCCAGAGCCGGAACCAGAACCTGTGGTCCCCACAGGACCTCCTCCACCACTACCAGGGTCTGAGGAGTGGGAGTTTGTGGACCAGTCACTCGAACTGGTTAGTGCTCCTTTACTCCTTCACTACCAGCTACTGATGTTTAGAGAAAGGAGAGCTTTTTGAAACTTGGAGCTCCATATTGAGCAATACTAATGTTTAACTACTGTTTAAGATGTAGTAGGGACCATGGATAAATTGCATGCTTTCCAGACTGCTGAGACAGCAATTTGAATGAATGAATCCATGGATGGGGATAGTAATATCAAGCATATGTAGTGAAAAGTCCTGTGATATAAAACTGGCCTATTATAAATTTATATTTAATTGATAAATATCCTGTGTTTTCCAGGTAGAGCTCTGTTAATTGTAGATTTAACTGCACTACATTTTTTTGGAAGTAAACACAGGGTGTACGGTTTCAAATATTAAATTTAGTGTGATGAAATTGGCAGACTTAGTCTGATTTCTTTGCATCTGATTCCAGGATTTGGCTAAAGTTCTTGCTTCTCACTGGGAAACTGTTGAGAAAAGCTATGTGCTGAACAGCAAACACGTCTTCCGTAACATCCGAGATGAGAGGGAGAGGATTTATAGATACTTCTATCAAATCAGGTTTGTATTAACTCACACAGCAATGAAAGTGTGGTTGGCGCTATCTCACACAGTAGTGCAAGAATGGTTGACATTATCTCACACAGCAGGGAAAGATGGTTGACATTAACTCACGCAGCAGTGAAGGATTGTTGACATTAACTCACGCAGCAGTGAAAGACTGGTTGACATTATCTCACACAGCAGTGCAGGACTGGTTGACATTAACTCACACAGCAGTGCAAGATGGTTGACACTTTCTCACACAGCAGGGAAAGTGGTCGACATTAACTCACGCAGCAGTGAAAGACTGGTTGACATTATCTCACACACAGCAGTGAATGATTGGTTGACATTAACTCACACAGCTGTGAATGATTGGTTGACATTATCTCACACACAGCAGTGAATGATTGGTTGACATTAACTCACACAGCTGTGAATGATTGGTTGACATTATCTCACACACAGCAGTGAATGATTGGTTGACATTATCTCACACACACAGCAGTGAATGATTGGTTTACATTATCTCACACAGAGCAGTGAAAGACTGGTTGACATTATCTCACACACAGCTGTGAATGAGTGGTTGACATTATCTCACACACACAGCAGTGAATGATTGGTTGACATTATCCCACACACACAGCAGGGAATGAATGGTTAACATTATCTCACACACACAGCAGTGAATGATTGGTTGACATTATCTCACACACACAGCAGTGAATGATTGGTTGACATTATCTCACACAGAGCAGTGAAAGACTGGTTGACATTATCTCACACACAGCTGTGAATGAGTGGTTGACATTATCTCACACACACAGCAGTGAATGATTGGTTGACATTATCTCACACTCACAGCAGGGAATGAATGGTTAACATTATCTCACACACACAGCAGTGAATGATTGGTTGACATTATCTCACACACACAGCAGTGAATAATTGGTTGACATTATCTCACACACACAGCAGTGAATGATTGGTTAACATTATCTCACACACAGCAGTGAAAGATGGTTGACATCTTAAACAGCAGGGAAAGATTGGTTGACACTATTTCACACAACAGTGCAGGAAATGGTTGACATTAGCTCATGCAGCAGTGAAAGATGGTTGACATTATCTCACACAGCAGTGCAAGACTGGTTGACATTATCTAAAACAGCAGGAAAAGATTGGTAGACGCTATTTCACACAGCAGTGCAAGAAATGGTTGACATTAGCTCATGCAGCCGTGCAAGATTAAAATTCTTCAATAGCATTTATGAGGTTGAAACACAATGTTTATGTATATCACCCTGACGGTTGTTAATGCATAAATGAACAAGTTTAAACCCTCATATAGACTTTCTATGAGTTTTTAATTATGTTTTAGTAATTTTGGTTGACTTAACTGGTCCATCAAGTCATTTTTATCACATGTTTTGCTGCTGTTCCTCATTTTTCTGATCATCTTGACCCAAAGGAAAGACTACATGGCATACCTTCGCAGACCTGACCACAAGCAGGAATTCATCTCACAGTGGCAAAAGGTGAGATGTGATCAGACTTATATATAGTCACTGGCAGATCTAGAGGATGGGCTGGGCATTGCTTTTTTCAGAAACCTTGTGTCAACCTGCATCCAAAGTCATCTGTTTTTGTTTACTCTCTGGCGTAGGTAGAATGCATTCTTCTTTTTTTAAATTCTTGTCTTACCTCTGAATGGTCCTTTTTTTTCATGAACGAAAAAATCTTTTCCATATTCTCTCGGTAAAAAACATGGTTTTATACATTGGTATCATGTAACTGCAAATTATTATTAACCCACTATTTGATGTTATCATAAGCTCAGACATCATAAAGGGTAGACCTGTTAGATGAAAATTGTATCAATGATTTATTTATCCCTCCTTAAGATTTGTCCTGAATACGTAGACCCTGGTCAATTGTCATAGCAAGTGTTAACTGGTAAGCTCTGACTACAGGAGTATAACGAGGTGCCCGATGACATGAGAGAAGATGAGGAGACACGGGCAGAGCTCCACCAGACTGTGGACGACCTGAGAGAGAGACTGTGGAACATCTGTGATGAGAGGAAGGAGCAGGCCGAGGGGGAGAGAGAGACTGTCATGAACGACAGCTGGCTGGACGACAGACTTGGGGTCCTCAGCAACCACTACATCACTATCATGCAGGTTCGTCACACAGTTGGAGTCATACTTGGAGTGACTTGGGTTTTACATGGCTTTTATAGTATTTCAGTTACATCATGGCATGGCAGCTTCTTGTGTGAGGATAGCCCATAGTCATGCCGGTCTTAGACATTTACCACTTCGGCCAAACCTACAATTAGGAGTATGACAAACCTAGAAAAATAATCAAGGCGATTCACACCATGAACATAGGTGTCTGGCATATCCAAGGGACGCAACTCACAGTGGATTGTGACGCTTAGATCACTGAGATACCAGTGCCCAGTACCCAGTACCTGTGAAGATCTCGTTTAGAATTGGCCTTCAACAACCCCTGCTTTTTGGGAGAGGCGACTATGCTTGTCGTAAGAGCAAACTAATGGGATCGTGTGGTCATACTTACTGACTTGGTTGATGCATGAGATGTCAGTTACCGGATTGTTTGGTCCATACTCCATTATTACAGACCGCTGTCATAAACAGTCAAACACTTTTGTGTCAAATTTGATTTGTCAAACGTACTGTTGTCTTGAAGTGAAAGCTTGGTCCCTATGTATTCCTTCTTTATTAATCATTTTTGGTTGTGTCAAACCTCGGATAATGGTAAGCATTTACGTAGGTCCCTTCTACTTCAACACAATGGTGTTTGACTGGACCTGGAATATTGCTGAGTGCGGCATTATGCAACCAACAAAGGAACCAGTGCCCAATGTTTTCTGGTTTATGATGCACACTTTAAAAATAATAATTACAACAGTGCAGATGAGTGTGTAAGATGCATTCAGACAAGGATGGAGTTGGAAACTGCTTGCCAAAGATGGCTGTAGATGCTCGTCTTGACACCTGTGAATTATGTCAATGTTCCATGTGTTTCCAGTCTGAGGTGGACAGATACCAGGACACAGTACGGATGTTGAAGGACTACTACCGGGGCATGGACGGAAATATCCCTGACGAGCTCAACACCCATTATGCCAGAATACCACTCATCGAGGTAAGTTCCATTCACATATTAGGTTACTATTTTAGCCATACATTTAGCTCTTCCTCTATGCGTGAGGTGTGACAATTCCACCTTAATTTTAAAGCGTGAGAACTCATTGTATAAACAGTTGATCTCTCTTCATGTGGGCAAATCCTTTGTGTGTAAAATGTGCCCATATAAATCATCATCTGGATATCCGATTGTATTGGAAGTATCCCTGTGGTGTCAGAGTTAATTGGTTATTGATGATGATTATCCAGCGGTCCATTTAGTTTTATATCTTTCCCCAAAGAAAGTATTCCTCTATCATATTTCTTGTGCCTCCCTGATTATCTTGAGCCTTCATCTCCCAACCTTTACACTTACTCCCCCCTTCATCCCCTGACCTTCACCTCCCTCACCTTTACACTCCAACCATCACCTCCAGACCTTCACTTCCCCTAACTTTCACACCCCTGACCTTCACCTCCCTCACCTTTACACTCCAGCCATCACCTCCTGACCTTCACCTCCCCTAATTTTCCCACCCCTGACCTTCACCTCCCCTAACTTTCATGCCCCAACCTTCACCTCCCCTAAACTTCACAATCTGACCTCTAGCCTTCACCCTCTGACCTTCATCTCCCAAACCAGCACCCCCTATCCTTTTCCCAAAGGGCCCCAATACACCCCTTCAATAAAGATCTCTTGCACCCAAGATAAGACAATGCATGGCTGACGTTTCTGCCACCAGATGCCAGTTGAGAGACCAGAGACCCTAGCAGACAAGGAACACAGGAGTGAGCCCACACCCACACCACAGGAGGAGCCACCCAAATCCCCCAAAGACAAGACCAAGTCCCCAAGAGCCAAATCCCCCAGAGACAGATCCAAGTCGCCGAAGGAAAGCCGGTCCAAGTCGCCCAAAGACAGCGGACGCTCCAAATCGCGTACACCATCTGGCAAGAAGCGCAGTAAGAGCCTGGAGAAGGAAAAGGAGAAGCATGTGATTCCAGAAGCAACTCAAGTGGATGGGGATGGACAAAGGAAGAGGTAAATCTGAAACTAATATTTGAAGGTGGAGCAGACAGGTGACATTTTGATGTCATCTTCCAGCATCTATTGTCCTTCTTCCACAGTCCATCTATCAGTTAAACTTACATCCTTTCTAAAACAGCAATGTTTATGATTCTGAAACATTGCAGGGATAATCCCAGCATTGATGTCTGTAATTGTTCACAGAATATCTTTGAAAATTTTAAACATGGCCACCATGGGAGCCAGTTGGTTCTATACTCATGTCTTCATGATTAATTGTGAAAGTTTATGATCATCAAGACTGTGACAGTGCTGTAACATATGTTATTTCTCGGGGGGGATGTTTGTTTCATGTGATGATGACCTGCCCAATACTGCTTTGATTAATGATGTTGCAAACGTTTGTAAATGTCTAGTAACCTAGAAAACCTAAGGATTCGGTTTTCTTCTCTCATCGATTTTGCACTATTGTCTACATTTATTTTGTTTTAATGATTAAAAAAGCAGTCTGTGAAGTTATTATTGTTGACATATTTATTTATAAGAATTTACTTCAATATGTTTTGTGTTTTGGGAGTTATAAATGTCAAAAACAGTTTGCACATTTTGTGTACATTTTTCACATTTATACCTCCATAAACACACAAAAATATTGAAGTCAATTGTTAATTGAAGATATTCTAACACAACAAACATGTCATCGAAAGTCAAAGAAACAATGGACTTGTTTTTTCCTCCATGTTGTTTTTGCTTGATCTGTATTGTTCCCCATTTCCCTCCTCAAGGATCCCCCTTGTTCCCCGACGCCCTGTCTCCCCAGACCCTGATGCCAAGCCAGGCACCACCCCAGGGAAGGACAAGAAAGATAAGAAGGGGGGTAAAAAGGGTGGAGACGATGGGGTGGAGAGTCCTATCCCCCCTTCTGATCTGGATGAGAAACTCATCTTTGATGCTGGACAGAGTGGAATAACTGCCATCTCACATATTGTAAGTATGATAATTTTCAGCAACCCCCATGAGGATTCTGAGGCAAAGTCAACAGGGATTAACCAAAAACATCTACTAGCCCAAGTTGTGATAACATGTAACAATACCGACCCCCATCCCCCTTCAAAATGTTTGAAATAAAACAACATTCACTGGTTAATTCTCATGAAACCTTTTTAAACTGACCATTAACAAAGCTTTTTACTTCATAGTGAGGTATAAAGGATTTATTCTCCCGCTCCGAAACTCATGTGCAGCCTATTTTCTTTATGGCGGGGTTGAAAGGAATTATTCTCCCGCTCAGAAATTTATTTCCCTCCCAGGCAGGATACATAGAATTTACCGTAATCAAGATCACATAGACCAATCAGTTGTCAACATTCTGACATGGAGGTAAGATGATGTATGTTATTCTCAACAGACAGCAGGGATTATGCCAGTAAGTAATATCAGGAATGACCTATCATTGAAGCTGTCACCACATAATTGTTATTTTTGTCACAAGAAATAGACATGTTTAACATGAAAACATTGATTTGACTTAGCACTGAATGACACTAGAAGAAAACAACTAAATCTCTCGCACGTCAACTGTAGAGTAAATCATAGTGGGTATCAAAATAAGATTTTCACATATTCCTTCTTGATTTGTAATGAGCATGAGTTTATGTACTCTCACTATACAGCATGTAAGGTCTGCCCTAGATCTGTAGAGATTTGGATGACATTGTGTTCAGTATTAGTATTGGTGAGGTGAGGTGAAATAGGGTTTAATGTCGCATCCAACATTATTGCACTTATATAGCGATGTGCATGCACGTGTATGTGTGTGTGTGGCTGCTTGTACTAGTCCGGACTGATCCCGATTTATAGTGCTAGCACACTGAGATACCATGCAGCAGTTAAACATGAATACCCCACTCAGACACAGTATACTGACTCCGAGCCGACCAGTCCTTGTTTTTGCCCCTTAATGCTGAGCGCCAGACAGGGTAACAACAGTATAAGTGTTGAACTCTATGAGACTGTTTCACCAAACTATCTGGATGCAACATCGTCATTAGCTGGAAGCACCTGTAAAACATCCAACATGCCATCAGTCACCAAATCATCACTTCTGGATGACCGCTTGCATAAATATCTTTTACATTTCTTGGTTAGCATTGAAGTTTCCCTAATGAGGGGATTTTGAGCGCATCAAATATTAAAAAGTGTACCAATTCACCGGTACATCTAGTGTCATGTTACTAAGTATTGTATTGTGAGTTCTTGTATTCTATGGGGCGGTCGGGTAGCCTAGTGGTTAAAGCGTTCGCTCATCACGCCAAAGACCCGGGTTCGATTCCCGACATGGGTATAATGTGTGAAGCCCATTTCTGGTGTCCCCTGCCGTGATATTGCTGGAATATTGCTAAAAGTGGCGTAAAACCAAACTCACTCACTCACTCACTCTTGTATCGATACAGAAGATACAAGTATAAGGAAGGTATAATTGTACGAAAATTGATTGTGATCAAGTCTCCATTTCCCACATCCTGTGAGTGTGATGTGACTGGATGTCCTTGTTTTGCTGTAAATTGAATGACTCGGTATAAACTATGTTCAACTCGGTCCAGGGTGTTTATTTTGATAGAATGGAAGTATAACACACTGGATAATCGAGACTTCTCATAGGAAGCAACTGAAGGTCAGTCACAGATCAGGTGGTCACAATGACTGCTGAGTTGAAATATTATTTGAATGTTGACCAACAGGAAAGACTTGCCTCATCAATCCATTCACAACTTTGGGCTGATTGTATTTCATTGTTCACTGATGTCGAGAATCCTTGCTGACATATGTACTAACTGGGATAGTTTGACAGAGTTCTACGTTTCTACAGATGTCCCTGGAGCTCGCAGCCCGTGAGGCAGAGGAAGAAGCAGAACGACAGAGGGAGCTGGAAAAGGAGAGAGAAAAAGAGAAAGCCAAGACTCAGGTGAAGAAAGGAGGAAAGAAGGGCGGCAAGAGTCGCAGTCCATCTCCCAAGAAGAAACCGGAGGCTGATGTTGCACCCACTCCACCTCCTCGTGAGTAGCAGACTGTGGATACTAGCATACTCTCACCTTTACTTAATGACTGTCCATTTTAATTATATTTATCAAAGGCCCAATTTGCTGTGAAGAGTTGTGTCCCTTAAATGTGCCAGGATCAGCTGATCGTGGGGCTCGAATCCCATATGACCCCATTATTACCCATGGTTTGTCACAATCATGATGTCCTGTGCTTGTGGGTTTCAGCAAAAGAGTAAATGTGTAAGACCTGCAGCAGTTTGGCCTTGCCTCAATCAAGCTGACATGCCATGATATAACTGAAATACTGTTCAATGCTGAAAACAATGTGCTCTTGTTATTACCTGAGTTTTAGGTTACACATTTAGGCCTTGTCCACTTCCCTGAAGCAATCTGTCCAGTGGTAGAGGTATTCTTTGGCTGAGCATCTTCCCGAGGCAAGGGAGTTAACTGACTATAAAAGTCCAGTTTCCACCCTTGCTAAATTATGCCGGTCGTGATATTGCTGGAATATTGTTAAAAGCGGTGTAAAACCATACTCACTCACTAAATTAGGCTGGAATTTCTAGGCTCGATCGTAGGGCTGGAAGTGATATAAGAGGTGGATTCTGATTGGTCAAGTATATCATTAAAGTGCTGGTTCTGTTGCCTAATGGTCTATGTGAAGGATTGAAATTATGAAGTTTCTGAGAATATGCAGTTGAAATGTTGAATAATTTATCTTCAGTTTGTTCAGCTCATGACAAAATGCTTTCTGTCCTACAGAAACAGAGGAAGAGTGCGAGGAAGAGAGAAAGAAGAAGTTATTGAGAGAAAAGATGAGAGAGGAGTACTACTTTGCTATTGCACAGGAAGGTATGTGCTAGATTATCTCCCCTTTAGTCAGACCAACAAGCAAACAGATCTGTTGTCTCACAATAGAAAAAGCTAAATAAACGTTTCTTTTTCTCAGTGTTTTATTCTCCAAAGAATCTGTGCGCAATTCTGGAATGGACTATTCTTTAATTAAAATAATTTGCCTCGGGATAAACTGATCTTGCTTCAGTTTCAAAATAAAAACAATGCCTGAAAAAAATACTTATGGTATGTTGTTCCTGTGGTAAGGCATATGGTGTCTGTGTATCTATGCATATGTTGGAGATATAGAAGAGTTCATGGTCAATCCCAGTACTGAAGACAAACTGGTAAGACTCTGTTAATTTTGCTCAGGTGTATTTCCAAAGAAACATCACATTTTGATACTGTATAATCAGTATTTTTCCTCGACTGTTTGAATGGCTGTTCAACTGGTATACAATATAATGAGTGGCTGACTGTTGACTTGCAGAGCGTGCCGCCAAGGTTCGCTTGGATCTCATCAAGGTCCTGGGTATCGCCATCCTCCAGGACCTCAAGGGCAAGGGAGACAATGCCTTCAAGGACATGAATGACTGGCTTGGAGCCAGATACCTCAAGGAGATGGAAAGGTATGCATAGATATGCTATTCATGGAACTTGAATATTTGGCCTTGCTCTAAGACAGATAGAGGACTCATGACAGTACTTTATGAGATGGAAAGGAATGCCCCATTCTGTCAATAACTAAACGGAACCTTTTCATTTAAACATCTGCACTGAGTGTCAGTCTGGTATCATCACACCTATGTTAGAGCTGCATGTACCCCGAGATCTACACAGATACCTGGGTCACAGGTCCCTGGGCCTTCAGTTGTTTGGACAGTGATGTTTGCAAACACTGTTCACTTTATGCTAAGATATGCTATTCATGGAACTTGAACATTTGGCGGTGCTCTAAGACACAGATGGAGAACTCCTGACAGTACTTTATCAGGATAGAGGAACAGTTTACAAGAACCAAAGGACTTATCTGTGACTTGTAGCTTATTATGCTGATAAAATACTATCACTTATCCTCTGTGTACTACTTAGAACACACTGGCAACAGTTAGAACTCACTGGCACCTGTTAGAACACACTGGCAACTGTTGAAACACACTGGCAACTGTTAGAACACACTGGCAACATTTAAAACACACTGGCAACATTTAGAATGCACTGGCAACATTTAGAACACACTGGCAACAGTTCAAACACACTGGCAACTGTTAGAACACACTGACAATTGTTAGAACACAATGGCAACATTAAGAACATGACGGCAACATTTAGAACACACTGGCAACTTTAGAACACCCTGGCAACTTTAGAACACACAGGCAACTGTTAGAACACACTGGCAACTTTAGAACACACTGGCATTTGTTTGAACACAATGGCAACATTAAGAAAATGATGGCAACATTAAGAACACACTGGCAACTGTTAGAACACACTGGCAACTTATAGAACACACCGGTAACATTTAGAACACACTGGCGATTGTTCAAACACACTGGCAACTGTTAGAACACACTGGCAACTGTTAGAACACAATGGCAACATTTAGAACACACTGGCAACTGTTAAAACACACTGGCAATTTTTAGAACACACCGGTAACATTTAGAACACAATGGCAACATTTAGAAGACTCTGGCAGCTGTTAGAACACACTGGTAACTTTAGGAATCACATTTGCAACTGATTGCCATTGTCAGTACTTCAAGGTCATGTATACAATGAGCAATATAGTGTAAACAAGAAGTATTGTTGATGACTGATTGAGTACAAGGGTATTGTACACACATCTCCTGTATCTATATACTGATGATGATGACTGTGTTTTCAGCATTGACCACTTGTCGGAGACAGTGAGATATAACATTGAGAATGGCTTGAGAATCAAGGCAGAGCTTGTCCTCAAACAAGAAGACTTCATGATGGACGAAGTGAGTACCTTCAGAGATACCATATAGTGCTTATGACATATAGCCATTTGGATTGAGTGAATGGAGGTCGAGTACACTGCTGTCAGCAGTATTAGAACTATATCCAATGACCTGTAGAGGTTTGAGAATGAATCTGACAAACCATTGGTTAATAGCATGAGAAAGGATTTAATGATCCTGTTGTTGGGGTACATAGACAGACATTCAAGACGTTCCAATTTGTGTTTGCATGTGTGGCAGGCATGGTGAAACTGTCCTGCCATTGATTTCTCAGGAGGGCGTTACTCATTGCAAATACACTGAAGTAACACCACACATTACAAAAATAATTGAAACCTTTTTTGCATAAAAAGGAAAATATTCTTGAACTATAAACATTGTTAATAGTGGAAAAGGCTGTGTATTGGCTAAAACGTGGTATTGCAATATATTGCAATACAAAAACTTGTATTGCAATACATATTGCAATATATTGAGAGCTATAGTGTTTGACAGTGATTGACACTAATTGTACCATCATTGTGTTTGACAGTGATTGACACTGATTGTACATGCATATCCTATTTTTTTAACACTAAAGTAAATATTATGATGTCAAAGTCAAAGTCCGCGTTTCCACTGTTTAGTCAATCACTTTCGAAGGGAAACATCATTTGTGAACAAATTTCCGTGTAGATTTTAGGTTAAATCATGCATATGATAACGATACTTGTTATACATAAATAGCAAATGTTAATGAAACTCATCACAATAAACTGATGACTGGGCATAATTTGGTCCAGTCTGAACAGTCGGAATAAATGTAGTCATAAATGATATATTACCTCCTCCGAGTGTACATATGAAAATAATATATTTGGGGCTAATTTAACAGAACCTCATATGGAGGATAAGCATATATTAGGAACTGAAAGAAGAGAAAACATATTTACATGATTTGAAAGTGAAATCTTTTTAAATGACTTTATCAAAATATCTTCATTGAAATGTATTTTTTCCATCTTGCATTCAAAAGGATATCATCAGTGTTGATGTTGAAGTTGTGAGTTTGTAGAGGAAGTTTCATTCCTAAGCCTGCATCTGCATGTTGTACACCACAATCACTGCTTCCATATGTCAAGACACTTTAAGACAAGATAGTTCACTCACATATATCAGAGGTATAGATTAGCAATGGCACAGCAATATTTGGATATGAAAATGAGGTAGGAGAAAGACATGTTTGGTGACACTTTAAGCCTATATATTTCACACACATATATCAGAGATATTAATTAGCAATGGCACAGCAACATTTAGACATGTGAATGAGGTAGGAGAATGACATGTTTGGTGACACTTTAAGCCTATATATTTCACACACATATATCAGAGATATTAATTAGCAGTGGCACAGCAACATTTGGACATGTGAATGAGGTAGGAGAAAGACATGATTGGTGACACTTTAAGCCTATATATTTCACACACATATATCAGTGGTATTAAGTAGCAGTGGCACAGCAACATTTGGACATGTGAATGAGGTAGGAGAAAAAAATGTTTGGTGACACATATATCAGAGATATTAATAAGCAGTGGCACAGCAACATTTAGACATGTGAATGAGTAGGAGAAAGAAAAGGTTGCACTTGTACATGTGGTGATGGAGTTTTTGTGATTCACTTTCAACACATTTTTCATACAGATGCAGATTTGCACTTGAGATGATTTTGCTTATTGAAGTTGGTTAATGAATGCACATATTTGCACATTTATCACATTTATAGGATAGTTATAGTTATTTAGATCAGAAATATGAAACAAATACTGTACAAATAGAAATCCTTTCCTTAGATTTAGTTTAAATCGTTGATGTAGTGTTAACCGAATCATTAGAATTCATTACTGAATTCATTAAGTTTCCATAATAATATTATTATAGTGTAGCTTGGACAAGGAGATTTTGTGACCGTCTTGTAGATCAAGATATGTTTTTTTGTCTTCAGGCTAAAATAGCATGTTATAGAAGTAAGGTTTGGCTGATATACTAGTGCCCAAGGACCAAGAATCTTTCAGTCAGATTTACCAAAGAAATTGTGTATGTATAAAAAGACTGAGGCAAATGTGCACAGTACTTGAACTACCAAAAGCACCAATCTCTGCAGACATAATGATTAGGAGATACATATATACCTAAACAGTACATGCTTTTAGGTGCAGATGATACGGCAGAATGTATAATATATCCACTATATAATTGTTTTCACAGCTTTAAGTTTTTGCATTCAGAACTCCCCAGTTATATGTGTTTTCTAGATATGCTTGTCTGAATGATTAGCTCATTCATACGAAGAATTTAAAAGCTATGACACTGATTAGCTGATTTAAATGTTTACCTGACACATCTTCAGATCTTCACACAGAGATATTATATTACTTTTTTAAATCAATACAGAATTAATACATGATTCGATACATTTTTTTTATCATGTGTTGCTTCGTCAGTTACATCATCATACATGTACATACATCGTGAATTGTGACACTAATGTTGAGGGTCGCAGTGTCTTGTATGTATTGCCTTGAACCATGCAACATCTATCTGTTCTTTTGCAGGATAAAGTTGTGCTTAGGTCACCTACACCAACGGGCCATCCAGAACCAATAGAGCAGCCAATGACAGACCAGTTTACTGTTGACCAATTGATGGGACTCTTCCAACAGGTAATGTAGGCTTGGGAATGAGAATAGGGGTGGAGCAAGTTGTCACATGTGTCAATTTACAAAATCTGATATACTTGTTCAGTTCAAACAATAAAGGCCAAGATATGATCTTTGGCCCCTGGAAATGTCAAGATAAGGAAAACTTTGAAATATTGAAATCAAAGTCTCTGGACACATCATCTGACTGACAGCTAACTCTTGGTTTTGCAAGATAATGGGATGACGAAGTACAAAAGAAGGGCAATCAAACTCAGCGATAAAATTTAACTTTGAGCGAATCTGTGACCCCAAAATATAATGCTCACGTTTTGTTTGTAATTTTGTACTGTCTTTAAATATATCTACAAAATTTAGCTGGGGTCAGTACAATTTGCAAAGACATGCATGTTGACACGCTTTCTTTTCTTGTCTCTGCATCACATCATCAACGTGATCAATGCTTCCACTCCACAGTTTACAGCAACGGCACCGACAGGGGTGATGTCCAGTAAGTCCTTCTGTGAGACATTTGAGAACATCGTGTCAGTGACTCATGGCATGGAGCAGCTGCCTGATGTCTGGATGAACATCACACCCAGTCAGGTGAGTCGGTCCCCCACAGTGGATGGGGCTCGCGGTCTTGACGAATAGGTCCTGCTTCTTCATACTTCCAGTGTAGGATAAAGCACGTCCGAGGGTTTTTATGATAAAACCCTCGTCCATGGGATGCTTGAAAAAGACAACCTTAAAAGCATTGTGATTTGTCAGCGCCTCTGTAGGCTAGTGGTACAGTCACTGGGCTACAGATACGAAGGTTGCATGTTTTATCCTCGGGGATAAAGAAAATATTTGTCATTGATTTTACATTATATTACATTGTGTTCAAAACTAAATTTTCGCAAGAAACATTCATGTTACAATCTTGATGGAAGTTGTATTTATAAAATCCCAGGGATAACATACCATGCCTGTTTATGAGATTTAATCCCACTGGAGAGCAATAGGATGATGTCACTGGGGGTCTTTACTAGTATGTCCGCATTATGATGAACTAAGAAAAGTATATTTACCAAAATATTTTCATATAAACCATTGTACATTTAAGTTTAAACTATTACTGACCACTAGCAACATTGAAACCATAAGAAATCTTTCTATGTACATATATCATGCTTTTATACAAAGAAAATCAAGTTTGGAAATTATATGATTGTACCAATTGCTCCTGTAATCATGATTGTACTATAGGCCTGTGGCCTCCTCAGTACAATGAATAAAGAAAATTGACTTTCCAAAAATTGACTTTCCACTGGGGGTCTATAAGTAACAGTGCTGTTGTCAAAGATGTCACATGATTCTGTGGCTTATTATAGTGCTATGATGTTTTATTGTCATACTTAAGAGTTAATTTCAACATTTTGTGCATTTATGGAGATATAAATGTGAAACTTATGTGTAAAACGTAAATGCAAAAAATGTTGATCTCATTTCTTATGAATAAATATGTCAACAATAGTAACTTCACAAACTGCTTATTAACTCAAAAAACAATGTAGACACCAATTCGAACTCAGTGACATCATTCAACACAAGCATGCTACACAAGCCCCACCTATTCTATCATCAATCAATCTATCAGCCATACAGGAAACAGCAGTCGGTGAGGCAGTGAGGCATGGCCTATTGTTGTTTCAGTTTATGTAAACATCATCTCACAAAAAATGCCTTGGCATCATGCAATTTATGGTGTAGAAATGTATTTAGTTTAACTATAGTCAGAAAAGTCGGGTGTTCTTTAACTTCTTTTGAGCAGTATATTATAAATATATTTTACCTGAGGAAGAGATGTATTTTACCTGTTTCTAATGACACTTAAATAAACACTTTTCTCTCTTGCTATCCCTTGACTTGATAGCTGTGTCAGTACTTATGCCGAAGATAATACAGTGAAACCCAGTTAGTCAAGATACCCTGTTTTCTGGGCACTTGTGCAAAGTCCATTACTTTCCTAAAATGTGGAATGGGGAGGTGGGGTAGCCTAGTGGTTCGCTCCTCACGCCAAGACCTGGGTTTAATTCCCCACATGGGTACACTTTGTGAAGCCCATTTCTGGTGTCCCCCACGTTGATATTGCTGGAATATTGCTAAAACGGAGTAAAACCATACTCACTCACTCACTCTAATGTGGAATCTTCTGTATTCACAAGGCGTTGCTGTATGTCAGAGGTAACAAATTTTGAAATTGAATTTGTTCTTGTGTCTGAATGGTGGAAAAAGTTACATCTTGAAAGTGTGATAGATATTAGTGTCTCCTGGGGACTTATAATGTTTAAAAGAGCTGAAAATTATCAGGCCTGTAAAAGTATTACTACTAAATTAAGAATTGTGTTCATAATTAGATCCAGGATATTTCTACCACCCTGGCCTCCAACACCGAGTATGTGGACTGGCGCCGCTTCCTAATGGCGTTGACATCGCCAGTGCCAACACCAACCCAGGCGCAGTTGCTGGAGACGCTGGTCAGATTCAAGGAGATGGACCAGAAAGACACAGGCTTTGTCACCAGGGAGCAGTATGACAGGGTAGGAACAATTCATTGTAATTCTGCAGATGGGGTTGAAACTTTTCTTCAGTTGGGCTTAATGTCATGCCTCCAAAATCAGCAGATCCTGTACAGCTAAGGGTTGCGACTCTTACTTTACCTGAACATTAACTGTAAGATGATTTACAGATTTTTCTAAACAATTATCGTTGGTAGATTAAGTAAAAGCAATTCTTTTTGTGTGAATTTGAATCTTAGCAATTTGTCAGTGGATGATTGAGGTCTTATGCAAATAGGAATAAATTTGGAAAATATTTAGTTTATTTGCTTGTCTCTGATCAATCAAATCATAATACTGAAGAAAAATTAAAAAGTGCTGCCTTATCAGGTAGTAGGGTTATCAACACTCGTATCCCTCCTTCACGTTTCCAAATTGAATGTCATCTTTCAGACAGACTTGTGGTTCAACACGGAGGAGTCTATGACAGAGATGACCAGCTACTGCCGGCTTTCCAACCTCAAGAAGCTAATGTTTGACATGTTTGCCAACCTTGACAAGACACCAGCTGTGTTGAACTATACAGCCATGGTGGGTGCCTTTAATACTGCTGAATAAATCATAACAAAATGTCAGGTTTTTAATTCACCTCTGTTGAATTTCTGGGTAAGAATTGGTCCCCAGTAACCTATGCTTGTCGTAAGTGGTGACTTCATTGATCGGTGATCAGGCTTGCATGCCACTGTACCCCGATGGTGTAGTATTGTGCTCATGATATCAGTCCCTAGTTTGTCTGGTCTAGACTTGATTATTCACAATTCTCCATCACATAGCTGAAATATTGCTGAGTGTGTTGAAAACAACATTTCAAATTGAATTTTATATGCTGGATTGGTGTTGTAGTAATTATAATAAAAATAATAATAACAACAAGAATAATTTTGTTTGTTGTTTAACACCACACGGCAGTTATAATAATGATAATAATAATAATGAATTTATATAGTGCCTTATATCCATGAATATGTATATATATATAAAATGAAAACGTGTTAAAAGTTCGGGTATGTTGTCAAATGCTTTGTGGAATGGATGCAGTAGCTACCCCCCCCCCCCCCCCCCTAGATTTTTATAGAAAACAGTTTTATTTGAATCAAGTTGGGGACAAGTGATACTTGTACAAATATTCCCCCCCCCCTGTAAAATAAAAAAGTTAACTACGGCCTTGTGATGTGTTTTTAGTTGTGTCTTAAAGTGGTATTTAGAAGATGATGCTTTGACTATAATATATCTATGTGAAAGTATAAGGGGAAGGATAGCCCTAGATCAGTTTGTGGTCCATGTGGCAGTCAGTGGAGGGTGGTCAGGTCATATCTGTTGTCCCCTCCGTGACATGGCATACTTCTGTTCCAGCTGATGTACTTCAGTGCAGTGCCCAACAGCCATGAGGGTTTCCTGCGTGCGCTGACCGTGGCTGCAGGCACACACATGCCCCGGCTGGAGAAGCCGGTCATCCCTGTGTCCACTACTCCAGCCAACCCCGACAGGCTCAAGAGTTTTGAGGAGGGGTATGTAAATTACTAGGGCAGTACTGCCGCCCTTACTGGCGTCTAGCGTTATCAGTGACACAGACCCATGTAACCATGTACACACTTTGTATAAAGTCCACATGTTTCTTGATAAAATCTTCAGTAACCATGAAATGTACATTAGGAAGGCTGCCACTAGTTAATATATATATATATATCTCGTGGGGCTTTTATGACAATAACATTATGTGTAATGTAAGTTGTTATAAGACCAATTAAAATAGTTTTAAAACTGTGAAGTGGGAGGCATTTTATTTTATTATTTTTTCAAATAAACAAGGTATGTGTGTACATTAACTGTCAACAGATGTGGTTCATATGAAGTATGAATTCTTAGTAAGGCTACATATATGGTGCATTTCATCAAGCTAAGCGGTGAGGGGGGCGGTCGGGTAGCCTAGTGGTTAAAGCGTTCGATCGTCACGCCGAAGATCCAGGTTCGATTCCCGACATTGGTACAATGTGTGAAGCCCATTTCTGGTGTCCCCCGCCGTGATATTGCTAAAAGCGGCGTAAAACCATACTCACTCACGCACTAAGCGGTGAGGTGAAATTGGGTTTAACATCACGTCAAGATTATTGCACTTATATAGGGATGTGCATGCATGTGTACATTAACTGTTTGTGTGTGTGTGTGGCTGTTTGTATTAGTCCAGACTGATGCCAATTTAGAGTCCTAGCTCACTGAGATACCATGCCACAGTTTAACATGATATACCCCGCTGAGACACAGTATATTGACTCTGAGCCGACCAGTCCTTGTTTTAGCCCCTTAATGCCGAGCGCCAGGCAGGATGATAGCAAGTACCGGTACCATCTGTTAATGTCTTTTGTTTTGACGGGACCAGGGATCAAACCCCGGACTCCCTTCCGCTCTCCGGGCGGACTGTCAACCATTAGACCATGGAGACGGTCTCAAAGAAGGAAACAAATGTTGCAATTTTTTGTCATGTTTTGGTACTTGTATTTCATGTGTTGGCAACAATACATGACGTAAGGCATGGGGGATGAAAATTTAATTATTAATCAATCATGGCCTAATCTTGACTATGTCTCCTCCAGCTTAGCCCTGGTCACCCCAGAGATTGAGGAGAAAGCTGTGGAACCCCCCATGACGACCGAGGAGATCCCTCCCGAGTCTCTGGAAGCCAAGGTGCCCATCGAGGCACTGTACAAGGTAGGTACAGGGAACCTTGCTACACTGTGTACATAGGGATCAGATCTGAACCCGAATGTTTTAAAAGGGAGTCCATGTTTAGGAATTTTACAGGACTACATATAGCAAATCACTAACAGACTTATGGCCCTTAGTCCACATAATGTAAGTGCTAAGACAGTTGTAACTCTGTGCCACAAGTTTTCAGTCTAATAGACTTACCGGTAACACGTCTCATGGCATCATTTTGAATGGATTTTAGTATTAATATAAGGGCTATTACATGTATTAGATTGGCTTATGATACAAAAATATTTTTTACTCAACTTTTGGTTTTGACTTGTGGCTAAAGTGATGATCTGATACTTTAATACAAACTTTAATTTGTCTTAGTGCTAAGATCACTTTTTTGAATGAGGCCTAGGTCTTCCAGAAAGTAGTGTCAGGGGGATCCTAAAAAGGTTCTGAACATATATCATGTCAACTTTTGTTATACTTTTACTTGCTTTATTACTAATCAGGTACTTCACCATGGAGATAGTTGCCATGGAGACAGTCACCGCTTCAGTGTGTCTGCCGACCCAGAGGATGCCACGTCCATGGTAAGAGCAGGAAGTAGTACTGACTACATGACAGTAAAAGTCAGCTCCAGATTATCTGTGTTGGTTTAACCTAGATTTTATCAGGAAATCTTTTCCATCATGAAATTATTTCAGTCCTGTCTACATTGATGAATATTGTTATGTGGCAGTGTATATTGGACTACATTTATGATGAATGTAACTGAGAGGAATTTATTGTGGTGCTCATAAACTGACATTAAAACTTTCCTTCTTGTGTTTGCATTGTGAAAAACATGAGCAATATTTGTAAAATTTAGTCATTTTTCTCTTGTGATATCAATGATCATGTCTTTCCCAAATAATCCATTCTTGAATCAGTGTTAAGTCCATCAATTCTGATTATGAGTTGACTGGCTTGAAATTTCTAAATCATTTATGATTATAATACATGCCCAACAGGAGCGTCTGAGTGTGGTGTACCGAGAGCTGGGAGATGAAGAGGTGGAACCAGTCCACTACAAGATCCTTATTGAACACCCACTCATCCAAGACATTGTCACAGCATGCAAGACATTCAAACTGCTGGTGGGTAGATGTGAGGGAATGAATCTTTTCCTTAATTGTTACTGTGCTATTGTGTGAGTTAGTGTAGTTTTACATCACAGTTAGCTATCATGGCTGCCAGTTAGTAAATGTATGTGGGCCAGACTGACCAGGGCCTTGTTCCACAAAGTGATCTCAGCTCAAGCCTACTAGTATATTAAAGTATGGGAGTTACCATCATCTTAGCACTGAAATCGCTTTGTGGACCAGGGACCAGTGATTGATCAGCAGTCCATGCAGTCTATGATCACACACTATCAGCCAGGAGAGTCCATGGTGTGGTGTACATTTAACTTCTTCTTGTAGTGTGTCTGTGAAATACAGCTAATCACCAGTTTTAAATCATTATGACATCATGCTATTGCTCTTGCAGTTGATTCTGGAACTATAGGTCTTTATAATTACAGAGAAATTACCTATCAACCAGAAAATGACTCCAATCTTGATTCAGGGCACATTGATTCTACTTCCAGAATCAACAGATTCTCATGATTTCTCCATTACAGTATATTATGAATTGATATACATCATAACTAGCCCGAGCCTTGTCCCCCCATACCCACCTGATTAATACAGATCTACGTCCTTAGGGATGACACAATCAACCAGGTCAGACATTGCAACACCCAATCCTCATTTAAGTCAACTGTTAAGGAGTGCTGGGGACCCTCGTCTTGGGGCCTTGTTTACTTTTACAAGAATTCAGTTGATCTGACATGAAAGCTACAGATTGTAACTTCTGTATTAAGATATTTAAGTGGAATGCTGTGGGTGTGGAAGGCATATTCGTACTGACAAGTATATTTCATGTTTCTTCCTCAACTGTTTCAGGATGTGAAAGGGGTCCTGTCCAACCCTGGCCATGATGTAGACTTCCACAGCATTAAGACCATGGACTAGCAAGCTCAGTGTAATCCATACAACTCACTGTGATATTGTTTAGGAGGGTGTATTGTTTCCTCTTACTGTGCAAAACTTATTATGTATTGTTGTGTAATGTTCTTAAGGAAAACAATGTTGTGAGATCCCTTAAAAGCACCATTAATGAATGGAATTTGCTGGAAAATTAAATGCTCTAATGTTATTATTGTTGTATATTTTTTCTGCTACAAATATAGTCTGTCAAGTTCATATCATGGTGTCAGATTGTCCTGGGACCCTAATGTAAAGGGATTTATGTTCTTTGACACATATCAATGAATTCCCAAGGTGGCAGACCACATCTTCAAAGCAGCAACACAACAAAACACCTGTGCTTTTTCGATGTTTATTACAGTGGTATGACAATGATTCTTCATAAAACTTAAGAAAATTAGTATGAAAGTCCAAAAATACTAAATCGAATAATGTCTGGGTTGATAAGATTATGTTTGAGATGTGTCAAGCCAAAAGATATTTACAAAAGTAAAGACAAAAATTCAATATTTTTCCCAAACGATGTAGTCACATGCATAAACACGGTCAAGAAATGAGCAATTTCTGTTCCAGTGTAACTTGTCAACAAGCTTGGAACTGACTAGACCAGAACATATCACACCAAATAAGAGGACCGATAATGTTCTAAGGGTTGATTGAAGAAATCAATTGAGTTAAATACAATACTATAAGAAAGCAAAAATTCCCAAAAGAAAATAAGTGTGCAGTTAAGAAAGACAACACATTCTATGTACACACTTTCAATATACAAACAACGCATCCAAGAAAGATGAAAAGTTTTTTACAATTTTGGAAACTTAATTTATTTTTAGTCTGAAATAGATGCTGATTGAATGTATTAAGAATTTTCTAAAAACAATTTGTTTATGAACATGATTATAAGTCATTGTCAACTGATGAACAAAGACAAATATGTACACTTATTACTCTGTCACCAATAACTTAACACTATCTTTCCATTTCACTGCTTCAGGCCTTCTTGTCCCTCCCTCGTCAACAATTTTATCTCGATTTCTTTATTACTTAAATACCTTTTAAAAGAATTCCACTGCCTTTTCTTCAGTATAAAAGGTCTTTATTATTTTCAGTCATAGACAAAACTAGTGATAAAAGCTTTATGCTGAAAACTGATCAAATTTTACATTTCAAAAACAGATAATGACAAATCTCTACCACTTAACTTTCAATAAGAAATTTTTAATGAAGGTAAACAGTTTCATAGAAACCAACACCAAATCATGTGTCCGAGCAATGCAGTGAGTTGACAGTGTGTGTGTGACTGATTACTAACAGTTGAAGTACAAACCCAAGGCAAGATTGCTTGTCATGGATAATACATAGCACTGACGGAGACATGCGTCCGAGATACAAAACATTCTCAATACGTCCCAGTGACAGTTGAGAGGAGATGTCCACCTCATTACATGGTAACAAATACAAAATATCATGGAAATATGATGGGTAAACATGATATATGTCAAGAGTGAGCAAGATAAAAATGATATGCTATGTCTCATGATTTCAATCTGGTTTGTCTGTTCACAGACGTAAAACAACCTGACATATAGCTGCACCAGCTTTCCTAAGTAGCACATTTGTTCATTACAATTCATTCCACCGGAAAAGGAGTGTCCACGAAACCAAACCATCATGGCATGAGTGCAGTCGTACATCACCTGCACCTCAACAGCTGCATCCTAATTTCTTTGTTACAACCATAGTGAAGGGTGATCGCTACACCATAAACTGGACGTAGTGAGTTTATACAAATGTGCCTTAATTGACGTCCTAAAGCATACGAAGCTCAATGTTCCATCTTGGTCGGTTCCTGGCTGCTCTGGTCTGTCTCCTTACTCTCGGGTGCACCAGCTTCTTTGGCAGCCTCTGCAATATATAACAAATATATAACAAAGATTAGACAAATGTATCCAAAGTGTTTGCGTATACCGGTACTGTTGTTTATTTGTTTAACGCCACATTCAACAATATTCCAGCTGTATGACGGCAGTCTGTAAATAAACAAGTCTGGACCAGACAATCCCGTGATTGATATGAGCATCGATCTATGCATTTGGGACACAATGACATGCTTCAACCAAGTCAGAGAGCCTGACAACCCGTTCCCAATTGTCGCCTCTTAAAACTAGCATTGGATGCTGAAGACCTATTCTAACCTGGATCTTCACAAGTGGTTGGTGTATACTGTCTTATGAGCAACAAAATATCACGAACAGACAATTTCAAATACTAGGAGCAAAGACCCCAGAACACCTAACTAACATGATTAATCTTGGACACTGCTAGTGCAAACATAAATTATTCCAGACCATTGTCATGATGTTTTTGTTATTGTCACTGCTTCCTTTGTTATATGGACCACTTGTGCTTCTTCCATAACATATGCTGTAAGTATGTCAAATGATACGTTGCTTACAATAAAAAATTAGAAGGTGACATGCCTCGGCTGTGGGGATGGACTATACAGTGGAACTACTGCCATAACACACTGACTTCAGTAAACATGATCACTCTCTTAACTATAACATTCATACTCAAACACTCAACGCACCTTTCTTTTCACCTCCTTCACTCTTATCATCACTGAAAAGGAAAAAGAAGAAATAGTCAGTTTGCCTAGAAACAGATTGATGTATGAATACTCAATCTCTACCACACCCAAATAAATATGACAATTGGAAGTAGTGGAGTGGTTATTCCTGGAACACTCTTAATCTATATCACTTTTCCACATGACTGAATGGTAGGCTGTGGTCTGCTACCATTGCTGTTTCATATTGCCCTAATATCACGAGAATTACGTTAATTCTTAGTTTACAAATGGTTCGCAAAAGTGCTTTCTGATTGATATTTTTCACATTTGTTTGATTCGCAAACTGATGTTAAAACAAGTATGGCCTATGTATAATTGATCCACCCAAGCATGAGCAACTAGGTACTAGTAGTCGTAACTCACCCTGCAGGTTGCTTGCTCTCATCTTTGGCCTCACCAGGCTCTTTCTTTACATCTTTCTTATCATCTTTTGAGTCTGTAACAGGAAAATAAATGTAATTATTCATCTTGTCCTGAACATAAAACAAACCAAACATATTACTAGTGAGAGAATGTTGTTGTCCACATTACAAAGGCCTGTAAATAATTCAGTGTGGACCTGACATACGAGTGACTGAAAACACAAGCAACAACTCACAGTGTCTGACCACCCAATCCCAAATATTTGCACTTATATAGCAATGTGTGTGTGTGGATGCATGCATGCAGGCTTTGCACGTGCTAGTATTTGTACGAGAACCTTCCGCTCTGGAGGCGTGTTCCACAAGAAGTAAGACACACTACCAATGTGGTTACCTCACTCAGCCTGTCGTGACTCCTTTCCCTCTGAGCAACTGTGTAATCTATGAGTGAGTGAGTTAGGTTTAACGCTGCTTGTAACACTATTCCAGTGATATCAGCTCGTCAGCTTGATGTGGGAGGAAAGCCCAAAGTGATGCAGGTCTCAGATATTTACCACTTTGGTGAAACCCATCAGCACGGGTATGCTGCTGACAAACCCATAACTGGGATTCAAAACCACAACCATAGGTTTCTGCATTGCCCAAGGGATGCAACTCTGCACAGCAAATTACAGCGACCCCCAGTGCCTCCCTGTGTATTGATAATGGAGTATATGGACTTTGATATGACACTGACCTTTATCTCCATCTTTCTTCTCATCTTCGTTCCGAGCTCGCTTGGGTTTTGGTTTGTAGTTCATTCTGTCTCTGCGTCCGATTCCATCCTCGTCCTCACTGTCAGACAGATCCTCATCACATGCGATTCGTTTGTCACTGGCTCGAACTGTAACATTCAATGTATCCCTTTAACAGGAATTCCACTGAAGTGGTTTATATAAAATGATTTTATATAATCACATTCATATTATGTGCCTGTCTCAAAAAGGTCATATTCTCCCAAGACTGTTTGAACGAACATATCACAGTGACTAATTACACATTGATAAATACATACTTGAAATCCTCTCATCAGGGTTTTCCTTTTCATCTTCTTCACTATCATCTTGGATAGCATCCTCTGGTATGGCTGGAAGGAAACAAGGAATTTTCTTGTTAAAAGATTTAGTAGAGGTTTGCATCTAGCATTTGCAAAAGTGAGTGAATTTGGTTTCATGCCACTTTGAACAGTTATATCAAGGTATGTCAGCTTGATGTGGGAGGAAAGCCCATAGTTGTTTAGGGCTTAACACATTTACCACTTTGGTAAAGGATATGGTGCTGACAAACCTAGAAACAAAATCAGAGTAGATTTAAACGCCCAATCGGCGCAACTCTGCACTGCAAATTATGCAAACCTAGATGACTGAATTTGAAAGAAAAGGGTCATATGACCTATGACCACAACTGGACAACATATAAGTGGCTGGATAACATTTTGCTGGTTGTTGAAACATAATTCTGCACAATCCGATCCAGTTTCCATAAATCAGTCCAAAAGACTCTGGATAAAGAACAAATACCAACAAATGCATGATCATGATACCACTTACCTTGCATCTGAACACCTGGTGCATGTGGCAACATCCTTAGATTTTCAAACAAACGAGTCCTGAAAACAACATTTAGTTAAATCAATACTCCAGAAAATCAAAACGAATTGTCACAGTAATCTGACAAGCAGAAGATGACTGTGAATGTGTCTATCAGTGTCAGTAAAGTGGGACTAGATGCTAGTCCTTGTTTTACCCCTTTAATGCCGAGCGTCATACATGGCAACAACAAGTACCATCTTTTGGTATGACGCAGTCAGGAATTGAACCCCTGACCTTCTGCTCTCCAGGCGGACGCTCTACCACTAAACCATGGAGGCGGTCTACAGAGGACGAACTACACAGAGACAAAGTCTCAGTTTCAAACCTCAAAACCTTCACTCATATCCCTGATTCATGGTTATCATAAACTGATTCAGTAGACTCATGTTTCAAACTTACTTGATTTTATCCAGGTATTCTGTTGTGTTCTGATTGGCCATATTTGAAGGGCTGATGTGAAGTTTGAAGTCTGGCCCATAATATTCAAAGTAGTCATTATAAGGCAGCTCTGAAACGTAAAGACACACTATGAAATTCTGATATATTAAAGAATTCAAATCCTTTCTGATGCCATTTCTATAACGTGACTAACCTCTTTTTCACACAAAGAATATATACACATTTTACCCTCACTTCAGCCAAATGTTCATGAATTGCTCACCAAAAGATTTTACAGGTAAAACTATAACATGCATAGTTTTGATAATAAACATTGAAATCTACGGCTGGGACAAGTTTATATTTACTACCCCGGTTACACTCTGTAGATCTGAAGAGTTCAGTAAAAAAAAATGTCCACTTGGGAACTGTTTTACCAGAGCTCTGGCAAGAGTTAATCAGATACACCTATGAAATGATCTGGTTAAGGAATACCCTGAAGTTGACTGAGTCTTATCTTTATTCAAACAGTCAGAAGGAATGTGTTCACAGTCAGAGAGAATATCGAACATTAATGTGACTTGTGTATCAATGGAGTTAAGAGAAATTTTGTCCAAGTCTAGAAAAATTCTTTTCAGTTTTGTAAAATCAGCTTTTAATACCATATAATAACATGATGCCAAGAGCCAAGTTCGGACTAAAAGACTCAATAGCTTTTGGCACAGACACCAATGGGGAAAATGGTAAGCAATATACAAACTGGGGATGTGAAAATTACACATAAAACACATACCATTTGCCATGTCCACAGCAAGGGCTATGGATGTCTCGAATGTCCAGCAGCGAGCAACATTCCTAATGGTGTAGCCCCCTCCTCCAAGCAGCAGCACAGGCAAGTTCCACTTCTTCATGTACTCAACACACTTTCCATGCCCTGCCAAACATATCCGCCAACATTAAACTTGAGCAATACAACAGTACCAGTGAGGAAGGTTGGGTGAATCACACAGACTGACAAAAAGAGTAACATGTCCTTCAATACAGCTATGGCTCATTGTTTTCAGACTAGTGGTTTTAAAGTCATAATAATGAAGGGACAGGCTGCCCTAGCATGACCAGTCTGACATGTTATCAATATTGATTTTAGTGAGGGAGTTTAACACCACTTTCAACATGGTATAAGAGATTGATGTAGAAGGAAAGCCCAAAGTGATGTACACCTGAGACAATTACCACTTTGATGAAACCTATGAGCATGTGTTTGGGCCTGACAAGCCTAGAAATAAACAGGGTGAACCAGATTGTAACCAATGAGCATAGGCTTCTGGCATGCCCAAGGGACACAACTCTCCATGGTAAATTGCAGTACCACAGATGACTGGACCACCCATGTCCCCTTCCCTGCCTAGAAATAGTAGTACAGACACATGCGGGTGTATGTATTTACCTTTGAGGGTGAGGTTAAAGCATCCAAGCCGATCACCAGACAAAGAGTCTGCTCCACACTGTAGTACAATAGCACTGGGCTGGTACATCTCCATCACCTTCATGATCACCTGGTATTGAAACAAGCATAGTGTAGGGACAGGTAGAGTAGCATATACACAATGGACACTGTGTTAGCAAGCTAACATACAACTCAACTCAAAAGTAATTCAGATATATCCTACATTTTGTTTACAGGGAAGTGATCAACTTAGTGTCATGGAATAATCCAATTCAAAATCCAGCTAGGTGAGTTAGTTTGGTTAAAGGTTGGCTTGCACAGTATTTCAGTTATATATCAGAGTGTGTCAGCTTAAAGTCGGATGAAAGCTTGAAATGATGCTCTTAGACATTTATCACTTTGGTAAAGAATGGTATGATGTTGACAAACCAAGAAACATCATCAGGGATGATTTCATAGATTTCTTGTATGCATAAGGGACACTCTGCACACCACATTGCAATGCATAAGGGCATTGGGCCACTCTTGTCCCCAAAGTCTAGTTGAATGTGAGTACTCATATTATCATTGCTCATCAATTAATACTTTGAAAGTATTTGTTTTAACTTCATTGTTTCAGACCAAACTATAAATTATTTCCACATACCGGTTTAAAAATACTCTCATATGACTCATCGTCGATTCCATCTCTGAGAGGGAAATTCACAGCATAATACTTGCCCTTACCAGCCCCGATGTCCTGCAGAGGAAGAACAACACGTTAACATAGTCAAGTTATACTTCTAAAACTGGTAGGCCTTCTTCCAAGTAACTGTCAACACACATTGGTTTCACAAACACACTACACCACCAGTAGAACTTTGTCTGTCCTGGGTCGGTGTACATAAATAGGTGTTTCTAAGATGAAAGTAAAATAAACTATGACAACCTTAGGTATTTCAATGCTTTGTAAATAATGATCAATTAATCTGAATGAAACCATTTACGGTACAATTCAATAAAACAACCTGTCTGGATAAAAAAAAACATGTTCAAATCGCAATAATTGTTGATGTGGATTGGCAAAATCAAAACGATGAACACCAGCATATAAAACACTATCTCTTGTTTTGTACATTTCTTTTACTGAAATCATTATTCAATATACCAACTAAATTAATTCATGAATGTTTTGACATATATGTCTTTGGTTGTTTTGACTGTTTCAGGGCCGTTTTAAATTTTGGTCGATGATCATGACTCTATTGATAAGTACCTATTTTTGTGTTGTATCTCAGAATTCTAACTTTAAAGTCGTTAAATACTAAACTAATATGGAAGCAAAAAAAGAGGGCATACCCTGAGATCTCCAGTACCAGGGAAGTATTCTCCGTATTTATGGAATGATACAGTCATGACACGGTCTGTTGTGTAAAAAGCTTCCTCTACACCATCACCATGATGGATGTCAATGTCCACATACAACACACGCTGATGGTACCTGAAAATACAATGTTAATCATGTAAAGACTTGGAATTTTTAGTACAAATTGTATATTCATATACTTATCCTATCTCACACTATGCATATCTTCTTTCTTCGATCATATGTGGAAATGTGCTTAAACCCTGTTTCCAGCTTCTAAAACAAAAAGTTTTGCCCAAACACACCCAAGCATCCCTCTGGTTACAAGCAACAACTGGGTCAATTTCGTGCTCTCATGCAAAAAAACCTTCCATGCTTGTACCACATTCATTTTCCTACCAACTCATTCTCATCGTCACTGTGTGGACGTGTTTGACAATTTAGAGAATATATTACGTGAGTTTTGTCTGTGGAGTAAGATTTCCTTAGCCATGGGCAAAAAAGACTGAGGCAGTCCCACAGATTCCCACAGTCTGTGTTATGACTGCCGGGGACAGTGTATGCTGGACTCACACTGTGCAGAATGCCATTCTCTGCCTAAGGCACCCTTTTTGCTTTTCATCCAACGATGTCATAGAGGATTGTTGGACTGTCAATCGAAAGCAAATGATTCTAAGATCTTGTATAAGAAATCTCTAACTGTATTGGAAGAGCCTATCCTATCTCAGACAGTTTTCTTATTCACATCAAACAGTTTTCTCAGACATTTCCAACCCTGACCTGTCGACCTCATCAGTCTCCACCCCGGGTCCGTCCTCATTACTGATGACTACATTCTCAAGCTAGGATAAGTTTAAAATTTAATATTCTCAGATACAGCTCAATACCGCCTCGAAACAGATACACAAAATCTTTACACATACGTTCCGATTACATTATTATTATGCTGCATTATCGCAAGAAAGTTAAACAGGTTCACAGAAATTGTTGTGACAGTATACTAAAAGTGTTTTAACAGTAAGAATCACAGAAAATGGTCATAACCATGACAATTATTCCTAAAAAATGTGTAGATAAGAATGTGTATTTGCGTAAAATAACACATTACTAAAATATGCAGAACAATTAAATCCCAAGCGTATCAAATATGCAACAAAAATGATAAAAACGCTATCGGAATATAACTCATCCGTATATTACTACTAGTAGATAAAATGATTGCTTATCAGCCAATTGGGAAATTCATTTAGGCAGTTAAATTCGAAACTTGTTCACTACTGTTCATTTGGTTTTAAAAGATTACAGGAATTGTTACGAAACAGGTTTTCAAGTTAAAATACCCAAATGTAAAGAAACATGTTGGTAAAAAAAAACACCCACTAAAAACTGTGGATACCCCAGAAAAATTACACCCATGTGAAAAATACCCAAATAGCTAAAAGCTTATCAACCAAATGATTCATTACACAGAAAAATGTGACACTACTGGGACTAAACTAAACTTTTAACTCACTTGAGCAGTTCCAAGATGGCCAACACAATGTCATTGACATAACAGAAACCAGAAGCCTCCGATTTCTTGGCGTGATGAAGACCTCCTGCCCAGTTGACAGCAATATCAGCTGCCTGTTTGTTCAGTTTGACAGCCCCAGCCACAGAGCCTCCAGTTGACAGCTGGCAGAACTCATACATCCCATCAAACACTGGACAATCTTCACCAACATTGACTGCAACACACAGCAAGACGTGAGGACAAGTATCATGATATGTATGGTACAATAACGAGTACATTCTCTTTATAATACATTCTTAAAACCATAACAATACACATAAATCTCTACAGTGGTTCTCTTTTGCTGACCAATTCTTTTGTACTCATGGTAAGTAAATCGTATAACTTTCTATCCAATACTGACTTCTTATTACAATACAAATACAACTCCCACTTGTTTCAGATAGAAACAAGTATTTGTCACAGAGTGACGAAATATCCCCCGCCATATACACCATAGTACCAAATATGAAGACAATCCAGCGATTAGTTCTTGAGATATTGTGGCAACACCGTTTTCCAACTCCAAAAACAGATTTGCCTGCTGTGACCTTGAAAATTGGGTCAAGGTCACCAAATCTGACAGGTGTATGCGGTGTCTGTATATACACCATAGTTCCAAATATGAAGACAATCCAGTGTTTAGTTCTTGAGATATCGCGGCAACACCGTTTTCCAACTCTAAAAGCAGATTTGTCTGCTGTGACCTTGAAAATGGGATCAAGGTCACCAAAACCGACTGGTGTCTGCGGAGTCTGTATATACACCATAGTTCCAAATATGAAGACAATCCAGTGTTTAGTTCTTGAGATATCGCGGCAACACCGTTTTCCAACTCTAAAAGCAGATTTGTCTGCTGTGACCTTGAAAATGGGATCAAGGTCACCAAAACCGACTGGTGTCTGCGGAGTCTGTATATACACCATAGTTCCAAATATGAAGACAATCCAGTGTTTAGTTCTTCAGATATCGCGGCAACAAACAGGTGGGACGTACGGACGGACGTACGGACAGACGGTCGTGAATACTATATCCCCCGCTTCGCGCTTTCGCGCGGCGGGGGATAAAAAAAACACTATTTGGAGGATAACAGGAAATTAGAACCACATTCAACAAATGCTAACATTGATAAGGCCAAATATTTGTGTATTCTTTGATTTCAGTTTTTTGGTGAATCATCCTGATTGGAAAGTGAAATAAATAAACAATCCATAACAACATTTCTGTAAAGCTCTAACAATGGCCACATAACATTCCACTGTTAACATCTTTAAGCCAAGAACTCTTAGTCAGACTTACACCGCTGCATCTGTTTATTGTATTCTGACATGTTGTCTGGACGAATGCTGCGTAAAAACTTGATGTAATCATCACTGTGGAATTTGGTCATTTCTTCAGCTGTGGCTTTGTGAGGCCTCTGTTGAGTAAGGGTAACATTGTTATCCATTTCAAGGAATGAACATTTAAGAAGTGGTGAGTGTGTTCATTTAATAAAGATTTTAACAATAGATTATTTATATCATGGCATGTCACTTTAATTTTAGGAGGAAACCCAAAAACATGGGTAAGTATGAGGTGCTGACAAGCCAGAGGAGCATGATCACAACATGCCCTGGCAATTTAATTCATGGCCAAGCGGAGCAGCTCTACACAACAAATAGTGTACCTTAAATTGGCGTTTACCACTGGGCCATCATTTTGCAATGACCAGTGAACTAACCACTTTAGTTATCATGCTTGCTCTTTTAACCCTTAAGTCTGAGCATGTTCAACTGAGCAAACATTGCTGCGTAACTTTCACATTTACTCACATAAATCTCCATCTTCCTGTACAGTCCATAGTTGAGGATAAGATTGTGTGTCATTCGTATTCTGTGAGGCTTCATGGGGTGACCTTGTCCATAGTAGTAGTTTCCAATATCACCTGAAATGATTATAGTCCCCTTGACAATTTGAAGCACTGATAATGGTGGGAAAACATTAAGCATAAAAGCAAAGGAATTACAAGCATGATGTTGAAAGGTGAAGAATTAGGGGTCAATAAACATGCTAGATTCAGATAATGCAGCAGTAAATCTCAAGGGCCCCAGGACCGCCTTATTTTCCAACACAGGGAAATGTGAGTCCTGTGAAATCAAACAAATGCAGTGTTTAAAAAAAAAGATATTGTAAAATGTTCAACATACTTAAAAATGACATCTCATGATGTTGAGTAAAAATGTTCTCTGCTATAACCTGTGTAAGTGTAAGCCAATGACAGCTGCAGTTCTGTTAATTGATTGTTAAAATAACTTGTGCAGCAGCTATCTCAATCTAAGTTTCCTCACATCATCATGAACACATGTGATGCTTTATTGATTATTGAATTCACCTTGTTTATGCCAAATATGATAATAATGATTAAACTCAAGGAGACACCTATGTAAATGATTGGGGGGGGGGGAGAAGAGACATATTGAAACATATTCAGGGTCCTAATTAAACTTTCTGACACATCAGGAAAAACAACTTTCAATATATTTAGGGACTGTGCTTCCAATATCTGCCACACTCTTCATCAACTAAGCAAGTTTTGTTTTTTTGTTTAAAGCTGCACTCAGCAACATTCCAGCTATATGACGACGGTCTGGACCAGACAATCCAGTGTTTGACATAATGAACATTGATCCACGCAATTGGGATATGATGCATCGACCAAGTTAGCCACCTTTTATGGCAAGCATGGGTTGCTAAAGACCTATTCTAACCCTGGGCCCACTTGCACAAAGCGATCTTAGCGCTAAGATGATTGTAACTTCCATACTTTAACATTGGCTTACATTAGTCGTAGTGCTAAGATCGCTTTGTGCAAGTGGGCCCAGATCTTCATGTGTTAAATGATAAAGACATTTACACATGTAGATCTACATAAACAGTTTCTTAATCATTTTAATCAGCCAAAAAAATCAATAAGCAGTGATAAGATGAAAATTTAGGGCCCAATGTTGTCTTGTCATCTTACTCTTGTTATACTGCCATAATAGCACCACTGGTGTGCCATATTTTCCTCAAACATAATTTTCTATTGATAAAACAAGTAAGATTGGAAAATTGTCGCGATGACTCACTTAAATAATTGCAATCATTCAAATCAGTGACCAAATAGTGATATCTATAGGAATCTGCAGAAGATTTGTATGCCAAAACAAAATTCCAACTTGAACCGCCATAATTCGGAAAACGGGGCTTCCATACTTTTTGCGCGTGTGTTATAGCTATGTTTTCCTACTATTTACGTTGTAACGCAAAGAAAACAGGAAAGTTGTGAATAAATCGACCAGCGATAAAAGGAATTCAAATAGATTTCTGCAAAACTTTCGGAAAATTAACGTTTCTGCATAAAACAACAAAAACAATACTTTTTCTTTGAAATGACAACATAGACCGGCATGGGGAAGTTTCCTCAGAGGCGCTGACCGACAAAGGGAATGAGTGCTCATTTAAAAACCATCGCGTAGAAACTTCCCAAAACCTGCAGATTAATAAAATAACTTGTAAAAAATCATTTACCGTCATAATAATAGCAGACTTTCTTCTTGTGAGTTTGAGAAGCCATCGTTAGTGTGCGCCCAAAACAAATCCACTTTATGCTAATGCTGAAAAACGCCGCCACCTGGCGGGGCTTCCCTCGGTTACGTATTATCTCCCCTTATCACTTTGTGCAGGGGAGATGGCAATAATCTATGCTCATTTAAACTTTTAATTCATTGGTGTGAATTGTTGGTGAATAAAGGACTTAGTGTATATCCACGATTGCATGTGGTAAAGTTGAATTAAAAATGTACCAATGAAGGTACCAACGATCATTTTGTTTTCCATTTTACAGCGGTAGAAACTGCAGTGAAATAAAACCACAACGAAAGAAGGGGAGGCTATTGGTATGTCTGCGTGTATGGTGTCGCGGGGGGTAGTTCATGTATTCCATGTATTGGGAAGAGGAGAGAGGTCAAATATTTAAGTCTTTGATAGGGTCAAATAATTAAGAAATAAACGACGAGTGGGAGTTCTTTATCGTACGATAAAACACTGCAGGGTTTATACGAGGTCGCGTATTTCTGATATGAGATGTCAACGATGTTAATAATATGAACAAGTTTCAAAAATATTTACCCGTATTTAAATAATGATGATTCCCTGAATGCAATCCAACCTCGGACGTGTTGGACAAGTCCATTTTATGAACAGAGGGGTACGTTTGGTATTTCCCGGATATTTTCAAAATTTTCACGTCCATTTTATGTACCTTTCTCCCAAATACAGAGTGTCATATATCTCTCCCACTATATATACATGTATATTTTATTTCAGAATCCCGGATCAGCAAAATATGAGACAGTCCTAACACCAAACGAACCAACAGCGGAACTAGTTTATTGTTTGTTTCTCTCTTTCTTGTTTAACGCCGCACTCAACAATATTCCAGCTATATGACGGCGGTCTGTAAATAATCGAGTCTGGACCGGACAATCCAGTGATTGACATCATGAGCACCGTTTTACACCATTGGGATACGATGACATGCATCAACCAAGTCAGCAAGCCTGGCCACCCGATCCCGTTAGTCGCCTCTTTCGACAAACAAAGTTGCCTACTAGTTTATTGGAAACGTCTAGTACGTGTGTGTATCCGTACTAAACGAGTATATATTTCGAAGTCTCATAGATGACTGGACTTACAGATGTACGTTTGTGCAAACGTATAACATGCTATAACTAACTAATTTGGTAATATATTTTTTTAAAATATACACTCATGATTACCAAACACATATTGCTTCGCGAATTATTTGCATTTATCGAGCACAGCCATATCAATTTGTGATCACAAAACGCACCCTCCGTTCCCAATAAGGTGTATCCGCGCTTGCTATATTCCGTAATACCCGGGGGGTCACGAGTAAGAAAAGGTTCTCCTGCACTATCTTTTGTCTTAACAGGCAACTGAACTGGATTGAGTGGTCATTGGTCAGGTCCGGTGATTTGGTTGACTGCATCCGGTATTAACATGAATTCAACGAATATAGGTACTGAGCCATGGGACATTGTGCTGTAGTAGTAATAGTAATGGTAGTAGTAGTAGTAGTAGTTGGTTGGTTGGTTGTTTTACGCCGCACTTAGCAATATTCCAGCTATATGACGGCGGTCTGTAAATAATCGAGCCTGGACCAGACAATCCAGTGATTGACATCATGAGCACCGTTCCACACCATTGGGATACGATGACATGCTCCAACCAAGTCAGCGACCCTGACCACCCGATCCCGCTTGTCGCCTCGCCTCTTACAACAAGCAAAGTCGCCTTTAGTAGTAGTAGTAGTAGCAGTAGTAGTAGTAGTAGTAGTAGTAGTAGTAGTAGTAGTGCCACATGCACTTGTATATGTAAAATATACGCATGATATACAGGGCATGCAGCCAGTAATTGACCTAAGAGACACTGAAATTTGTACACGTATACATGGTATACGAAGCGTATATATATATATATATATATATTGGTAATGACATTGTTTGCTGAGTTAAACATCTTGAAAGGCGTTGAAGCTAAGCAATTTTGAAGTTAAATATCATTCATGTGAAATATAAACTTATCTTCATCATTAATTTACTAAAAAAAGAAGGATTCGGTACAAATGCTGCGTTGAAAAAAAGATTAAAACGCAAGTTATAATAAAAGTTACATTGTATTAATAAATTACAATCATCTTCTACCATATTAATATGTATACCGTCGAATAAAATACATTATTTGCGATGCCCCTCGGTCAGACGCGTAATTGTTAGAACCGCTTCCATTAGCTTCACGTTCACTCATAGAATGTTTTGACAATATTTTTATTTCACACTGTTGTGGATGACGAAAGGAAATATCTGTACTGGATAAAGAGCTGTTTGAATAACACTAAAACGCAATGTCACATTTACAGGATTCAGACTTCTGTTGATTTTGTGCATATATATTTTTGTTTCAAATAACTTCATTTCATTGTACATTTTGGTACCAACATTGCTATAAAACCACAAACTATTGCCCCTGTGAAGATCCGTGTTAGTACGCTGCACACAGCAAAGTTTCATCTATATGACGGCGGCCTGTAAATAAACGAGTCTGGATCAGACAATCTAGAGATTGAGCACCGATACCAATTCTGCGAGCGAGACCACCCGATCCAAATCGGGGGTTGCAGAAGTTTAATTAAAACAGTCTAACGATAATAGCTCTCCCAAAAATATTATATATATATATGTGTGTGTGTGTGTGTGTGTGTGTGTGTGTGTGTGTGTGTGTGTGTGTGTGTGTGTGTGTGTGTGTGTGTGTGTGTGTGTGTGTGTGTGTGTGTGTGTGGTGTAGTGTACGTGTAGATTTTACAGCCCCTTCTTGCAACGACACTGATACTCCCCTGGTTATTCATTGTCCATATTGTCTCATAGGCCTCGCGCCTGGAAGTCCCAATAATATCATGCTGTTTTATCTGTGATAGTTTCTGCAATGGATGTCTTGTGACACGTAAACAAACTATATTTCTTCTTCTTTCTCTAACCCGTATCTTCTGGGTAACATTAGTCGGTCGACTCGGTGGGGTGCTGGGGACACATTCTACCCCGGTGCCCACGAGGGACAAACCATTGATGTTCATCGAGGCGAACCTTGGTATCGAACCCACGACCACAGGATCTTGGCACGCCTTACAAGGAACGCCAGTCTGGTATGGTTAAAAATGTGACAGAAGAGTATGGACAATTAACTGTGTGAAGCGGACGTACAATATCACTTACACCAGCGTCTTATTTTCTGACAATTTGCTTATTTTTGCTCTTCTGTTAATAAAGAATTGGTTATTACTCGTGAATGATGAGCCATGGTGCCCAATCAATGTTGTCATATCCATGTTTGCTCACCGATCTGCTAAAATATTACCATGTATATTTTTTATTAGAATCACGTCAGGTTACAAACGGAGATAATTTACAAAATTAATTGACGCAGTTGTAACATTATTAAATACAGAATTCGCTTAGCTGGTCCCCTAACCTTTTCACTTATTGCCATTATTACCTTTCATTGTTAAGTTTAAAAAGGAATGTGACTTATAATAAATTTATTTGTGAGATTAAGATGTAGATCTTTTTGTTTTTGACATAGAAAACTATGTGAATACCGCATAACCTGACTCCTTTGTTTCATAACATGCATTTACCGTACACTAAACAAGCCTGAAAATAAGTGTATGTAAGGACAACAGCCACACATGAATGATGAAAAGGCTTGTACTAATACGAGTTATCTGCCCTTAACTCTACGCACCTCGCCGTTAGAGCGGGAAAGCGTGGGCCACATACTCGCTGTAACGCGGCTGACAGCTCAATGAAAACAGCAGCCTTCACTCTTCGGCATGACACCGACTGGTTTAGTCTCAGTGGTTATAGCTTGAGGATATACTTGTTATTGTTGTAGCGCTTCGGGTAAGTCTTTTTAATGAGTTTATATCACAGAACGACATTGCTATTGTGTATATATTTCAGAATCGTGATAAATTTGCCAGTGACATCACAGGAATCATGAGAACTAGAAGATTCACTGTGCCATCATCAATGGCATTTGAACGGACAGGCAGAGATCGATTTTTGAATGGAATCGTGCATTGTCATTCCATCATTGCTGTGTCGTGCGCGTGTCCCACTTGCTGCACGCGCATTTCGTTGCATGGTTGAAAATTGCCATTGTCTGGGAGATTTTTTCACCCTGTGCCCATGTTTTCCACGCAGCTTATTTGCATCAAAACACATTATTATGTATGCTCTATAATCTCGAGGACAGTTGTTGAAATGTCCGACTTCTCGAAAAACAGTTGATTATTGGTCAGTTTGGGGCAGTATTTTCATGAAGGAATGCCCAGATAGAATTGTCATGACATGGATCAATGCTGAAAACTGGTCCCCCACAAAACAACAGTAGCTGAAATTGCAGAATCCTTTCAATCAATGCTATAGTATTGAATGCAAATCATCATGAATTTGTTGCGCCTATAGTGTACAGCATTTAAATTAGCTCAGTATCATTAAGTACAGTTCCTGGAATACAAGAACAACGATTTCATATTTATTTTAAATATTGTTGTAAGATATGAAGGTGAATGCTACCCTGTTTGGCATGATTAGTAGGATAGATATTTTGTATTTTCAATAAATTCAGTATTTATGGGCATTTATTCTTTGAACTTTGGTGCCCCCTTTGTTGAGAATGTAGCATTGGAATGTATGCTATGACATGTATATAATATTTCAGCATGGATACTTGTATGACTAACCATAGTATATTGGTCGTATACAACAGCGCCATATGCATGTGCTCATTCAAGCATGAATAAGCACCCATAACCTTGTTAAGCAATCCCATTCACGTGAATATACATAGTGTGATCTGTTTATGAGAGCTTTGTAAAGTTAACACCACCAATTGGTCTGTCACTGGTTACTTGTTAAACAGGAACCATTGTCCAGTGGCATGCTTCAACGACTTGACCACCACGAGTGGACTATCAGTGATACACTTGAGCACACAGTTGGTTATCATAACATTTGATAAGAGAATGTGCTCTTTGGGGCATGTGTG